CCCCCCCCCCCCGGCTCCGCTCCACCTCCGTCCGCCTCCACCGCGATCCTCTTCCTCTAAAATCCACGTCCTCGTAGGCTATTCGATTCGCACGAAGCATGAATATGTACAAGTATGCATAGCTTTCGCCTCTCGGTGGGATTCTAGGGCCCAGAGACCAAGGGCCCAAAACATAGTTTGTGCATGTGTGCGTGTGCGAGAGAGTGAGGAAAGAAGTGTGCGTGTGTGTGTCTCTCCCTTTCTCTCTCTCTTTTCTCCTGAAACGCCACAGCCTCGTGGGATTTGGTGGGTCTCTACCTCGCCCATCTGTAAGTTGCTTGTGCTGTCGAACTCACTGTCTGGTCTTGTACGAGGGACTTGTTATTATAGCCAGGTACCATGACACATACACACATACAAGCGCCTACTACTATAGAACCTAGATCCTAGATCCTAGATACTTTGGGTGGTAGATCCCTTCAGCAGACAGAAGACGCGCGAATACCCCCCTTTCTAATATTGTTATCGCAATGTTGATGATCGAAAGAAAGATATGTATGCCGAGATTGAACATCCACATGCATCCAACGCAAGTGAGGGGGGTGTTTTTGAGTAAAAGACAAGGAAATACACACGCACCAATCCAGGCTGGTGGTGATGATTCTGGAGTGGTTCATTGCACGGAGATTTTGTAGATTTTTTGCCTCGCTAGCATTCATCGCATGGAACCAGCAAAGTCCCTAGTCACATTCCCCCGAAATGCTGGTATGGCTGGTAGCTGGTGGCCAACAAAAAAGCGAGTTGTCGAGGCATTTCCTTCAATGCTCAATGTATATCCAGACAAGGGAGCCTGGCTGCTGAGTTTCCCTTACACCCCTGTGCAGCCTCAATGTCTATCCGGCTCATCTCGCCGTGCTGACAACCCCAACACTGATGTACTCCCGAGAACCATATAGCTGTCACAGCTCCGATCGCTTCCACTTCATCTTCTGCGCCTTCTCTATGACCTTGTAAAACTCCGTCTCTTTTAAATCCTGGCCCGTGTATTTCTGGTAATTCTCGGCCGCGACAGCCACGGCCTGCTCATGTTTCCAAACAAGCACCCCGACCGCGAGCACCAGCAACACCAACAGGACGAGGGTGGTCGATGACAAAAACGGCCGCCGGCGAGGGTGGAAGGGGACTTTCTCGCCCGTGTATGCGCCGTCGGGGGATTTGGGGAACCATTCTTCGGTCTGTGCGCGCTTCACGTTGGGGTTGATGCGGTTGATCTTGGACATGTCGTGCGAGGGTCTTTGGCTTGTGAGGGGGGGTTTTCGGTCGACCACGGTGTGCAGATGTGCCGGTGTGCAGGTGAGCAAGTATGGGTATGCAAGGGTTAGACGGGCTTGCCTCAAAACAACAAGCCAACAGCCAGGTTAGTCAGGACAAGGACCAACAAAATCTTGCGCGCAGAACAAAGGGAAAGATGGCACGCGAGAAAGGGAATCGGTGGTCTGTGATAGGAGGTTTTCCCAAGGAGTACAACCCGTCACAACATCGGAATGTGTGTCCTCCGTCCGCAAGTGAGCATTCAGGCGACCCAGGTACCATGTCGTCGGGGATCGATATTGGGCTGACTAAGAAATCTAATATTAACATCTGGCAAAGGGCTAGGTTCAACCTGATATGTTAGACTCGGTGCGGCTGAACGTCTTGGGAAGTGGCTGTCTTGTCAAGATGCGGCCACTGAGAGCGAAAGAAGAATGGTGCCGAATGATGCTGACACGGGGTCCGAGGGCCATTGATGCCCACCTATCGCAGGTGTATGTAATGTGGTAAGCGGCTTGAGGGTCCGTGTGACCGGATATCTCGTTCTTGTACGGGTTGGCATTGTGAGTCTGGGCAGTTGGTCCCTGGCGGGTACAGACGTTGATGATGGTTTATCTATAAGTGGAAGTCTGATGCTGAATATGGGCAGATCGATGTGAACCAATGGCATCTCTTGAATCTACGAGGCTGAAACACAAGGTTAAATGACGTCAGTCAATCGCCGTCCTCAGCCTTGCGAGCCACACCAACATCGACCACCTCACCACCACCAACAGTTACAACTGTCCTTCCACACTCCATGTCAAACTGTAGCCAGGCATCTCTCCACGGTAGCCGAGGCTTGAACCAGGAATTTCCTGGCTCAGGCAGACGCTGGGTATGTTTCACACCTACCTGTTTCCTCCAGGATCTTCATTTACCGCTCTCGGCGACCGAAAGAACGAGGCTGGTCGACAGCATGGTCCAATGCAAAAGACCAACCAGTGACATACCTACCACATGCTGGAGCATGACATCATAACGGCAATATGTGTCAGGAACAGTGTTGGGTGTTGACCACCACATTCATCGCAATGTGTATTGACATCTCGATTGTCGAAGATCTGAGGAGGTCTGGGTGTAACGAGAACATGCAAGGCCAAACGGCTATTTCAGGTGATGACGACGACACAAACTCCGATGATCAGAATAAATACGCCAATGTCATCCCCGACTGAGAGGTGTTCGAGATGCTCTATTCAGCAATTTGATCACATCTTGGACGAATCAAGCAACCATGTCACAGCTTATCCACGACTCCCTCTTTGGTCGCTTGCTACGGCATTTATCCAAGGGAAAATTGCTACCGCATGAGGAGACAAAACACCCTGCTCTCCTAGAACAGTTCTCACATAACTCGCCTGCTGTGGGAGGAGAGACGTCGCCTGAAAGACCCGCTTCGAATGCGAGCACTCTTGGTCCAGGCGATGGAGAGCTATCTGAGAAAGGACGAGACCCGAATATTGTTGGGTGGTATGGGCCTGACGACCCAGAGGTGAGATATCCGGACGACAAAGCGCAATATACCACTGAGCACTGACTGGTTGTCCGTTTACAGAACCCTCTCAATTGGTCACCCTTCACCAAATGTGCAATCACTTTTGAGCTGTGCTACTTGACATTTGCGGTCTATGTGGGATCGTCCGTGTACACTGCTGGCGTTGTGGACGTTATGAAGGACTTTGGGATTGGCGAGATACCTGCAACACTTCCCCTGACGGTCTTTGTGCTCGGATTTGGACTAGGTAATGGCATCATTGATCCGTCCTAAACCAGGAGTCCGCAATACCGTCCACTCCCATACTAACAGTGCGATCAGGACCGATGACCTTAGCACCCCTCAGCGAGGCACCTGCGATCGGACGGACGCCAATATACGTTGGGACACTGCTAGCTTTCCTCCTCCTGCAAATCCCTGTGGCTTTGGCAGTCGATCTTCCCATGCTTATCGTGTTCCGGTTCATCACTGGTGTCCTAGGGTCTCCTCCCCTGGCCACCGGCGGCGCCTCCATCGCAGAGATCTTCACACCGCGGAAAAGAGGACTGGCCATCGGAATCTGGGGTGTCGCAGCTGTATGTTCTCTCCTTGCTTCGACTGTCGCTCTGTCCAACATGCTAATCGACGTCAGATCTTTGGTCCCGTCTTTGGTCCGCTTCTCGGTGGCTTTGCCGCTCAGGCGAAAGGTTGGCGATGGACAATATGGGAGCTGATGTGGATCTCTGGCCTTGCTGTCATTATGTTGTTCTTCTTCCTGCCAGAGGTCAACGCAAAGAATATCCTGTATCGACGGGCCCATCGACTGCGTCGCGTGACAGGCAATATCAAGCTCATGAGCGAGGGTGAAATCGCCTATCAGAACGTCACGGTCAGAAAGGTGGCATATCTCACCATCATCCGTCCCTGGATCCTGACCTTCACGGAGCCACTCGTCTTTCTCCTCCACACATGGGTCGCATTGATTTTCGGCCTGTTGTTCATCTGGTTCACCGCGTTCCCACTCGTCTTTGAAGGGATCTACGGATTCAACGCAGGGCAGACCGGACTGTCGTTTCTCGGACTCTTCGTTGGAGCACTCTGTTGCGTCCCACCGTTCATCTGGTACGACCGTGGCGTGCAACGGCGGATGTTTGACGACGACGGCCACATCATGAAGCCTGAGCAGCGCCTGGTGCCGGCGATGGTCACTGCGGCCACGATCCCCATCTGCCTCTTCTGGTTTGGCTGGAGTGCCCAAAAAGATGTGCACTGGTAAATCACTCTTTCTCAGTTCTTGCTTGCGTTCTCCCTCCCCTCTCCCTTTTCCTACCCAGGCTCAACAAACCTCGCACTAACCAATGGCAAACAAACCAGGATCGTGCCCATCATCGGAACCTGCTTCTTCGCCGTCGGCGCCCTGATCATCGTCAACTCGGTCCTGACCTACCTCCCCGACGCGTTCCCGACCGAGATCCCCTCGGTCATGGCCGGCTCGGCGTTCATGCGCTTCTCCTTTGGCGCCGGCTTCCCCTTGTTCGCCCCGGCCATGTACCACAACCTGGGCGTCCACTGGGCCAGCAGCCTGCTGGGCTTTCTGGGGCTGGCGTACGTGCCGATCCCGTTTCTGTTTTACTTTGTAAGTAGATCTGGTCGTCTTTGACAGCCATCTTTCCTCCTCCTTCCTTCCTCCTCCTCCTCCTACTGTTGCTGCTGCTTAGGCTGACTCTCCTCCCTTGTGACTGTTCGATCTAGTTTGGCGAGAGATTCCGCAACGCCAGCAAACGGGCGCGGCACACCTAAGTCAAGACTTGGAGAGCTTGAGCACTTTCCTTTTCCTCCAAGTCCACAGCGTCCCCATTCCGCAGTCCCTGCCTGGATCTGATTCTTCCTCCCTTCTTTGCGTCGTTTTTTGGGCACATACATACATACATGCATACATGCCCATGGGTGGTTGTTTCTCGGAGCGGTCCTTTATCGTGGATTCATCCAGGACGTCTTTTTTTTTCCTCCTCTTTTTTTCTTTTTTTGTTTTTTCCTCTTGTTAGAGAGACTCGCCGAGCGGCAGTGTGAGGACAAGTACGGTATGGCAACGTTGACATCGACGAGTTCACAACGAGGCACGGATGCACAGATGCAGGCAGGCAGGGTCTCCGCCACAAATTGGCAATTGGAATTTAGATGCGTCGATAGAGGAACGGAAAAGGGAATGAATGAAATATAACAAATGTAAACACTTGGATTCATCAGAGCGCACGAAAAAGAAGAATAAAACAGAGAAGAGAATAGAACACTGGGTGAATAAGGGGGTGAAAGGTAGGACCAGGACCAGGACCTCTTACAAGACCTCTTACAGGACCTCAGTCAGAGCTGTTCAAACCTGTCAGGTCCAGGCCAGGCCAGGCCAGGGAAAAGTCATTCATTCGTACATTCCCCTCTCGAGCATCGCCGTCATATAAAAATGCCACTTTTTGTTGGTTATAAAACTCCATTACCGCAGATATCGCCATTCAAATCAGATCAGATCAGTCGTCTTCCTCCCCGGCTCGCACAGTCCTGGCTTTCCTCCGCGCGCCCTTGAAGTGCTTCTTGCTACTGCTCATCCGCAGTTCTGCCGGGTCGACGTCCTTCTCCAGCGCCGCCATCGTCTTGGCCTTGCGACCCGTCAGCTGCTTCGTCTGCTGCAGCTGCTGCTTTCCCTGCTCCGTGTACTGGTGGTTGAAGGGCATGGTGAGGTGTCCCGCGTTGCCGGACCCGGGACCGAAGAACCCCTTGTCGAGTCGTTTCGCTCGGGTCCCTTTCTCCACGGGGGCAGGTGCACGCTGCTGCGACGACGACGAGGTCGATGCCGCTTCCGCGTCGCCGTCGGCGAGGCCAGATTCTTCAGAGTGCGCGATCAACCACGCCTGTCTCTTGGCAGGCAGATGCGCAAAGTCGTATAGTTTCTCGTTGAATTCCCTCCCGTAAGCCTCCACGTCCGTGTCTGGGTCGCCCGATGGTGGAGGATGACAATACAGCAATTTCCCATTCACATAATCCTTCAAGATATATCTCGCCGCGCGTGACTCGTCCGGTTGACTTCCTGGTCCTGTCGTGGCAAATCCCCTCGCGCGAGCATACGCTCTCAGCATTTCTGATGCGGTGGGGGTTCCCGTGCCACCTTCCTCCACTGGTCGCGTGTTGATTTTCATGCCGTAGACATTTTCAAGAAATGTTTGCGGGATGCGCTGTGCAACGAGGCCGGTGGGTCCGGTGTACTCTCTCAGCTGATCGATCGGCAACACGCCGCTGCAGACCAACTCGGCTTTTGTGGTTGCAAAGTTTGGAAACACTAAACCGGGACAGTCGCAAAGGATCACGCGGTCTGAAAGGTGAATGGTCTGGAAGTGTTTTGTCTTGCCAGGAGTGGAGGAGACTGACACCTTTTTCGAGCCGAGGAGAGCATTGATGGTGGAGGACTTTCCGACGTTTGGATAACCAACCAGCCCAATCGTAGTTTTTCGGTCAGTAGTGGCATCTTCGGGGATGTTCTCGAGGAAGAGGGATTCGAGCTCGTCGACAGTGAGTATCTGAGTGTCAGGTTGTGCTGACGTATGACCTCTGGACGGTGAGCCAACATCACGATCTTCAGGTTGCGACTCTTCACTTTCAGAGTCTTCTTCCGCCTCCTCTTCGTCAGTCCACTCTTCCCCCTCTTCCTCCTTCAGGTTGAGATCTTGAACATTTTTGACCATGGTCTTTTCCGGCAAGTTGCGATCAATCTGTTGCTGGATCTGCCGGGCATCAAGCTCCTCTAGCGCATCTCGTCCCTCATTCATCTCTTTGGCCAGATGGGCCGAGAAGAATTTGTAGTTGATACCTTGCTCGTGGAAATACTCGGCCCATGCTCTTCTTTGCTCTTCAGTCATCATGTCTGCCTTGTTGACCAGCAACAAGTTCCTCTTCTTGGGGTCGACCTCTTGGACATATTTCTCCAGGTCTTCACTTCGAAACAGAAGGGGGTTTCGGGCATCCACAATCTGTACCACTAGATCGGATCGCTCGATCACACGCCACAGTTGTCGCCATACTTCAATGTTCCTCTCGAATGGTGTCATCAGCAAGTCGTCGTTCTCTTGAAGTTCGGCAAGTCCCCGTCTCCATTCCAGCAGGCTTGCTCTCTCCTGTTCGTCCAACTGCTGGGGCGTGGTTGTCTCGTCCCATTTCGGCCTCCGGGGTACTGTCAACCTTCCCCTGTTCTGAGCATGTTTCCTCCTCGCACCCCTCTCCTCCGCTGCGCTTAAAAGGTATGGATTTCGTTGGTCCGAGTGGATTATCTTGACATTGTTCATCTTCTCCGCGGTAAAGTCGGTGCCAGCCAATTCGGCCGTGGAAAGGAATTCGTCCAGGGCGCCTTGTTCGGTGACGCTACGCATCTTGACCCACGATGCTTCCTTTGCGGCATTCGTCACGTATGTTTGGCCTGTTGTGTGATCCGTCCTAACGACTCCATTTTGAGACACCTTCTTGCGATCTGAACCTTTGCCTCGTCCGAAACGGTCGTTCATGAGGCTGTTGCCCAGCCCCACGCTGTTCTTGCTCTTTGGGAGAACCATTTTGTCGACAAGAGGTTTCCTTCAAAGAACAGAGGGAGAGATTGGGTAGGATGTTGCGAATGAAAGTGAGGTCGCGGAGACCTCGTGTAGTTGGAGGGGTGGTGAATGGAAAATTGAATGGATGCGGAGGGACGTCATATGTATTAATACAGTAATTAATTAATTAATTAATTAATGGATGCGCTGGCTGTGGCCAAAATTTCTAAGAAAATTAAATTTCCGCAGGCACTTCACCACCCCCACCAAAGTCGACTGACACAGACATCACACTCGCTTACCAAATTCGTGTCCTGGGATAGCAAACAAAGATGCCTCGAAAGCGCTGGATGTAGGAGTCGTATCCTTCCTTGTGATAGACCTGGAAACTGACAAACCACAGCGACAAGAACAACGCACAAACCTTTCAATTACTCTACCGCCCACAAACCGACCCAGCCCTACACAATGAAGCCGCTGGCGAGCGGGCACTATACCAGGTCTCTGGGCCTGGCGCTTCATCTTCCTACAAGCCTGAGTTCAAGGAAGGGTTACACTTGACCGATTTGGAAAATGACCTGGACTTTGAGGACATGCGGGAAAATGAGGGCGAGGCTGCACAGTACGGAATCTACTATGATGACACCAGTTATGACTACATGCAGCACTTGCGAGATATTGGGGAAGGGGAAGGGGACTCACATTTTGTGGAGTCGGTGCCTGTGAGAATCCAGGGCAAGGGCAAGGGCAAAGCGAAGTCGATGAAACTGGAAGATGCACTGCGAGAGTTGTCGGTCGACGACGGTCAAAGTGTGGCAGGGAGTGATATGTATTCAACATTCTCAACTTCGACGAGGCCAAGGACGTATCAGAACCAGCAGGATGTCCCGGACGAGATTGCGGGGTTTCAACCCGACATGGACCCGAGACTGAGGGAGGTGTTGGAGGCGTTGGACGATGATGCTTATGTGGATGACAAGGACGAGGAAGATATCTTTGCTGCCCTCGCGAAAGATGGTCGCAATGGGGAGCTTGAATTGGAGGAGTTCGAGGCCAACTATCCCGAGGACGATGATGAGGGTTGGGAGTCAGATGTCACCGAAAAGGCACCAGAGCAGCCTTCTGAATTGAAATTGACACCAACGGTTCAGGTGTCAGAAGACGGACACCGTGTGAATGAATTGCCCGCTCCGGATGCAGAGGCGGCTGCAGCAGAAGACGGAGATTGGTTGCGAGATTTTGCCAAATTCAAACGGGATAATGCACGAAAAGCGCCGCCCAAGGCCGCCGAATCAATCATTGCTGCCTCCGCCATCCAGGACAGAGCACCGTCCTTATATACCCTGAACGGGACCCCTCTACGGCAGAAGAAGCGCAAAGGTGCTTTGACCAACCCCAGCTCCTATTCCATGACGTCTTCCTCTCTCGCGCGGACCTCTGGCCAGCAATTACTCGACGCCCGATTTGACCAGGTGGAAAAGATGTATTCGCTGGAGGAGGGCGACGAGTTCGATGACATGGATGGTGGAATGTCGTTGGCCTCGGGGATGACTGGCCGGTCCAAAATGTCACAGCTGTCCACCACCAGCTTTGCAGATGAAGGCGCTGTGCGAGAGGATTTCGACAGCATGATGGATGGCTTCCTTGGAGATTGGAACAAAGCAAACCCCGGCGGAGGGAAACGGAAGGGCGCCAAAGGCAAACGTGGGAAGAACGGGAATGAAAAGTACGGCCTCCAACAGCTGGATGAAGTCCGGGCAGAACTGGGGCCTGCAAGGATATACCAACGGACAACGAGGGCATGAAAGATAAACAAATGGCGCTGGAAATGGCTTTTAATGTGGCGCATCATCAGAGATACCCCGTCTTCCAACGATAGACAAACGTTTTCTTATTGGGTAACCCGCAAACTCCTCATGGATGCATCTGTACAGTGACTCGAAGGTGTAGCATCAGCCGGGCTTATGTGTCTGATTTAAACTCTGCTCATCCTCAAATGCCTCAACCTGCCGACGGAGTTGAACCCTCTCGGGGCTTTGCAACGGGATCCCATGCACTGTACTTCGGTTTGGTCCTGTAACTCACGTCAATTGACAGTCTCAACTGGGGTTATCTGGCAGGTTTGGCGCACGTAGAATATGGACGATAAGCTCCTCTGCTCTGAGTCAAGTTGATCTTGGGCTCCTTGCTCTCCCATGGCCGCAACCCACACTGCATAATCTTGTCTTCGACCGGTGGCTTATCCACCAAGTAGCTCATCCAAGCATGCCAGCCTGGATCGATCTGGCTTGCATCAAGCTCGCTGTCCTTGTAGTCGACCTGCAAGCTCTTTAGTCTCTGACGGTACAACCACCTTCACAGCTCCATACCCATCGTGTCCGCAAGGGCAGCTCTTCCACCAAGTTCTCGTAGTATTTGTTGCCATATCTATCCATTCCAATCAATGTCCCAGCTTTTGTGTCGCCCTACAACCAGTCAGAATCCGCGAGCGAGTCGTTTTTGCAATAACCATGACGTACGATGTAGTGCAACTGGTGGCCATAGTCGCGGAGGCCGACCCGCCAGAGGTTGCGGAGGGTACGGGTGATGGTGGACATGATGGACTGTCCAAGGAGGTCGAGAGGGTGGCGGCGGCCGAAGAACGTGGAGGTGTGGTTGATGTCGCCGTCGAGGTCAGGGAAGATGCCAGTGATTACTCGTATTTTGCTCTTGTGTTGGTAGGGAAGGTGGCTCGCAGCTCATTGGCTTCGGAGGATCGCAGGTTTGGAGGAAGCGAGGTCGTTCAGGGTTGGCCAATCCAGACACCAACGCACCCAAGAGTCGGTTTCCAGGGCTCAAGCTCCGATCTTGGCGGGAAAATGCTGGTGGATTTGGCGCCCGAGGATGGCGTTTCGGGCGTGTTGATTCTGAATCTGGTGGAGGTGGAAGTGGATGTGGGTGCGGGCATGGGCGAATATTACTCGTATTCCTCCATGACTGCCCCCATCCAAGGCGCCTTTTTGTCGCCCTTGTCGCACACCTTGTTGCCCACGTCGCCCTCTATCGTACAGATCGCATCGCCTCGCCTAGCCTTTGTCCCGCGGGGCAAAAAAAAGGGCACCTTGGACGAACCCAGCCAGACCTGCTGAGCTGAGATTTCTTTACTCATAAAAACCCCTCGGGACAGGCACAGAGAGAAAGAGGCACTTATGATACAACTCCTAGCGTCCTGTGACGTCCCTATACCCGCAAGATGCGATCTTACCGCCGTCCATAGCCTCCAGGCATCTGTCATAAACTGACCCTACATGATCTGCATCAAGTCCACCCGACAGACGAGGACAGATAAACGCTCGGCTGTCCCAATTTGGCCACGAATCTTTGTCGACGTCCGCGAGATGACAGCCGTATTCTCCCCGTATCGTGTCTAGCAACAATCGACAATCGATCGCACCGCAGTCCAACGCTGTCGCCATGGCCAGTGGCATCAACCGATTCCTCTCCAAACGCGAAGGAAAGCGCAATCGGGGCCGCGGTGACCAAGACCAACAACACCATCACCACCACTTGCCTCATCATTCTCATCCTCTCGCCAGGAAGCCCTTCTCCACTGTGAGTTCTATTGTTTCTGCTCCTGCAGATGTGGCCCCGACAGATGTTCTCATTCTCCTGCGCCATCTACCACCGCTCGCACTCATGTCGAATGTGCAACGTTTCTGCTTGTCAATATGTACTCCCGCCCGGGGGAGGGATTCCTCTTCTGTATTTCGTGGCTCCGTCCGTCGCCCAACCCCGTACTGACTGGTATCTCTTCACAGTCTAGCCCGGAACTTGCCCTCAAGGCGAGTGATCCAAACTCAGCTGCTGACTTCTATGGCCTCTTTGACGCCCACGGCCCCCCTGCGACTTCGGCCGAGGAGCCCAAGGTAAGATGGCCTGGCCCCGGTCTGACCAACTTCGCTAAATATGCTGGATTAGATCAAGACGTTGCGCCTTCGAATACTCAACTCCAAAGGGGTGCTTTTAAGGGACACCCAGATCCTGTGGGCTCTTCGCTCTGTCGGTGCCAGTGGAGATGTCGATGCTGCATATGGACTCCTGCTTGCCATGTCAGATGCCTCGGAGGGCATTGTCACGCAGTACGATCCAAGAACGAAGCTCCTGGGGGCACAGAACCGACAGGGAGTGACGTGTTTTCTCGATTCGACCCTGTTTTCCATGTTCTCTCGGCTGGACAGTTTTGAAGCCATGCTCTATAACTCCTTCGACGACGTAGCACGCAACAAGCTCGCATTCCTTTTGCGCCTCTGGGTTAACCTCCTGCGCTCCGGAAAGTTGATCACGACGGACATTACAAAAGTAATACAGGATTCTTTGGCAGAATGTGGGTGGCCGGAGGCGGGAGAGCTGCACCAGCAAGATGCGTCGGAAGCCTTTTCCTTCATCACGGGCAAACTCGAACTGCCCCTGATGACCCTGAAAATGGACATTTACCACACCGGTAAGGAAGACAGCAACGATGACCACAAATTCATCAACGAAAGACTGCTCGAGGTGGCTATCCCTCCGGACACCACGAGCGACAGATCCGTAATCACTCTTGAAGAATGTCTCGAGGAATATTTCAACAACCGAATCGAGGTCCGCAGGTACCTAGAGCGACGGTCAACAATAACTTCCATGCGCAAAGGGAGTGCCGTCCATGTCGAGACTATCGAGCTGGATGGTGACCAATCACCGATTACTCCCCTCTCCCCTTCTCCGAGCTACGCATCCCCCGTCAGACCAGGAGCAAACCGTGCTCGCGCACCTAGCATTATCCAAGAGCGCTACATACCACCACGAAATGAAAGCGGATATTCATCGCTGGCTCCGATTGACACAAAGGACTCTGCACCCATGTCGCGCGTCGGAAGCGTGCGGAAAGAAGTGATGATGCCTGCGTGGCAATTCTTCAGCCTGATTCGTAAGTCTGACTCCCATGACTTGATGCGGCTTTAACTGAGAATGTTTCAGCCTGGTATACCGACAACGCACCTATGAACGATGCCCAAGTTGCGGCTCACTTCTCATCCAAACGGCCGGTCCTCGGGCTCTGCCTCAAGAGATACTCTTTCACGGCAAACGGCAAAGCAATTCGGCTCGATACGAAGGTGGATATCCCAGTGGAGATAGGGGTGCCTCATTTCATCCAGGATGATCGAATGGAAGAGACCGGGGGCCTTCACGGCAACTTCAAGCTCTCCTTACAGTCTGTCGTCTGCCACCGAGGCAATTCCGTCGATTCCGGGCATTATATTGCTCTTGTGCGAGGCACTGCTCCACCATGGTCTTCTGATGGGCAGCTCCCAGAGACAGCCAAGACTTGGATGAGATTCGACGATCTTGCTCCACAGCGCATCACTGTTGTCGACATCGAGAAAGCCCTCCGAGAAGAAACCCCTTACCTGCTCTTCTACCAGATCCTTCCCATTGAGGGAGACCCGGGGAGTATCTCGGTAGGAGAGGAGCCGCTGGCCTCGGTGTCGGAACGCAATGCATCGGTCAGTGAAGTTTCGAGTGAGTCTGCTTTGACAGACAACCAAATCCCGTCAGGCCGGCCCAGCTTTGATATCACTCACCTAGAAGAACCCAGAGGACGGTCGCCGACAGAAACCAGGAGGACGAGTGTCATTTCGTTCCAGGAACCGCCTTCGGACCACGCAAATGGAGCGTCCCTGGCCGTGCCAAACAACGGAGATCCATCTAGCACGCCGCGGACCAAGTCGCTATCCCGAACGCAGAGTAAAGCCAGTGAGAGTGGTGGTTTGAGTCGAACGCTGTCCAAATTCAAAAGGAAAAGTCGAGAAATCTTGCCACTGGACAATCAAAACGTGGCCGAGGTCCATGTTAAGGAAATCTCTGAGCGGAGCACGCCAGTTACGCAAGACGGTGAAACCCAAGGGCTGCACACAACGTTGCCGAATGCACCAAAACAAAGTTCTCTTCAATTCCAAAATCAGCCATCTAGAACACATAGAAGCGAAAAGAGCCGCAGTCGGATTTCAAGAAGTAAGATGCGAGGTGAGAAGCCGGATAGAGAGTGTGTTGTTATGTGATGTTGGGCGGCAACTCGCCTTCCGCTACGCGAGGCATTCTTTCTGTTTTCATACTCTCTGCACATCGGGGACTGGCGGACGGAACCCTCGTGCCAGTGAGCTGTCGATTACGACTTTTGATCAGCAATGATGACGATGACGATGACGATGAAGGCGAGTTCTCTTATGCACCCGGCCATGTCTTCTCAACTGTCGTGGGAGGCAAACAGCAAAGGGAACAGGCCACGACCAATATCGCCAAGTTGGGCGAACAGATAGAACACAGAGAAGAACTGTTCAATGCTTATGAAGATTTCCCGCAGTCCTCCCTCGAGCTTAGCTGTCGACACTGTTTCAATTTTGTGTGTAGACGAGGCGATATATGCTTGTCGTCGTCGGCCTCGGGGACCTTGTGACTCGAGTCGACGAGGCTGACAGAGTATGCGATTACCCGAAATGGACTAGTGCGGCATTCTTTAAGTCAACCACAATCAGCATCTGATCAGCACTATCAGCATCGGTTATGGAGGAAGAGACCGACATCATTCTCGCTCGGGAAGAAGGTTCCCTCTCTAGGCTCTTCCTTACTCTTGACATGACGGAAATTACCAGATGTTTTAGGCATGTGGGCTTTTGCTTCGGAGTGAGGAGATCCTTTACAGCGCCAATGCTCTGGTAACGCCATCGACTGGATCGAACCTTGAGAAATGCGGGGGTTTTTTCTTCCCTCCGCTCCCTTGGGATCCTGTTTCCCCCTCTTTGCCGACGGGGGACTTACCAATGATGTTCCAACCCGATGTTCAGCATCCGACCAGTCTGGTGCCCTCTTCGTATTTACTTTGAAGCCAGTGTTGATTTTGGCTGCGACCATTCGGCGCTGCGGATCCGGTCTCTGGCCGAGGGTCTGTGCAGCAGAAGATGGCACACGCCCCTCCTTTTACAAATTGTGAGAGGGAAAAGAAAAGGTATATATGGAGAGAGAGCCCCAGGTTGGATTGAAGGCGTGCCTGGGCGCAAAACTCGAACCTAAACCCACCTTGCTTTGTTCACTGAGTAAGAGCTTTTCTCCCCTACCCCTCTGCGTTTCCTTTTCACGCAACAACTCCACCATGGCAAAGATAGCTGCGGAAGCAGTGCCCCAGCTCAAAGCCCAGATCGATGCTTTGACCACTGACCCCGACGGTGCCCCTGGGGTGGTCTTCGCTGCCGTCAACAAACAAGGCGAAATCATATTCGAACATGCAAGCGGAAAAGTGGGCCACGGAAAGTCCCAGCCGATGACCATGAACAATGTGTTCTGGATCGCCAGTTGTACCAAGATGATTACGGGGATTGCGTGTATGCAGCTCGTCGAGCAAGGCAAGTTGGCGTTGGACGATGTGGAGCTGGTGGAAAAGCTGTGTCCGGTATGTCTTGAATTCCCGGGTTGCCATTTTGTGAGAGGGATTGGAGACGTGGAGAGGGTGGTTGACCACGTAGCGATGTGGAAAGCTGATATTCGATCGCCGTCTCACAGGAGTTGAAAGCCGTGCAAGTGTACGAGAACGGCAAGTTGGTGCCCAAGAAGAGAGGCATCACCTTGAGAATGCTGCTCTCCCACACGGGTACGCTGTCTCCTATCCCTCTTCCACCTCTCTCATTCCCCCCTACTAAGATGTTCGACGCCAGCCGGCTTCGGTTACTCGTTCTTTGACCAGCGCCTCAACGATTGGGCTGGGCCCCTTGGACTGGATGAATTCTCCGGGTCCTACCACGACTATCTGACCCAGCCCCTCGTAAACCAACCGGGAGAAGTGTGGGAATACGGAATCAACATCGACTGGGCGGGACAACTTGTGGAACGGGCGTCTGGTCTCAAGCTCAACGACTACTTCCAACAGCACATCTTCAAGCCCATGGGCATCACCCACATCACGTTCTTCCCCGACGACCAAATGAAAGCCGACCTCGCGTGGATGAACTACCGCGCCCCGGACGGGAAACTCTCCCTGTACGTCAACGGTCATTTGAATAGGAGGCCACTTTATGCGAAGACCAAGGAGGAGATCGACGGGACCTTCCATGCCGGTGGAGCGGGCGCTTTCGCGAAGCCGACCGAGTATTGTCAGGTTATTTCCATGCTGTTGAACGATGGAGTGCATCCTGGCACTGGCAACAGGATATTGAAGAAGGAGACGGTCGAGACCATGTTCACGAATCAGGTATGAGAGGATCCAAAGACCCGAGGAGGGGGACAAGAAATGCCCATTTGACGAGATGATTGATGCTGACAATAATCGTGCCTGTCTAGATCCCTGAAATGCCGAACTTTGGAAGACAGGTGAGGGTTTCCCCTTAACAGATGCTGGTTCGTTCCACAGTTGTGGACTACCGCCGGCTCCCGAGGAGGATGGGGAATTCGTTCCTCGAGCATCTACGCATCTTGAAGACTGACTGACCGGACTTGACCGGGCACAGGCCATCACTCCACCAAAACCCGACATGTCCAACGCCCTTCCAGAGCTGTACCCAGAACCTCACGACATCCCGCAAGGCTGGGGACTGACCTTCTTCCTCCATCTACGTGACTCGGCCGTCCACAGTGAAGGGACAGGTTGGTGGGCGGGTTTGCCCAACCTGTTCTGGTGGGCCGATCGCAAGAGGGTACGTCTGACTTGTTGCGTGTTGACCTGTTGTCGACCGCTTCCCTGTCTCTCACTTTGGCCTTTTCTAGCCATCCCTCACAAGGAGATATTCTCTTTGGCTAACCTGCTTGACTTTCCAACTTTAGGGTCTCGGCGGCATCATTGCTTCACAGATTGTGCCATTCGGTAAGACATTTCCCTGCCCCTTTTCTTTTCTCGTTAGACTCAAGTTTAATTATTTCATTCCGTCTCTCCTTCCTCCTTCCCCTTTTCCTTTATTGTCCCATCCGTCCTCTTGTGTGAAGCAGAACTGACTCGACAACCCCAACTTTACAGGCGACCCGAAGATCCTCGGACTCTGGGCACAGACCGAGGCCGGTCTTATCCAGAATTTGAAGTAGGAAAAGAGAGATCAGCGCCGGGTGCCGGTGGGAGGGAATGGAAGGACAAGGACAAGGACAAGGGGAATCGGAATGGGAATGAGAGTGTCGGGAGCATCGCAGAAGGAAGAAGGAGAGTGAGAGAGACAGGAGGATAATTAATTAACAAGAGGATACCTCGCCCGCGCAACAGGAGAGAGTGTCTTGTATAGGTAGGTATATGGGTATCTATCTATCTATACATTTCCGCCACAAATCCCCTTTTCTCCACCTGTCGCCGCCCTCCCCTTACTTCCAAACCAATGTAACCCGAGAACATATCTTCTCTGCCACAACTCTGCCAGTTTAGTCTGGTCTACTTTACTTTCGTTCAGTTTAATTTTGACCGGAAAGCTCCCCTCTTTCTCTCGATCCCTTCGTTTCGACCGTTTCGACCGCGACAAACCCATCCGCAGTTCCGCAATGGATGAGGTACCGAGTATACTCGAATGTATGTACATATATATATAGATGAATTTTCAACAGAGACAAAGACAAAGACAAAAACGATTCGAGGGGCATGGTTTCGCAATTGGCGCTCGCTCGCTCTATCGAGAGGGCATATCGAATTCGGACCATGTAATCATAAAATTCATATAAAGCGATTGGGTCACAGGTTAGTGACAGGTGGGGTTAAAAAGCGAGAGTGAAAGAGAAAGTGATGACGGAAGAGGAAGAGATCATATATATGGGGCAATGACGATATTTTGTTTGGGTTGTTTGATGTATTGTACACTGTGGTAATCCACACATGCCCTGCGTCTATAGTATGAACATCGTGGTGTGTGGCGTGGGCGCCAGACAAGGCTCAGGCTGTGAGGTGGACACAGCAAATGTGAGTCTCGAGACAGGGAGCTTGTTCGAGATGGCTAACACCGGAAACGTCCCGGTTAGAACCACTTGAATCTTGGGAAGTAGCGCGCCGTCTGACGACGTGGTTCCTTACGATGCCATCGGAGAATGCTCGTCTTCAACTCCCTTCCAATAGTCTGTAACGGAATTATTCCTGCTTAGTGGCAAACTTTGAGATGTGGGCTTTGGCGCTCAAGATGACAGTATCGAATTCACCAAAAGTCCGCTCGTCTCGAATCCAACAGCATAGCTCTGTGCAGACCGGAGTGCATAAGGATGTCGTGCGAGGCAAAACGTTGCCTCCATCACCCACTTGGCGATACCTTGGTTGTAAAACAACAAAAGTTTAGTCCACAACCTTGCCATAAAAGGGAATCCCCAGTTGCTGAAGGAGGAGTCTGGCGTCTTTGTCACAGCTGGCAGTGGTGTGGATGGTGATGTAAAGACCCTGAAAAAAGCAATTAGCAAGGTATAAACCGGGCATGTCGAAACAAATCCGGGAAACTCACAGGTATCAGTTTTGTCGGGTATGCGTCGTAGTTGATTTCAATCTCTGGAAAGCCGGCAACAACATCGGGCGTCAACCCAAAAGAAAGGTTACCACTGTTGTCTCCAGTCGTGGCTCTGACTCCATTCCAGTCCTTGATACGAGGCAGGACAACATTGATCATCTTGCCCAGAAAATGATACATGTCTTCACTCTTCAAGTCTACTGTGAGACTGACCGGTCGGCCTCTGATCAAACCCCACCCCTGTTCATTGGATCGGGCCTTGTGCACCTCCACTCTTTGATTCGTGATCGCCTGTAAAATCATACCTGCGACATGAAGATAGCCCGAGCCTCCTTTAAGAGCCCCTTTGCAGTACGCGTGCACCGTGACCCGCTCGACCATCGGCACGTTTCGAAAGGTAACGGGTTTTCTCAGTAGTCGCAGCACGTCTCCACCACGCGGGCCACGCAGCTGTCTGTTGGCAAAATATGGGTTGTCTCCGATCCACGGGCGTAAACGAGGACCCTTCTCCGGCGGCCGGAAGCCGGGAGGCGTATGTTGATAGCACATTGTCATGAAATCCGGAGCAATGATGTTGTGATAGGCGAGTTCGACTCGAGGCGACGAAAAGGGGCCAGGGACAAATTCTCGACTGGCAGGATCTGAAGGATGGAGGGGTTGATGGGGATGCATGGGACCGCGATCATATCTGGGACTTCGGAATCGGTACCTGTAGAGAGTGAGTACATCTTCAACACCTGGGGAGACGCCTTCGAAAATACCTGCTGGGAGGTAGCTGTCGCTTTCTCGACTTCGGAAAAGCCAGAGGATCAAAGGCTCGGGTCTTAGGATTCGAACTCTGCATAGAAACTAGGGATGACTCCTGCTCAAGCTCAACGTATGGCTCTGGGTTTGCGATAGCCGCTTGGGTAGCCATGGTTCGCCGTGACTGCAAGCATCTGTTGCAGATGGGTGCATGCTGCAAGGACCGCCATGTCCTGAAGAGACGAAGAGGGTTAGAAGAGGGCGACATAGCGCACATATACACACGCCAGTCAGACTGAGGAAGTCAGACTGAGGAAGTCGGACTGATAGATGCAACTCGCAGATGGGACCGACAGTTCAGTCGAAATTTAGAGCTGTTCTCGTCAGTCAATCTCGATCGCAGAAAATCAGTTTGCATTTTTGGCCGCATACTTCACAGGAGCTTTTTGTACGGTGAGTCATTAAGAGAAGCTACGCAGACCACAACTGCGCCTTGATCCCCACCTGTTCTCAGGCCGCTGTGTGCCTTGCAGAAGTCGCACTTTCACAAGGACGGGATCTTTGCGATTTCAACTCGGTTCGCAGTACGATTGCGGCTTCAGCTGCTCCAAACTGTTTGTTCTGCCTGCACCTGCCTATACGGTCTCCCCGTCTCCTCTCCTCTCGACTATACAAAGTCGAGAAAAAAGTATCAATGGAACGCAACCTTCAACTTTGGTCGACTTCCGCCAGACATTCGTCCTGACTGGCAGAAACGGTCGCAATGACCTGTCTCCCTACGTCAATCCCATCATGGAAGATATCGCCGTACAGGCGTCCCGGTACATACCCCTGCGTCACGCACAGCCTGACCGTTCTGACTCTCTGGATCTACAGGAATGTAAATCGTACAGAAACCGATCTCTTACAGACCCTTTTTCGCGCAGAGCCTGTAACTCAAGGCCTCGAATCCTTGCTGGCAAAGTGAATGCAACCAACCTATGAAAGGACGTCTCACTCACGAATCCAGGTTTCGCTCAGCATGTCAAGACTTCCTCTTCATCGACTTCCAAGCCGCCGCCGGCAAGAAAGTCGAAGACCGTCTGTGGAATGCTCATACCAAGGTCAATTCAAGGTTCAGGCAATACCTTGCCCATTTCCGTGAAGGAGAGGGCAAGAAGAAGGTTGTGGAACGTCGCAAAGCCGAAAAGCTCTATTTGGAGTTTATCAAGTCGAGCCAGCGCTTCTACCGAGAGTATATCCAGCGACTCGCTTCGACCTTTAAGGAGATCCCCGAGATAAGGGAGATTGCTCAAGGCATGAAGCTGGACAGTATGCCATGTCTCAGCCTATTGCCGTTATTTGCTGACGTTTGTAGCTCTCTCTGCAGACCCACCACAGACAGTTGACGATGCCCTGAAGAAGCAGCTCATTGATTCATGTTATTCAGCCCTTGTGCAACTGGGAGATCTCTCGAGATATCGAGAAACCGAACTGCAGACAAATCGACGCAATTGGGGCCCTGCTGTTGGCTATTATAACAAGGCGGCCACGCTCAATCCTACGGACGGCAGATCTTATCATCAGCTGGCTGTTGTAGCTCTGGCTGACGAGGACCACCTGCGAGCTGTCTACTATCTCTATCGAGCCATTTGCGTCGAGAACCCTGCTCCACAAGCTAAAAAGAACTTGGACCTTGAATGCAAGAAGCTCAGGTCAAAGTCAAACCAAGGCAAGCCCATCTCCAATGCCGCATTGGTTGTTGAGGGTTGCCGCGACCTCCACGACCGCTTCCTGATATTTCACGCCAGCTGTCTCGGAGATGACCCAGACGATCAGAAGGATCAGCAAATCGAGATTCTTCGACTTCTAGAGGACCAAATTCGAGACCGATCTGAAGTTTCAATCCTCCGAAAGCTCGTCTTGGTTAACTTGGCGGCAGAGAAGTCTGCCACCCAGAATGTTAAAGGTGCGCAGAAATAGAACTTGGAGCCAGCAGGGTCGCTGTCTTGTTTCTTTCATTTACTCACTAGCTCTGCAGGCACCCGGAGTTTCGAGATTTTCCAATCGTTTAATGTCAAAACCTTTTTCCTACTCCTCAGAATTTTGCTAGACGAACTGCAGGAACTGACAAAGTCAACGACGAATAAACACGACGCAACGGAAGACTTGCCTCAAGTCCCTCGCGTAATGCGCCGCATGCTTCCTCATCTGAGGCTGTACAGTGGGTGGCTATTGACGACCATCGAACTCCTACTAGCGAGCGAGAGCCTTGTCGTGTCTCTGCGGCAAGTGTGGCCGTTGTATGTCAACGTCCTGAATGTCCTGTTACAGACATTTCCTCCGAAAGCTGGACTTCAGATTCAATACCTCCTAGACGAAGATGTGGACACCAGGGGGTTCTCTGCATTTAGGCCATTCGTCCAGATGACACGCCTCTGTGATCGCACGGGAGCCACCAAACAGATGCACAGCGACGCAGCATTTGGCCCTCGTAATCCAGAGCAAGAAATGTTATATCGACTCAAGTGCCTGGTCACAGATGGAATGTTACTAGCTCGTAAACAAGTGAGCCGCTGTCGCAACGCACACTAAATCTCGCTGACATTTATAGGGTGGCTTCAAGTCCTTGCCTATTCCTCTCACGTTCGCACACATGCGATTCATCTACCTTGAAGAAACCGATGGTGTCACACGACTCGAAGATCAAGTAGCACACCCCATGGAATCTGCCTCTGCCCCTTCTGCTGAGAGCGTCCGCACTTATGTTGGGCGCACGTCTCAGCATGACATTCCTGCGGTACACGCTACAGGCCAACAACCGGCGACCTTCGAGGCTGAAAATTCAATGGCCTCAAGAATGGAGAACATGGTGGATAATCTCATGCGGTCCGAAGCCCGCCGACATGCCAACAACTCTGGAGCCGTAATGTACGATCTTCCACCTCCCACAGCGAGTGCGCCATCACTACCACAAGGGCTCACCCACAGCAGCACATCGCAATCCCAGCCTCTTCCCTTCACTGCTCGAGACCTCGTACAGCGGATTCAGCAGCCATCGAGTGCATCACAGCCTAACGCGTTGGACCAGGCAGTGAACGTCGCAGTTCTGCCTTCCATCTTGAACACTCCATTTGCACCGCGACCAGGCGAAACCCCCGAATCATCGCCGCGGCCAAGCACCGCCCATCGTTTCCCCGAAACGGCATCAACACCAGGACCTGCTCGTCTCAGCAGTTCTGCCCAGTTCCAGGCCCACCTCATGCACATGCAGGATCATGTGCAAATGCGGACGTCACCACTGGAGTCTTTTGAGCCTACGATGTCGAGTCACTATAGCACCCCAACAAATATGAACACCTGGGCCCGAGCGAATGACTTGGGACAACCTCAACTGTCACCGTGGCGATCTTCATTTGGCAGCGCAGTACCTGTGCAGCATCATGCTATCTCAACCAGACCTCCAGACTCCTCACCTTTTGGCGCTATCGGCGAGTCGCGGCCCAAGAGCAGTCGGGCCCCTAATAGTGGTCAGGCAGGATGATGTTGCGCGCTCTTCTCGCTTGCTCCAATTCCCGTGCGTCGACCTGAGAGCGCCACAATTAGCAGAGCGAGAACCAGACTAAATCGCATAGCCAATCCAACCGATGGAATGCTACGAGGGCATCTATTCCTCTCCGCTGAATACCTGCGTACACTGACTGACCAGTCCCTCAGAAATCGCATCGTTGCGGATCCTGCAAACTTGGCGCCGAAATCAACTGGTGTTGATATTTGTGACAGCATTCCCGGGCTTGAAGAAAGTTTGAGGACAACTATGCGGTCTTACATATAACGGGATCTGCGTCGACGTTTGGATGCAGCAGCATTGACAACGTTCAGGTCCAGCAGGGAAACCTTGCTTGTGAACAAGTACTGAGGAGAGGCAAAGAGAGACTAGTGGTCAAATCAAACTTGACTCTTTTCTTTTTGGCTTCTATTCTCGTTCCTGGTTCAGGAGGGATCTCCTTTATGCCACTTCGGGCTCTAGTTTTCGGCATCAAGTTTCCGTATCAACAAGTCGTGAAAGACGTGGCATCATGTCTGACATACTGTCCGGAAGGTCTTGTTGAATTAGACCTTTCTCGCTGTTAAAGCGCCCATGGTGGTACATTCCTCAGAGGGATTACAGGAACGCCGGACTCAAGCAATATTCAATCCGAAGCGACCGTTCATTCAAGCCTTGTATGTCTGCTTCGGCCGAGGATATCTGCAGAGGGGGTGTGTGTTAGAGACTGGTTAGGCTAGGTAGCAAAGGTAGCAAAAAGACTTACGCGGGTCCCAACTCCTGCAGACTTAATCTTGCCAACCACTGGCCCTTTTTGATACAGTCCTCGAGGGGATCACCCTGGACCACACCGGCGCAGAAGCCACCGGCGAAAGCATCACCTGCGCCGTTTGTGTCGTTGATCAGGTTCTTGTCGATGACTGGCACCGCGTACTCCTTGAGTTCCACCTCTTCTTTTCCTGCCTCGGCCACGGCCACAATCGTTGGGTCGGTGCCCTGCGTGACAATCACCACTCTTGGTCTCTTTGTGTTGACCTTGGGCAACTTTGCCATCAGCTTGGCACACTCTTGCATCGAGATGTCAGAGGGGTGGCCTTGGGATTCGGCCCACGTCTTGGCCTCGTTCTCGTTCCCAAAGACAAAGTCGCAGTACGGCAGAATCTCGGCGAGCGGATCCTTGAAGAATTGGGGGATGAAGCCTGCCGACAGGCTCAGCATGAAGACCTTGTTTGTCTCGGCGGCGTGTTTCGCCAGCGCCATGGCCGCCGGCGGGCACACGGTCAGGTGATAGCCACCGACGTAGAAGCCCACGGAGGTCGCTTCGACCATGCTCCAGACCCGCGGCTCGAGGAGGTGCTCGAGCTTGTATTCGTTGGCGGCGGCGAGGTGCGTGCACATTGTGCGGTGGTGGTCTGTGATTATGACACCGCATTTCCCGGTGGGGGTGGCAGGATCGACGCGGTATTCGACGTGCAGTCCTGCATGGCCATTTCGTCACTAATCTCCTCGAGGCGAAGGGCATGCTTGGTGTGTAGGACACTGTAGGACACCAGCAAACAGTGGTGTGATGTATGTACATACCTTCTTCCTTGCACTTCTCTCTCAAGATCTTTGCGTACTCGTCATCGCCCACGCAACCGATGTACCAGACACTGTCCGGGGGGAGCATGTACTGTGCGCCTCTGGCGGTGTTCTGCGCAGCACCGCCGGGGATCAGCTTTGCGTTGCGGTTCTGGATGAGGTCGTCGTAGAGGCCCATCTGGTGGGGTTCCGCCAGGAGCGTGTCGTTCAGTTTCAGCCCGTACTTTTCCAGCATGGCGTGATCACTGCAAAGTCATGAGTTTTTTGAGTGTTACCAACGATGAGGCCTGGAAAAGCCGGGGGTTTGTTTCCCAGGTCAAGGGATATGGACGTACCCGACGCCCTGGATGTCTAGGAGGGGATTCTCCAAGCAGAGCAGCTTGAAGGATTTGGTCGCCATGTTGCGGAGCGGGGAGGCCAGAGGGCCCAGAGATAGCGATGATGCCGGGGAAAGCAAGGGTGAAAAGGTGCGAAGGAGTGAGGAGGAAGAGGAAGTCCGGAAGGGTAAGATCCGTGGTCGTGCAGATATCAAACACCTTGTCGACAGCATCAAGTTGGGTTTTCGTTCGTGAGGACTGAGGATCACCAGAAGAAGTGAAAATCGGTGTGGGGCATTCAAAGGTCGTGCATTGATCAGTTTAGCCGAATATCTTCCCTGGTCGAAGCTCTGTGGCTCTCACCACCTCTCAACGGGGCTCTCTCTCACTTTATTTGCGAGGCTACGAATCCTAAACCACACCAACTTCATCGTCCTTTGCCGCGCCCGTGAGAAAGTGTCTTCCTCCGCAACTTCATTCAGCCAAGATGGCATCCGTCGCGAACGAGATCGCTTCCACCATACAGAGCGCCCACATCAAGCACGATCCATCTCCGGAGCACGACATTAACCCCTCGACGGCCGCGTCCCAGAAGATCCCCGGCGAAGTCGAGGCCATCTCCCCCCCGCGTTCTCGCTCACACTCCCTAAGCGGCTCTGAGTCCACCCTACCCAGCGACATCATCCGCGCTCGTCCCCGAAGCAGGTCTTTTCCCCCAATCCCCGACTTCCGCTTCGAGCAGTCTTACCTCGCGAGCATCAAGTCCGCAGACACCAACTGGAAGGTCGCCTTCATCACCATCCGCGACCAGGTGTTTTTGCCGCTGGCGCAGGGGATACTGTGGAACTTGCTCATGTTCGGATGGCGTCACTGGAACCGTGGGACCAAGTTCCAGGGCCGGAGCCTGGGCGCAAGGGTCAGGAAGTGGTGGTGGGGTGTCAACAACTGGAAGCTCCCGGACACGGAGGCGACGCGACTGAAGAAGCAGAGTGATAGGCAGGTGTTGCAGAAGGTCGAAGACTTCTTCGTCGATCGATTCGGAACCAGCCTGGGCGATTGAGGTACAATCCCTAATCACCTTGATGCTTACTGAAGACGGGGTTTTGTTGGATGGCCAGTGTGACCGTCTATCTCCCCAACCGTATCTTCAGCTACACACAGGCCTCTGCACATCCCTGGACGGGTGCATGATCCTGGGCTCTCACACGCCACCGGATGTTTGCGCATGTGCAAGCTTGAATGGCTCATTGAAAAGCCTCTTGTGGAGGGATCGAATCAACGGGGTCCTGAGTTTATACAACACATACTGGGCACGTCGGGCTTAACGTTGGCCGTCTACATGCAAAACATGGGCCAGAATCATGGGAGAAAAGTTGGAAGCGGGAAATGGCGCCAGGACGCAAACCGTGTCGATGAGTCTAAGATGCGTGTTCAAGCCTGGTGGGGAGTTTGTCCGAGAGACGGTTGTGACCTGAAGGGCACGATCTGCCGCTTCACGGTCGAAAATGATTCATTGTCACGCACTAGAATTGTCCTTGTAGCGTGGGAATCGAGTAGCGGGAGAAGAGGCTTCGAAGAGGCTTCGAAAGTGATAATTCGGACTTTGTCAATTCCTGTCCTATTTTTTAAGCACTCATTTCACCGAGCCGCGCCAACAACGCGAGTGCCGTTGCATCAAGACGAGCAAATAGCACCTCTCTCTTGAGAGCGGGGCACATTCATCTCGTCGGAATTTCGTGTGAGCCACATTTTCAATTGACGCCATCGAACTGACTGCGAAGGTTTCCACCAGCCGTTTGCCAGGGTCTCTGCCTTGCTTTTCGTCGCGAAAGAAACAATGACTCCCTCGTATCCCTTTCAGGCCTCCATCTCCGCCCACACGCACTGAACCACCGCAAAACCGTAACCGTCTATCGGCTCTTGGCCTGCACCTTGCTCGGTGCACCCTTGGCGCCCTGCTTGCTCGTGATCTGACCCCGCGCTGCGTTCGCCGCACTCTTCGCCTTCTCGGCCTTCTTCTTGCTCTCGCTGGCGGCCTTCTTCTCCTTGGCGTCCTTGATCGCTGCTTGACGGGCTGCGGCACGGGCCTCTGGGCGTTGAGAGCGGCGCTCCTTGATCACATCGAGGGAAGCGCCCACGATGGCTCGCTGGTGTTTTACCGTGCGGCGGGTGCGTTTTTTGGCGACTTCCTATTATGTGCAAGGCGTGTTAGTGATACAGTGTCGTGTAGAGAGTGTGCGGGGGTTGAGACGAGTGGTTCATTTTGGCCGTCCTTCCTCTTGGGCTTTTTGATAATTCTGTTCTGCCCGACCGATCTCGTAGTATTCCGCTGGAAGGTAAACGATGGATTTCGATGCGAGACTAACCTCTGAGATACCCTTCTTGTGCATACGTCGGTAGAGCATGGTCCAGGCTATTCTTCTCGGGTTCTTGCGCTGCAAGAAAAGGGACTCGGTCTTGCCATTCTGGAATCGGAAGATCTTGCTGTCGCCTCGGACGTAGAGCTTGCCCTGTTAAAAAGTGTCAGCCTCCGCTTGTCAATGGCAACGAGCGTGCCATGGGAATATTGCGAAATTTCGTCCAGGTCTCGTTTTCCCGCGAGGCTCCGAGGCCAAAAGTGGGCGCAGGGGTACTGACCTTGCCAGGGTAGATCTTGGTGGCGCTGAAAGTGTCGTCGTAGGTACGCATCTTGACGTTCGACTGATGCTGTACCTATTCTTCGATGGTTCGTTGAGTGGGATGGAAAGTTGGTAACGCAGTCGGCGTTCAATAGTCTGCGGCGGAGTTGCAATTCTGCAGTGTGCGCGCCTTAGCTAATGCCAAGAATCATCATTATTACGTTTGAGCAAGAATACTATTAGCGCAGTGTCATTGAAATTGTCACGTGCTTCAGAGGCCCCTTTTTCTTGATCGAAGCGGTGGTATTCTTCCTGAGATATCATCAGTCTCCTGTTGTTTTCCGATCATTTTGTCTCTCTCTAGCGAGATCCTTTGAGTCATTGCCCTACTTCCAATAGTGGGTAGGTTTCCAGCTAATTGTACACGTTGTCATGTTGTCACAGGGGTTGCTCTCTGATGTCCTGTCATCCAAGAGAAGCTCACTAGGACCCCAAATCCCGGCAGCATTATTCGTCTTCATGTCCTTGAAACTTGATTTGTACACCCTTGTCTTGGCTCTTCATAGAGCGCGGCGATTCATATCCTCATCATGCCACAAGCATTCCGCCCACGGATTCTTCTTGCATTTTCGGCACTGGATGTCCTTGCAGATCGGATTGGGGCATTCTCCACAGCAGTCAGGGCAGACCATCTTGCCGCATCCGATCTCCCCACCTTTGGTGCATTGGAGGAAAGTAGGTGCTTCTTGGCCATATGGGAAAAGGAAAGCGATCTGGAGGAGTCTCTCTTCTGCCATCTTGAGCGATTCTGGGTTGTCTTTGTGGATCTTGACGGCCAGTGCAGCGGCTTTGTAGGCGCAGCATGCGCGACCGCAGACAGCACAACAGTGATCAAGGCAAGTAGTGCATTTGAGATTGCGAGAGTGCCAGGCCCGGCTTGTGTTTGGATGACGCGAATATGGCTGTCCTGCATCATAATCATAGCTGTGATTGTTGGTGGTGGTGCGCAAGTAACGTTCCTAGATCTTAATGTTACTCACATTGCCACAATAACCAAGGATTGGTGACCATAACTTACGAGATCAGGTCGGTGAAGCATGTCAGTATTCTGTGGCGAGGCTGAGTCGGGCTGGGGCTTCTCAGATTTTGTCTTGAACAGATCAGTGACTTTGCGTAAACCAGTCCTCTTGTACTCAAGTCCCTCTGAAAGTGGTGTTACAACCGACTTGCTGCTACCAACAGTAACCCTGCCCGGGGTGGATGTGCCAGCGATTGGTGAACCGTCGGTGGAGACGGTGAAGATATCATTCTGGACATTCTCAGCACCAAGTTGGAACGCTGACAGGTTGTTGCTGAGATTGTAAGTGTTCGCTGTGTCAGAGCTTTGTCGTGGCACAGGACGAGGCACGATGGGTCGGCAGGCAAACGGCTCTGGAGGATTTGGGCTGGCTGAGTCTGCCGCGCCAACTGCCTTCGCACTGAATGGGTTGTCTTGGATTTTGCCATTATCGTAGTTCCCTCTAACAAACGCGTTTCCAGGCATCGGCGCTGTGTCGAACTTGATTCTGCTTTGCAGACGAGCTTCACGTTCAGCCTTTTCACGTTCAACCTCCTCGCGCTCAGCTTCGCGTTCTTTTTCGTCAAATCGTCGTCTGGCCTCTTTCACCAGTCGCTTGATTTCCTCTTTCTTGGACGTGCTGATCAGGGAAGGCGCGTCGCTGGTGGAGGTAAAGGGATTAGGCTGGTTCATCGGATGCTGACTGATGTCTGGTGCAGGCATTCTCGTCAGATGGGAAAAGGGTGCTCCGATGACTGTGTGCTTCTTCTGCACAGGGAGTCTGCCTTTGCTGGCACTTTGTTGAGGAGACGAGAGTGGCATGGCGTGAGGTTGGGTGGAGTGGTTTGGCGGTGACATTATGAGAGAATGGGCGGGTTTGATGGTCTTCTCATCATCATCTCGTGCGGCCTTCATGATGTCGGTGGAGGGAGGGTGCTTGACTGGGTCGCTGTTCGGACAGGAGGAATTTGGGTGATTTCGGACAATGTCCAGGGCCAGATTCACGTCAAATTCAAACGGCTTCCCTGTCACAATAGACAAGGGCCTAAAAGACCCTCCTCTACGTCGGTTGTAGAGGGGTGCGACAGAACCAGGACCAGGACGTGAAGAATCACTCACGTGATTCTTCAGCCTCGTGCTCTTCCCTCCGTCTGGCGAAGTCTTCCGACTCCGCACAGACAAGCCCGTCAGGCTCAGCTTCTTCCCCAGAGTCCTTAAGGGGGACCCCGGGGAGCGAAGAAGAGCCTTGACAGACTGCGGCGTTGATGGCCGCGAGGGAAGGCACGAGGCCATCTCGTCAGAGTCCAGACTCCACCGGCTCTGCTCCATGGTGGACGTCTTTGATATGTGTTGATGTGAAAGGGAAAAAGAAACAGCGTGTCTTTGGGCCAACGCTCTCGACAGAAATATGTTGCTCCAGTCCCCGCCGAGCCTCAGAGACGGGTACAAAATCGACCAATGGCGCGCATCAGCCTCCAGTCGCTTCACCGGGGCGATGATGTCGCCGTGTTGGGTGGAACGCATATCAAGATCGGCAATCGATGGTCAGGATGGACGGCATATCAAGAACGACAAAGACCGAGATGGACCACAAGCACTCTGTCCCCAAGAGAAGGACGAACAACAGCGGACGACACAGCACACATGCCACGACAGACACCTCAAAGACAAGCACAGAAACAATCCAGAGCCCGACTCACCACGGTGGATGGTAAACAACCTCAAACCAAAGAATTCTCAATTGTATTCATCATGGGATAGTAGTATTCATCGTGCTGAGAGAATCGAAGGCAAGAGGCATTCTTCTCCGGTCATTGCGTCAAGGGCGAAGGCTCCAGGCTCCTCAGATCGTCGCTCGTTCCGTTCCATGCTACAGCTTCATCGAGTTCTCTCTTTCGACAACCCTTTCATTCCTTGCTCCCGGTCATCAAAATGGAACGTTAAAATCATGGCATGGCATAGGTTTTGGTCCATTCTCTCGCTGTCTGGATCGCGGCCTCCTGGTCCTCCTTCCATCGCTGAGCAACATCATTCGCCAAAGGATCATCCGGATTTGGAGCACCTAGCAGAGCCTGAATGGAAAGGAGAATTGTTCTTATTTGAAGCGCAGGCGACCAATTGCCTTGACAGAGGTTAGGCCCTAGTCCAGCCCAAAGGACAGAATTACTCACTCTTCAGCACATCCAAGCAAATTCGGCCGAGCTTGTCGATGTTGGGATGGTATATCTTGGTCAGAAATCTGATCTTGGGAGGGGTCATCGGGTAGTCGTCTGGCAGGAACAGTTCGAGCTTGAAGACACCTCCTGCAGAGAATCAGTTCTGACGACATCATGCGTTGCGGTAAGATGCCCACATACCTTCATATGGAGATTGTGATGGACCATGTATGCTGACATCAAAGTATCGCAGATTGTCTTCATGAGGCACCGCGCTAATCCCAGGGACACTGAAAGACTTAGATGGACCCTAAGTCAGTTCTAGGGCCAGGATGGGACGTACGGCTCCGCCATCAACCTCTCTGTCTCTTTTATGATTCGCTTGGGCAGCGCCATCACGAAGGTATAAGTTTCAACAGGCCGCAGAGGGCGCGTTGAAAGAGCTGGACCAGGACAGTGTCGGAGAGCTCAGCTCTCAAATATCCCCGCAGGTAGGATCGGAGAAGGAGGTCAAACCGGGGAGGAAGTCGTGGAAGGGAGGCTGAAAGGATCTGGGAACGGCAGTTTGCAGCAGGTGGGGGGACAGTGTCTGTAGAAGAATGGTGTCTAGGTCAACGGTGGGGGATACGGCCGCCTGAGATAAGTTATTGGCACAGGGTTGTGGCTGCTCTGCTAAGGCAATCGGTAGTCACCGTTGTTTGAGTCACTCTGATTGATATAATACCTGTAGGTCGATAGCACTTGGAGTCAACTGCGGTTTCCATCCAGACATCATGACTCAGAGATAATCTTGGCAGCAGTATTTCATCCGTGGAGCATGACTCGCCTCATGTGGCTGCGATATTTCCCTCATCCAATTGTCTCCCTTGTCACCACTTCCTCACCTCGTGGCAGGTCAAGTGTTGACTACACTGGCATTCATTGGTTTGTCTCTGTTGATGTGTGTATCAGCAACGATATTTTGCCTAGTCACTAGCCTCCATCCCGCGCATTTCGACGTGAAGTCCTGAACCAGGTCCACCGCACCTGCAATTGCAAACCCTCCATTGGCCTTGGACAAAGAGCTACTTGTGTCTCCTATCAGAAAGTCCGCCGGACTGCACTACAATCAATATGGGTATGGAGCTCGACGCTGTGCAGCTCCTTGGATATCGTTATGCACGGTGACAGCCTTACCGCCCCGTCACACATCCAATCTCGCCCCGCATTTTAGCGTCCCGCACACAATTGTATCCCTTGGTAGACCGATACGAGAAGGCTGTCCCACCTTTGGACGAACACCATCATATGAGAGTTGACTTGGGTGCAGTGCGCCATGGCGGATCTGACCTTCAGTCCAGCCCTGGAGACATAGCAGTTCCTTCATGGTAGGGTCACCGCTGGGACATGCCACCACAATTGAGTGGGAATTCTTGACCCACTATTCGTACTTAGTCCACAGGTCGGCACTCTGTGTCTATGTTAGGACACTGTTACGAAAACCCAGATTCATTTCTTGGTGGAAGACTCTACTTAAGCAAAAACTCATCCTCCTTCGTGCTTCTGTCCGACTCTACTTCTTTTGGGCCTTTACGACATCGCGACACCAATAAATGGCAACACGGGAACAAGATGAGGGTCTCGAGACCACGGATGTGATAATATGTGGATGCGGCCCTACTGGGGCATTGCTAAGTGCGCTCCTAGGTCGAATGTCCGTCAAGAATGTTGTATTGGAGAAAGAGAAGGACATCGTGACCGATCCGCGTGGAATTGCTCTGGATGAGGATGGAATTCGACTACTCCAGGAGATAGGTTTGTACGAGCAGATATACGGCGAGATTGGACAACACATTGGATGGACATTATTCACCTCTGGAAAGCATGGGCTCATGACCAAGCCATTCATGAAAATGAATTTAAACTCCACCGAAGGAGGTACCGGCCATGTTGCTGCTATCGCCCACAAGCAGCCTGTGATGGAAAAGCATCTCCGCATGGCCGCGAGCAGCTGCCCTAGCTCACAGCTGTGGCTTGGGTCGACCATTGTGGATATAGAAGAGAATGAGGACTCTGTCCAAGCACAATATATCGACAACAATGGCACACAGTCCACCATTCGGGGGAAGTTCTTCGTGGGAGCAGATGGTAAAACCGGGTTTACACGTAAACGCTATCTGGAACCAAAAGGTGTCCTCCTCCAAACACTTTCTGGGTGAGACATGTTTATTGCAAGAGGCACATCAAGCAAAGTTGACGTGATGCTAGCTACGAGTATCAGGAGACGTGGGTTGCGATGAACTGGCACATGAATCTCCCCACGCCAGAGACACACCCAGGATTTCCCCTTTGGAAACTGAATTACACCCCTGAACAAGTCTACGATAAATTCTTTCCACCAAACTTTCGATTTATTGGCAATCCTGAGAGGCCCTCTGTCTGCGGAAGCTTCGGTCCACGGAGCGAGAGACTCTGGCGGTTTGAGTTTGTGGTGGACCAAGGGGAGGATCCGCAGGAGATGGCTACTTGGGAGAAGACGTCTGAGATTGTCTTACCATACTTGACACACCCAGGCGCTTATTATGGGTAAGCTCTTCAATCTCCATGTAGTGGTGTCTTTCTGCTCACCACCCACATCAAACTTGACTAGTTTGAAAGATGCTGTGCAATACCCCCTGGATTGTATCCACGTTCTACGGTCGAGACCTTTCACTTTTGCTGCTAGAAGCTGCAACAAATGGACTGTCGGAAGACTGATACTATGCGGTGATGCTGCCCATGTTATGCCTCCATGTACGTGGTTCATACCTACAACCGAGTTCCACATTGACAGAAGTAGTTGGCGGCCAAGGAATTGTCTCAGGATTTAGAGACGCTTCAGGGATTGCATGGAGGCTCGCACTAGCTTGTCGACCCGACTTCGATGGAAGCTTTGAAACACTTTTCAATGGATGGTTTCTGGAACGAAAGCAGCAGCTGGACCACTCACTTGCTGCTACAGTGGCCAACGGAAATCTCACCACCGCGCGGAATCCCGCGAAGATCTTTTTCCGGGACTGGATCCTATGGCTGATGCAGCTTGTCCCCAGCTCCAGACATAAGCTCGAATTGGGTCCTCGTGTATACGGCATGAACCGATATGCATTCAACACCGGGATGGCATTCCTTCCCGATCTAGCAGGCGGACGCTGTTTCCCACAAGTCTACTGTTGTCCAGCGTTCCCTTTGACCAGTGATTTGGTAACAAATGTCCGCTTTACAGACGACGTTTTCTTCAGTGACCCAAGCAGCAACGCGCTCCTGCGGCTCATCGTCGTGGTTGATGATCTGGAGCAAGCAGAGAAAGCGTGGCTAGAACTCAAAACCCTGGACCTAGGGAAAGCCTCCAACAATGAAGTCCCCAAGGATTCCGCTTTCTTCCTCATCCATTCTCCCGTGCTCGAAAACCGCCCAGCAAGCACCTCGTCGGATGTCCCCCAACAGAGCGTTTATCGCATAGCAACTGGGGACGAGTTCGCCGTATCAGACCTTTGTAGGAATCGGCCATACCCGACAGGATACGACATGTATCGGATCAAAAAGGATATGGGAGGGAGAAAGTATGTTTTGGTCCGTCCTGACCGATTTGTCTATGCCGCCTGTCACACCGGTGCAGAGCTCATTGTTGCTTGCGAACGCATCCCACGGACATTGTGCGGATCTTCTAGTACGACAAGACCGCGCGATTCGAAGCTCTAGATGCGCTGGGAGCTGGATATCAACAGGATGGGTAATATCGAGAAGAGCTCATATATCTACACGTTTACAAAGTCACCCGCCAGGACAGTTAGTAAAGCAAATCCCTGGTATTGAGTGTAGCTCGAATGCAAGTACCCCCAGGGCAGCTCAACCTACCCATGCAAGGGGCGACTGGAGACTGCCAGAGCGCGCCAGAGCAGCATTCAAGTTTTATCTCTAGGGAGACAAAGAACGCCTGAAAGTTGACCATACGATGTTTTGACAGGTCTCTCAGTAACAGCAGTGTAGCCAGCACCTGCAGAATTGTCCCAGCTGGTTCTAATGTCGTTCAAGGCTGTCTTGCGCACCTCTCCGAGTTCTCAACAAGGCTCCATACCCCTCCTGACTTGCCAAGCGTGCCAAGCTCACGTGCAGATCTGGCCATGTCGATGCTGACTGATGTATTATGTAACCAATATTGGCATTTGAGCCAGCAAGGCTTTTCCGAACCACGACGCTTGCTACCTTTGTACCTCGTACGTAGATACATATCGACCCTTGCGTGCCATGCTCGCTTCTCACATACTGTACTCGGTACACTGAGCGGACCTTGGCATAATCATCATCAGCCTCCGCTCCTATCATTTGGTGCTCTTGAGATTTTGATGCTCGGGCTGATGCGGACTGACCTCCTACCAACAGAGCACAGTCTCACGACGCGTTTGGTGCCGTCGCCACTTGAGATGAAGGCTTCCGGTTCGCTGCTTCACGCCCTTGGCGGATCCTCATTCCCTCGCCGTCCGTCGACCGGAGTTTTAGACGAATACTGAGCGCGGAACCCGGATATCTGGCTGGAATAGCGGGGCTTCTCGCAGACATGGCTCCTCGAGGTCCAGCTTCCGCTTTCGACAGCGAAACCTTCGGCCAAGATGCATCTTTCAGACTCGAGCAGCCCGTGGGATCCATGACCATTTCCCCAAGCGGGCGTGATGTTGCATTGGCCTCCAAAGAGGGACTTCATATCATTGACCTCGATTCTCCCTACTCTCCACCACGTTACCTCCCTCACCGGACGCCCTGGGAGGTTGCTGACGTTCAGTGGTCTCCATTCGCTGCGAGGGACTATTGGGTGGTCAGTACGTCGAACCAAAAGGCTCTGGTTTGGAATCTGGATGCTCGATCATGGCAGGATCCTATCGAGTTCGTCCTGCACGGCCATACTAGAGCAATAACCGACATCAACTTTTCCGCCCATCATCCTGACGTCCTTGCGACTTGCGCCGTTGATAGCTTTGTGCACAGCTGGGATCTGCGCGCTCCAGCGAGACCCGTTAATTCCTTCTCTGACTGGTTTGCTGGTGCTACCCAGGTCAAGTGGAGCCGACAAGACGAACATGTTGTTGCCAGCGCTCACGATAAGTTCCTCCACATTTGGGACGACCGAAATGGTGCATATCCCGTGCGCACCATTGAAGCCCACGGAACGAAAATCTATGGGATCGACTGGAACCGCCACGATCACAACAAGCTTGTCACTTGTTCCCTGGATCGGACCATCAAATTTTGGAATTTCAGCGGGGAAGAAAGCACTCTGGAGCGCGTCATCGAAGCTCCGTTCCCCGTGTGGAGGGCACGTCATACTCCTTTTGGATGGGGACTGCTCGCCATGCCACAGCGCGGGAACAGCGACCTGCATCTCTATGATCGTCGTGCGGTCAATGGGGTCTTCGAGAGCGGCGCAGTCCGACCGGTTGCGACATTCAAGGGTCATGAAGGCCAGGTCAAAGAGTTCCTGTGGCGCGCTCGGGGTACAATTGCCGACAACGTAGACCATCGAGACTTCCAGCTGGTGTCCTGGGGTACGGACAGGGAGTTGAGGCTCCATGCCCTTGAGCCCGATATATATGCAGACATCGGGTACGAAAAAGGTGTTTCCAAAATCCAACGACTGAATTTCACGCGAAGAGGCGCAGTGTACAAGACTTTTCGCGATGTACCGGGAGACGTCGACTCCCCACTGGACGAAACACCTCGCAGTGAAGTCTTCTCCCGTCACAGCCACCTCACGCATTTCCGACCTCGTTCGAGCACCAGCGTTGGCATGAGTAAAATGCCTGTTTCACAATTCCGTGGCTGGGTCCAAGGGGGCCGTTATGCGCAAAGATCTGGCATGCACGGAAGAGGCAACAATCGGCAGAATACGGATCCAATATCATGGTTGAAGAATGTGAAGATATTTTCTTGGGACCCTGACACCTTGGCTGAGGAGATTCGACAAGTCGGAGAGAAATTCAAAAAGGTAGAGTTTGAGGTCGTTGATATCTCGCATCGAAAGGCCGTCATGTCGCTGCAAGCCCCTTGGGGGGAGGACCAGAGCCAGGTGTACTTGAGAGTGGAGATGAGGTTTCCGAAACAATATCCACAGAAAGCAAACGCAGTCTTGACTCTGCAGAAATCGAGGTTTCTGGACGAAGCCACGCACCGACTGATAACAACAGAGCTGCACACAATTGCAGAAACCTATGCCTCCAGGAAACGCGGGTGTTTGGAAGCAGTTCTACGGTACTTACTCAGAGAGCAGAATCTGGAACAGATTGTGTCTTGGGTTCTTGGAGAATCACTGGTCGATTCAAAGATCTTGGACACGAGCACGATCGGAGCCGACGACTCTAGCAGTGACAGTGACGATCAACTCGAGGGCGTGCGAGAAGGCCTCGATGCTTCGGCGAACGTTCTTGTGCCGCTGGCCAAGGGCTGTGGTGCCATTTGGTCCGAGACTGGAAAGTTGATTTGCTTCTTTCCTGCCAAAGGAAATGAACCTGTCTCCTTTTTGAGCACCTTGGGCGTCAAAGACCTCGACGAGTCCGACTCGAGCAGACTCTTCGAGGGCTTTGGCCGATTACACACAAGCTCACCTGCCCACAAAACCACCCGAGGAACCAAGACCGCGGACGACAACTCGGACTCTGACACATCAGACTCCTCGTGGAAGTCATCCAGTAGTTCCTCGTCCTCATTCGAGAGCGAGCAAAACATTCCTGGCGTGTCATCATACCGAGTCGGAGCTTCCGGGCTCCAACAACGGTCACGCTCACCGGATCGTTCCAACCAATCCACCACCGGTGGCGCCAACAAGCTGAATGATGCTCCCCGTAAGAGTGCTGTGTCAATACACACTTTCGATGATCTGATTCCATCAAAGCGCGAGCTGGCGGTTCAATATCAGATGTTTGGAGACGGACCAGAAGTTTGCAAACACAATGCTGACGTTGCTCGAGACGCATTGTTCAAGGACCTGGAGTCCGTGTGGACTGTTGTCAGCCTTGTCTTGGACCACTCGGTGCCTCTGGAAGTTCTCTCAGAGGTCCGGAATCCGAGTTTGCGAGACTTGTTGGTGATCGCGAAACAGGCACAAGGAAGGGGTCCCCGAAAGGGCAGCTTTCATTTAGACAGGCACAAGATCTTTGGGAGGACTCGATGGGGCAACCACCCGCTTGGCTCGACGTACCTGCTTCCAGCTATCTTCGACTACTTTGAACGACTCGGCGATGTACAGATGCTTGCCACCTTGGCTTGCGTCCTTGCATCAAGTCTCAACAACGGTTTCATACCGGGTGACACGCAAGAGACAGCGCATCAGCCTCCTTCCGGCGACATCTCCCTCATTCGGGGTGACTATTTTCCATCCAGGGCCGCGGCCAAATCTTCGCTCCGAAGAGATGTCGACGTGGAAGGATATGTCTTTGTCCACTCCAAAAATGTGCCGCTGAGTCCCGGTATTCCAGGACTGGGAAGCTCTGGAAGTCGACGCAGGCCACGCCATATTCTAGGCCGCCAAGCGAGTCAGCTCTCCTCGACAGCGACTAGTTTCGTTGCTGAAGACTCTCATGACCACTCTGCGCCCTATTCAACTGCTGTCTCCGTGTCGACGTCTCCCGAAGGGAATCGGCCAAGCAACAAGTCAGCCTCGGGCATTTCTTATCCTTCTGCGCGAGCAAGTCTCTCGGCTTTGACACAGTCCTATTCAAACTCCCCTCCGAATCAAAGCTCATCGTCGGGCTTTGCATCCAGTCTGAAAAAGTACAGCCCCTCAGGGTCACTGGCTCCTGGCTGGGTGTCTTCTGGCATATTTGGCAGTCAAGCAACGAGCCGGGGTTCACGGCCATCCTTTCCTTCTAATGAAGGCGGGAGTCACGATAGCCGCGAGCTAGGCAATCGCTCATTGCTGTCGTCCTCTGGCGCGCAGAATTCTCGCAAAGGCAAAACTTTGCAAATGCCAGCAGGCCGGAACAGCGATGCGCCTACGGTTGGCTCGGAGTTGTCAGAGAAGACTGGGGGAAAGAAGCCTCCAAAGCGTAGGAGGATTAAAACACACCTGGTCAACCAGGACAAATTCGATTTAGACGGGTACTCATCTACGTCAATCTTGGATGTTGACCTCAAAAGCAAGTGCAGATTCTACCAAGAAAGCTATGCAAAACTTCTTGACGTGTGGCAGTTACACCTACAACGCGCCGAGGTTCTCAAATTCGATGGCATAGTGGCAGAAGGGTTGGAGTTGGGGCATGGCCGATCAAATACTGTTCACTCGACCGCTGGCGATGGTCTAGAGCGGCCACGCAGGAAGATGTTGACTTCGGCATCTCAAGCCACAAATCTTGGTCTCGAAATAAGGCGCCTGTGTCGCAATTGTGGTGAGCTCCCGGCCCCGATAGAGAAAAATGGTATACCCATTGCATGGCAATGCGTCACTCCGACATGCATTTCGTCCGATCAACAGTTGGGAGTGAGAGCTGGCAAAGCGCCCAAGCGAAGTGCCTGTGCCATTTGCCATACCTCGATTCAGGGTCTGGCGGTGCCTTGCTTACAGTGTGGGCATATGACATGCTATGACTGTGCTCAGGGATGGTTTGGTGCTCGACAGGCAAAGGACGACAAGACAAGATCGAGGCGGTCTTCGGCCGAGAAAGCACAGCTTTCGCCAGTTGAGGACGAGGACAATGCGGATGGCTTCAGCGAGGAGCAGCCGAATGAGCACGATTCTTGTCCAACAGGCTGCGGCTGTCCCTGTGCAACGCTCATCACCGTCGACGTCCCATATCCTTCGCCGACCGATAGAAGTGTCAACATCGGCAATCGTGAGCATTCCTATCTGGAACCGCCCCAATTGACCCATCAACTTAGCCGTGGCAGCGGAGAAAGTTTCAATCTACCTCGCTCGACAAGTGTCGTCGTCCCTCCATCACATTCGCATTCCTCGACCGAAACCGCGACTGGAGGCGCAGATACCGCGTTGGCGGCTTTTCTAGCTCTCACTCAGTCCCACCAACGATCGAAGTCGGTTCATGTGGTGTCAGCACGAAGCAAGGCATCCTCGGTCTCTCGACCTCCTGAGGTGCAAAGCCGAGGTGGGTTGAGCAAAACGCCGAATGACAGCGGCAAAACGACCATATCAGACAGCGATGCAGAGCCAGCGACAGTGTCGCAATCGGGTGAAGGGGAGGATTCGAACTCTCTCAACCCTTTTGTCGGGAGCAAGATTGCGACGCTGGGACGAGGGATCGGCGCCGGCCTCAGTCGCGGCTTAACGTCGAAGGCAAGTGACGCTACCATTCGCAAGATCAAGCGATAGATCGGCCGGAGGTGCTTTGTATGTTTTCTAGTATTTTGTACTCATTAGTTTGTGGATTGATATGTAACACTATAGCTATGGGTGCATGGGGGGGAATGTGTGTACGAATATGAGGGAAGTGAGATGAGATGACCTGATATGAAGACGATGTTGGGGGAATGTTGGTGACGTGGAGGATGTGGTGTACAAGTAGTAATGGTGGTAAAAAGACAATAAACATGCCAAGCATTATACCAAGCATTCTGTATCGGTACTTAGTGCAATACCAAGCATGGACTAGTGCCACTAAGTAGCTATGACTTAGTGTGTTCATACTCGGAGGCATTAACAAGCATGACTGGTGCTACTGAATACTACAACATACGAGTGCCGAATACCACCTGCCAACTCCAGACCTCTATCGACCGATTCATTCTCCATTTGCTCATCCCCCAGCATCTCTGCATTTCCCCATCACTCGGCAATTGAGCGGCAGATTTTCTCTGCCGACATGCATGGATCTGCAATGTAACTAGCTAGCATCCTTTCCTTGCCATTTCCAGCAGGAGGCAATGAATGGAGTAGTGATCGCCGTCCGCTCCACAATCCCCCGCAATGGCGACGTCGTCTATTGTCAACTACGGGCAAATGGTCAGTGATTCGACCTCCAACACCGGCAATGAGGTGTCACAGGGGCCTTCTGGCAGGAGCAGCAGCGACCGCAACCCCCGCCTTTGATGGATGGATGGATGGATCGGCATAACCTGCAGGAGAAAGAAACCTTGTTCATGTCTGTGTCCCCGTGCTTGCTTGACTGAACAACTCCCCGGTGGCCGCTTGGACATGAAAACCACATCTCATGGGGGTCATCGGCACTTCAAGCCGACCAGTAAAGCAGCTGCGTGATGCGGTGAGTACATGGTAACGGGTGAGTTATAAGCTGAAAGGCCCATTCTCTCGTGACGTGCCCGTTTCCGCGTGCGTCTGTTGTCCCCTCCTCTCTTCTGAAAAACAAAGATACTTGTGAACACGGCATGATACTGCTTCCCATGTGCAGGCTGCTGTGCTTGCTGCTCGGCTCGGCCGTGTGGACGGCGTCGGGCTCCCACGCGGCACTGATCGCCCGTCAAGGTGGCCAAGCACCGACCGTCAAGGTCAAGAACGGCAGCTATTATGGCGTCTACCAACCGACATATGATCAAGATCTGTTCCTGGGCATGCCGTTCGCCCAGCAGCCCCTGGGGAACCTCCGCTTCAACCTGCCCCAGTCTCTCAACACGACGTGGACAACCGCCAGAAACGCCACGCAGTATGGTTACGAGTGCTACGGCTACGGCAGCGACCAATGGGTTCTGGGCAATGTGGTGAGCGAGGATTGTTTGACGCTGAATGTCGTCCGCCCGAGCGGCGTCGCGCCGGACGCGAAGCTACCGGTCGGCGTCTGGATTCATGGCGGTGGCTTGTAAGGACAATCAGCCAATACTTGATGGACGAACCATGCAAAAGACTGATGACTTGCTACAGCACTGAAGGGGGGAGCCGTGACCCTCGATATAACTTGAGCTTCATTGTACAGCAGTCGGTCGAGATGAACCAGCCCATCATCGGGGTGAGCTTGAACTACCGTCTCCAGGCGTTTGGATTCATATACGGCACCGAAGTGATGAAGGCTGGAGTCACCAATTTGGGATTCCGCGACCAACGTCTGGCGTTGCACTGGATCCAAGAGAACATTGCGCCTTTTGGCGGAGATCCGACCAAGGTCACCATTTGGGGCGAGGTGAGCAGTTTCGGTTTTTCTGTCGCGTCGTCTCTAGGGGGAACTGAGTCACTGACGAACGAATCTCCCTTGCAAAGAGCGCGGGCGGTAACTCTATAGGCACACAACTCATTGCATATGGTGGTCGAGACGACAAGCTCTTCCGCGGGGGCATCATGGAAAGTGGAGGACCGCTTCCGTTTGATCCCTTGACCAATGCGTCCTCTTGGGACAAGTACTACAACAGCATCACCAAGGCGGCGAACTGCAGCTCCGCACAAGACACGCTTGGGTGTTTGCGCAAGGTCCCGATCGAGAAGCTCAACAGCGTGCTGAACAGCAGTGCCACGGCCACCGTCCCTGGCTGGGGCGCTCAGATCGACGACGACGTACGTTTTATTTTCCCTCTCCTCTTCTCTCCTTTGTTCAGCGAACGAACCTGATGAAGGGAGCCTTGCTAATGACAATGTACACGCAGTTCATCACCGGCTCTGCCGCGGAACAACTCGTGGCGGGCAAGTTTGTCCGCGTGCCCATACTGCACGGCACGAATTTCGACGAAGGCACCGCGTTCGGCGCAAAGGGGGTCAACACGACAGCGCAGTTCCTGGCCGCGGTACAACGCACCGGTCCCAACGCCACCGTCGCCGAGGCTTTTGCGCTGTTATACCCGGACATCCCGGCCATTGGGATCCCCGCGACCCTGGACGGCCGTCCTTCGGGGAACTACTCGTTCCTGGGCGCGCAGTACAAGCGCGCGAGCGCTTACGGGGGCGACATCCTCATGCAGGCGCCCCGGCGCGCGACCTCGCAGGCCTGGGCGGCCCACAACGTCAGCAGCTGGAGCTACCACTTCAACGTGGTCCCAAACGGCGTGCCCCCGCAGACCGGCGCCACGCACTTCCAGGAAGTGGCCTTTGTGTTCCGCAATCTCCTCGGCGAGGGGTACAACAACTCGGTGGCGATGGACCCGTTCGCGGGGAAGCCGCCGTCGTACGACGCCCTGGCCACGGCGATGAGTCGGATGTGGGCGAATTTCATCGCGTCGGGGGATCCAAACGGCGCGGGTGGTGCGAACGGTAAGCTGCATGATGCCCCATACGTCGCATCTTTTTAGATTCTCTTCCTTTTTGGAGGAAACGTCGATTGCTGACAACCTCTCTCTCTCAAAGCCTCATCAACATCCATCCACTGGCCGGCCTACACGCTGGCTCAGCCACAAAACATCGTCTTTGACACCAACGCCACGAACCTGATGTACATCGAGGACGACCTCTACCGCGCCGAGGGGATTCAGTACATGATTGATTTGTTTCCGACGGTTTATGGTCGATGAAGATGACAATGATGACAATGATATGATGATGATCATGGTATGTGTTTGAGCTGATGGATGCTATTATCGCAGCATTCTGGGATAAATAAAGTCAGAAGCTACATACAATTACCAGGGTCACACGTGCGATTCACCAGTATGAAAACATTACTGGTGGTGCCAATGTGATATACGGTGGACGGCAAACTTTCCAAGGAGCAACAGTCTGCTTTGGTAATGCTTGAGATGCTCCAATACGCTTTGCAAGCTTGCAAAGCCTTCCAGCTCGTGGGAGTTAGCTGGCCTAAAGTGCGCCCGACTGCAGTGCGACAATGCCCCTCACATCTTCATTGTTGACGCAGGGCGTTTCAGCCAATTCCGAAACGCCACATGTGACGACGCTTGGAGAGGAGGAGAAGGGGCGTCGATAGCATTCTACCAAATCATGACTGGCTCCGGTCTTTACGACCAACGGTGCCTCAAAGGCGTCCATACCCAGAGACCCAATCTGAGCTCAATTATTGTGCGTTGGGCATTAACACCTTACTGCGCTTCTCCTTCATATTAGACCACTGAGATTGCGAACTCTAGTTCTCATACCTTGGTACAGGTTATTCACACAGGTCGAGGAAGCGGACTAATCTGACTTTCATCCAGTGAGTGAGACTATGGCACGTTGCTTTAAGCCAGAGGATCACCCTACCAAGACCAAGCATCATCCGCTTGTCGACCACATGCTTAGCACAGACACGCAATCCGCTCCAATGCTGGTCGTCGAACGTCGACAAGTTCTATCCGCAAGTACGACACATCAGTCTGACCAGCAACAGCCGCTGCCTGACATGGCGCCAGTGGTTGGTCTCAACTTGGCACCTAACTAATTTTCCGATTGTGACTAACTGGTTTATGGGTGGATAGGTACGCGCGAAGCTAGTCCAGTACGGTACGACAACTGGCGGCGCGAATGTGGGTGTAGGCGGTCGCCAGGTATTTAAGAAGAAAGTTGAGTTTGGTGAGGATCAAGAAATGCCTCTTACCCACCAGGAAACTAACCTCGTGGTTTGAAGGAGTGACCGAAGTGCCGCACGACTCCCGGAATAATCCACGAAATGAGGAACACACCAGAGCACAGCAACAGAGCGAAGACGGCTCCCATGAACATGACGTCCAAGTTGATCTCTCCTTACCAGCACCTGTTCGAACTAATTTGATAGCAGGATGACGGGCCCGAGGTTACTGATATTAATGGAGAGCCAGGGGAGGATGAGCTGGACGAAGCCAGCCTCGTCTACATTCAGCGTGGAACAATCAGCGGCGGTGCTACCGTCACCGTCGATCAAGACCAGGTGTTTGAAGACGAAGTCAAGTTTGGGTAAGATGCACCGAATTATCAACATGTATGCCCGTCGGAATCCCCTTGACTGACAATTTTCCAGTGGAACAAAAGTGGTCAGATCGACATGATCTTGCCACTGCCAGAGAATTGTGGGCACTTTGATGCTACAAAAAAAAAGGCTGCTCTAGATATGGCCGGCTAACATCTATTACCTACCATTGCTGCAGGTAGATGCTGCGATAGAACAAAAGAGTCCACCGTTATCTAGACACTATGTGAGCTGAAGGACCTTTCATTTTCAACGAGAGCGTATCGGGGCACCACACTTGGCACCGCATTAGTACCGCACGAGGCTCGTGGCATATGAAATGTATGTGCAACTGCTAGTCATTTTGTAGACGTCCATCTTGTATGAACCTCGACCTCGTTGCCGCCGACCTTATATAGGGAGCCATGATGTTGCAAATCTCAGCCTTACCTGTCAGCCTCATACGCCTCTCGTGAATCTCCAATCTCGCTCGCCGCTCTCGACTCCTCATATCTCCTCATGTGAACTCTCTTCCTCTTCTCTCTACCCAATCTTAGCGGTGCTGTGGAGATTGGCAGTTCGTACGCGGAGGGTTACAGAGGCGAAGCATCAGGAGAGGCACGGCCACAGCCTCTCTACAGTCGTTGGCGTTTGAGATGGTAAGGACCGAGTAACAGGTGTAGTGTAGTAGGAGAAAGTTAGTCGTCTTAGCGCCACTATAATGATTGATAACTAACTGTCGAATGGGTCCTGGTTCGCCGCCTAGTACCTCGTATAGCTATTGTAACCTGGAGAAGCTGCTTTAGGTTAGTGCCTCGTACAGTATAGGGCGGCATCACCCTAAGCCGGGAAGAACAAAATGTCTATCGTGGCCCAGAAAAGCGTCGCTCCTCAATTTGTGTGACTGCATCATATGGGAGTAGATGGGCAAAGTCCAGCGTCAAGGCCGCAAGCATCAGCACCACTCAACATTCGGCAAATCCACCGTGGTCAGGAGACAGCACAGCCATCACCCTCCCACCAAACCCAAAGCACCATCCACCGGGTCCCAACATGGTCAGCCACAGGCACGGGTCAAGGTGCCTTTTACCAAGAATGACAACGTCCTGCTTGTTGGCGAAGGTGAGTGCCAGTGCCCGGTCTTCCTGGTTTCGCGGCCTCCAGACGGACTTGATGGCTCACTGATGCGGTGGCTGCTAATGACATTCTAGGAGAGTTTTCGTTCTCGCTGTCGTTGAGACAACACCACAAAGTGAACCAAATAGTAGCAACCTGCTACGACTCCGAGGACGTGCTCCAGAGCAAATACCCGGATGTCCAAAAGACTATAACACAGCTCCGGTCGGCCGCTCGTGGCAATGATACCGACACAACACACCATGAGACAGTTCAAGGCAATGAGACCGCGAACCACAAAGACGACGAATGGAATGGGTTTTCTCCGTCGCCACCTGAATCCCCTACTCACGATCAAGTCGAAGACTCCGATAGACCTCGAGACGAGGAAGCTGTCCACATCCTTTACGGCATTGACGCTACGAAGCTTGCGTCGGCGCATAAGAAAGCCCTAAGGCCATATTCTCCCTTCACCAAGATTGTCTTCAACTTTCCCCATGTGGGAGGTCTAAGTACCGATGTCAACAGGCAAGTACGCTACAACCAAGAGCTGCTGGTAGGGTTTTTTCGATCGGCCAAATCGTTGCTCTCGTCTCGAACCCGTCCGGCCTCGATTAGAGATGACGGGAGTGACTATGATGATATCTCAGAGGGTCCCAAGCCTGGCGCGGTGAATGGCCAGATTCTCGTCACGCTGTTTGAGGGCGAACCTTATACGTTGTGGAATATCCGGGATTTGGCCCGTCACTGCGGCCTCAGGGTGGTGGAAAGCTTCAAGTTCCCGTGGTCTGCCTACCCAGGGTACCGTCACGCGAGGACAGTTGGGGATATCACCACCGGCAAGGACAGGAGCGACGAAGGGAAGAGGAAAGGGGCCTGGAGAGGCGAGGAGCGCGATGCTCGGTGCTACGTGCTCGAGGACCAAACTGCGGAGCCGGAGGACGTGGTGTCACCTCGAGGGAAGAAAAGACGGAAGCAGGGGAGTGACGAGGACGACAGCGAGTGACATGATGTCGCTGTGAATATCCATAGAGGTATACGAGGTATACATAGCCGTCACCACAAGTGCAGTATTATATTGTCCAGACCTTGTCATTTGGTTGTTGCCAAGGACGCCCAGACAGCCAGCTGGACTCCCTGACTCCTCACGAACAACCCAAACCGTCCACTTTTCTCCGCAAACTCAAGCCACGAGCCACACGCCGCCCCCAATCAATTCCACTTTCTTTTCTCTCCCTTCACTACTTGGTACTACTCCTACTCTTTTCCCTTACTTACCACCGCATTAGACATCTACGGCCCATAGAATATCTGTCGCAACCACATCTGACATCCTCAGTAACCCTCCACCATGGCAGACGATGCGCCTCGCAAGCGGTCACGGTTCGACCAGACAGAACCCGAGCCACGAAAGACTTCGCGCTTCGACAGACGCTCCAGATCTCCATCGTCCCGACACAGCGAGTCCAGGAGAAGTCGCAGTCCGCTCGCAAAAGCTAGTCAGAGTCCCGCAGCGTCTGAGAAGCGCAGCACCCCTCTAGATCCAGCTGCCGCCGCAGGTAACTTCCCTCATGCATACATGCCGTGTCGCGCTGCTAACACTCACAAAGCTGCCGCTGCTGCAAAGATCAATGCTGAGCTGCAAGCCCGCAAGGGCATCCAGCATGTCGACGTCCCTCCAGTTCGATCCGTACGTCGATCTAGACGTCTTGACAAGGCGTGTACGCTGACCGTTCTTTTAGTCACTCACTCCGACCCCTGCTCCGACTCCTGCGACCCCTTCCTCCGGTCAAAGCGCAGCCAAGGTCGATGGGGAGATCTACATTGCCGATGGAGACTATATCAAGGACATTGAGGTGAACGACCTGCGCAACCGCTACACTTTGACAAAGGGCTCTACGCAAAGGATGGTAAATTTCCCCTCTCACCTACTTTGGTTGCATCGTTTGCGTGGTACTGGGTGTGTCGAGCTGTCCTCAAGAAACAACCTATCTTTGTCCGGCGAGAACTAGTACTCCAGTCGAAGGATGCCTCTGACCAAATTTAACGTGGGTAATTTGCTGACACGGCTTGTCTGTCTTTAGATCAAAGAAGAGACCGGAGCTGGTATGATTACCCTGGCGCAATTCTTTGAGGGTTGCACAAGACTTACCTGTATTCTAAAGATGTCACAACCCGCGGTTCCTACTATCCGGATAAGTCTATGGCTACTGCAACGGTAAGCCACACAGAACCTACAAACATGACCGGTTCGACTAATGGGACGCAGAATCCACCTCTGTATCTGCACGTCACCAGCACCACCAAGGCCGGGCTCGAGAAGGCTATTGCAAAAATAGAGGAGCTAATGAAGCAAGAACTTCCCAACCTGGTTGACGAAAGACGCTTTCGCCGCAGGGAACCGGAGCAATTTGAACGAGATGAATTTGGCAGGGTACGTAAAGACGACATGATTGTTTGGTTGGTTCTCGCAACTCACCTGTGATCAGAGAAAATGGCCCGAAGAGCGGATTCCCATCGACATGGAGAATATTCCCGGATTCAACCTCCGCGCACAGGTCGTCGGTCAAGGCGGTGCCTACGTCAAACACATCCAACAGGAGACGGGATGTAGGGTCCAAATCAAGGGCCGTGGATCTGGCTTTATGGAACACAGCACTGGACAAGAGTCGGATGAGCCCATGTATCTCCATGTTGCAGGACCTCAACCCGCTCAAGTTCAAAAGGCCAAAGAACTGTGTGAGGATCTGCTTGCTAACGTCCGCGTGAACTTTGAGCACTTCAAAGCCAACCCGCCACCACCGAGAATGGAGTCATACACTGATGGTTACGGAGCTGATGCAAATCGCAGTTCTTATGGACACGGAAGAGACCGCGGTCGCGGCGACAACAATTACTCGCATGGCAGCAACAACTACAACTCTCCCTATGCTGGAGCGTCAGCCACCCCTGCGCCTCCTGGAACTGCTTCTTCCCCTACAGATTACGCCGCACAATATGCGCAGTACTATGCCAGTCAACCTGGCGGTGATCCTTACGCTGCCTATGGTGGCTATCAAAACTACGTTGCCTACTATCAGTATTACCAGCAGCAGGCCGCTGCCGCTCAACAGTCTCCACCGCCACCGCCATCAGGACCAGCAGATAACAATCCTCCGCCTCCTCCGGCTGATAATGGTGCAGCAGCACCTCCACCACCTCCTCCATCTGGTGGCTACTCGGCGGTGCCGCCACCTCCAGGTTTATGAGCATGTCTCGTGTCGTTAGGCTGACAATGTCAGATCAAGCAATCCGACACCACTACGACACCTCTTTCAGGGCAACATTCACGTCTCTTCTCCACCATTTTTCCTTTGACCTTGCTGTTCCGACAGGAGTATAGCAATATTCTGCCAGTGGGATCGCGGTTTGTATTTCGTGCGCACGGGAAGGGCCAACTTGAACGTTGGACAGGCAAAGTATCACAAAAGGACATAAAACTCGCGAGAGCTGATCGGTCAATAGGGACCTGATCCCATAATTCCATTTGCAAAGCTTCCTCGCGCGTTCCCAGCAGCTGACTTTGTTGGCGTAGTCGTGACATTCGACCAGCTGCTCGGCTCGGCGTAGTGAGCGTACCATATGATGAGATGGATACGACTCGTTGTTCGCTGAGTTTGGGCAGGTCGACTCGACACATGAACGGCTGCATGTGAGTGAGCCACACTTTTTCTAGAATCTCTTATACCAGGTCTCTCGGTCTGAGGTCTTTGGAGGGTTATACTCCCGTGGACCAGGACCATTGAGCCCGAAGCACAGTTTACAGTCAGTTTATCCGTCAGCCAGCCAGTCAGTCAGTCAGTCACGGCGAGGAGAGAACGAGTTCTACCTACCATCCGTCCTTTTTTCGTTTCCTTTTGTTCGTGGTTAACGAGCGAGTGCGTTACACGCCTTGTTATCTGTTCCTGTCGATGCTGTGGTTCTATACCGGGATACCACTGCGTCCTCCTATCTCATCAGTCAAAGCACAGCACAGCACAGCAGCATACACAGCCAGACGCATAGCCAGATGGTGGTGTCACACTAGAAGGAAAAAGAAAGAAATCCAGAGATGTTGGGCACAGCATACGCTATTCAACATACAGCATACAATATACGACACACACGGATATACATCACTTGCCTCCGGGGTCTCCAATCATCTAGTTTCCTGTCTTCAGAGTGTCAGTGTTCTGAACTGCCAATTCTCGGAAAATCAGTCCAGTCCAGTCCAGTCCTGAACCGAGCACCGAGTCTATATCAGCTCTGGCAACGCTTTCTGGGATTGGCTGGGGCTGGCCTCGTGTAGATATATACTCGATATAGGATTCTATAAACCCCGAGGCGAGGTGTCGAATTGTTGACTGACTGACCATACATTCCATTGCTTTACGCCCTCAATGTACCTGACCTAGTAGGAGGACCTGACCTGACCTGGTAGAATGAATACGTATGTTCTCACAATTTCTAAATGTTGTTTTTTAAAAAGTACAGAAGCCGAACGGAACGTTTTCGCGTCGAGTGATTCTTGTTTCGACATGACCTCTTTACGTTTCAGAGATTCTTCGAGCCACATCCTTCCTGGCCCGTCACACACAAATCAAACGCCTCGCAATGCATAAGATCTTCGTCCAAAGCCATTGACCAAGTCAACATATTGAGAGAATAGTAGTCTACAACTTTGCCGCCCTCAAATCGCCCCACCTCCGGACACTCATGCCTTGAGACTGTCTCGATTACTCTGGCTGCTGGCGCTCATAGTATTTGTCGTGGGCAGGATGGTCTTGGGTTTCGACGACTCTCGGACTTTAGCGAGTGCATAGACAATGCCGCTGAAAAACCCAACAGTAATGGCCGAGACACTGGGGATGGTAACAGGTGCGTCGAAAAAGATGAGACCCGACACGGCAATGGGGAGTTTGTTGAGCGCTCCAACCATAGAATATGTGGTTGAGGATGTAGCCCGCACACACCAAGCAGATGTGTATGAAATGAAAATCGACGACATGCCGGTAAAGATCATAGCGCCAATGATTGCGTTTCTCGAATCGATTGGGAAGTTCTTGGACAGGTTGAGGGCGGACCAGTCTTCCAGGGTCAAAGAGGCGATCAAGAGGACGGGGATGGTGAGAAGATTGTTGTAGAACATTGCTAGAGGTATGCGATTAGTCTCCCTTCACTCCTGCCAGTTTCGAGGCGGCAACTCACTGTCAAAGTCTTTGAAGTTCGTCAGCTTGATGCGTTTGCGCATCCCCAGCACGTAGGCCGCAGTGGATAGACAATTGGCAAACATCCAGATGTACCCGGCGTTCAATGTCGCCAATTGTGCCGTTGCAGCAGCCGCAGCGGAGCCGTGTGATTCTAACGCATGTTTGATATCGGCCCATGCCGCAATGATGGAGCTGAGGACCATCAACCCAAAGGAAAAGAGAGCCATGGATGAAACTGAGCCTCCAAACCATAGCACCTCGCCGTAAGCAATCAAGATGATGGTCAAGTTCTTGAAGATGGTGTACACAGGGATTGAGAGATATCGAAGGGCTTTTGTGCTCGTGTAAATCATTCCGATCAAAAGGAGGGAGATGGGAAACCCTAGAAATCTGTTAGATTCAAGAACACTGACAATTCAAGCCCGTTTCAGCCCGTACATTTTTTGGCCTCGTCTGCTTTGAAGTCTCGATACGTGATGATACCGGCGGTTTTGCAGGATTGAATAGCCAGGACGCAGACAATTCCCTAGGGACAATGAATGTCAGTTGAAGGTGCGGAGGACAGTTATCAGCAGGATTGACGAACCTGAACAGCCAGCAGGAGGAAGTTTAGATTGTAGTCAGGAAACGAAAGGATGTATTTGTTGGCCACCGTCATCAAGATAGACGAGGCACAGTAACTGACGACTGGAAGAATGGGATTGTTCTGCCAGTTGGACGCAGGGGGTGAATATCTCGGGATTGACGGTTGAGGAGCGTGAGAAAAGGTTCTCCCCTGCTTCTCTCCGAGCTCCATCTCGTTGCCCTCGAGAAATCTTTTCTTCTCCTCTTCAGCCATCTCTTTTGTGGTTTCGGCGTCCTGGACCGACGAGGTTCTGAGGTCCTGGGAGAAATGGGACAAGCAAATGACGTGGCTTGGCCGAGAGGTCGGGAGGAGTGCAGGGTTGGGCGAGGAAGTCAGAAGAAAGTCAAGGATGGAAACGTTTGATATTAAAGTCCGAGAGACTTGGGAAAGGAAAAGTAGGCGAGGGCGTGTTCCGAGAAAAAGCGCGTTGAAAGGTGGGTGGATGTTGAGAAATTGATTTAGAGGCGCCAGATGAAAAGGGACACTTTGGATGGAAAAAAGGGGAGACGCAGGTGAACGCGCAACGCAAACTGAAAAGTCGCCAGTGGCTGCATCATGGCTGGCGCTGACGTGCGTCAGTGCCTTCTCTACCTCGGACTGGCTGCTTGGTGGTACTTTGGTGGCTACAGGCACCCACGGGGGCCCAATTAGGCGTCAATTTGAGAGGGCCTTGGGGTAAGTGGTGTGCCTAAAGCAGCTTGAACCATCTGGAACAAGCCTAAACCAGCTTGCGCCTGACTAACATCCCCCCAAATGAGCCGCAACCCAGGACGCCTCCAAGTTGGTCCCACTGACCTGAGCGTGTGTAACGCAGAAGATACAATTTCCGATATCTTCTTCTGCATCCATGGACCATCCCTGTCCATACAGAATTGACCGGACTACGGATTATTTCGTACCCGCTACCTGTCTCGCCTTTCAGCCTCTCAATAATAGCTCCTGCCGATCAGATTTTATCCCCGGTAGACCCAGCCGATCGCGTTGATATCAACTGCAACCAGCCAAAAAGAATTCCTACGGTTTGATATCTTCCATTGTGGGTCCGTTTCAAGAGCCGGGGCTCCCTTGACACTGCGGATACTTCTGAATAGAGTGCTACAAGTCATATCTTAACCATCCCAAGCAAGGCCGCTGACGCCCGTTCTCGCTTGTTTTGGACAAGATACGAGTTTGCATGCTTAGGAGTCGGACAACAGACACCCAGTCAGGCCAGTCTAGCCCGGGTCGGCAGAGGAGAAACATCCCTCGTCTTTCTACCCCTAGGCAAGGGACGAATTGGGAACAGCCACTTCCCTTGGCCTGGGTAGACTATCCCAGATTCTGCCAGGGAATCGAAGTTCTGAGCAACCCTCAATCAAGAACGCAAGGAGATTGCTTTCTCTCGTCATTGCGATCGGCATTGACAGGTGCGCACCTCGTGCCTGACGGTCGTCCTCTTGTCCAGAAGAATGCCTGAACAAAGATTACTTGAATAGGGGTCAAGGAACAACCCGACATTGCCAGTGATTCCTATACGAGGTGGAAAGACTGATGCTGCGCTTTACCAACAACAGCCGAAAGCAGGATTCAATCTATTGAAATTCTCACCGAACGAAATCACTGAAGTAGGTGAGGACGAGGCATGTGAAGCCTACTTGTAGTGCTCCTCATGCATGCACCTGTTGCGGGACTGCTACTGTTTGAACAACATCCAGCCCTATACTAGTGAATGGGGGAAGCTGTTACTTCATCTTACCAAACTCCATCAGACATCGACCGCACTGAGAATGCCAGGTTGTACCGCATTTTCAAAAAGATCTAGCAGATCTCAGCCCAAAACTTCGGTCCGAAATGCCTCCATCGAGACACTCGGGACTTGGACCAGTTGTACAGTGTCTATGCACAGGTTGTTCTTTACCATACAACAAAGCACGAGGTACTTTCGACATAAACGGTAGAGTATTGAAGTGGATCGAGTCAGAGATAATCCCAACCACCGTGACGGAAATTAAGCCACGAGCAAGTACGGAGTCGTCTTCATACAGCGTTGGTGGAGACGATACTTCCCATCCGCTGTAGCAAATGTATATGTAAGTTCCAGGTAAGCGAGGCTGTCGCACAATGAATCGCTAGGGGCAATGCGTCAAGTGTTGGTTGCATTCCTTGACTTCGGCCTTCAGGTTTGACCTTGCAAGCCTGAATTGACCATTTTGCATATCACCCCTTTCATGCCCCGAGGATCGAGACAAATTTGGCCAGTGTGTTTTCCGTTTTGTCTGTGCCCTCCATTACCTGCAGTTCGGACTCCCAAGTCTGTTAAGAAGACCAAGACACCGTCGACGCTCTGCCCTTCGGGTCGAGTACCCGTCATGCTTGGGCAATGGTATGGAATATGCGATGACCTGATCTCTGATGAGAAGGTGGACCGCTCAGACAATCCATATGTCGCCTCTCTAGAGTCCTTCAGTCCCAATCGTCGTCATCGTCGTCGTCCCTCTGGTTGCGACTGCGGATAGCGCCACGGGCTGCTTTCCGACGATCTGGCGCTTCCTCGTCGTCGTCGCTTCTTTCGTCTTCATGTCCGAGGAGAAGTCTCTTTGATATAACTGTCCACCCGAGAAATACCTCCTCCAGCGCTCGGGCAACATCAATACTGCTCTCTTTGCCATCCCAGCATAATCCCTCAAAACCGGTGACTCTCCCTTTCACTGCTCCCTTGACAAAGCCAATCACACAAGGCAACACTCTCACACCCAATTTCTCGACCACAAACGGTGCGTTTTTGACGTCAATTCGGGCAAAGGAAACATCCGCACCCCCGTATTCTGCATGCTTGTCTGCAATGAGTTCACAGTGGCTGTCCATTGTGTTGCACCTCGAAAATTCAGGATGGAAGAAATGGAGCACTGCCCTCTCGTGTTCGGTCGTAAAAGCAAGAGCCTCGTCGTCACTCTTCAGTGTGATATAAGCCTTCTTGACGGTGGTAAAGGCCGTAGTCCCGGCAGACGCACCCGCCGCTTTTCTCAATTCTTCTAGTCTTTGAGCACGATAAGCCGCGTAATCTTCCTCTTCCAGCGACACAAGGATGGCGTCGGCGTCTTCATCCTCTCGGTCGGTATGAATGCTGTTGTCTTGGCCAGTGCCACTATTGGAAGCCATTGTAAACTCGAGGAATTCCTGGGATGCGACGAGTGGGAAGACCTTACACCATCGCGTCAACACCAGCAGCCCTGCCTCTCAATTGGTAATGAACACTGTATTGGATCAGACCAATCTTCTTACGCCCTGACGAGGAATAGAAAATATCTCTAGTTATTTCGAGGGGAAGCAATCCTGAGAAGGACTGCGCTATCTAGTCAGATGATCCGCCGAAACGATATTCTTGGCAATGCCGAAGTCTTGGCACGCGGAAGCCCACAATCAAGTTGTCCGACAATCTGCGACTTGAGATTGACAACTTTTTTGACGACCGTCTACAACACCCAAGTCCCTCCGGCACAACAACAGCAGAGATGGCGCCACCAACCCAGAAGCCTAAAGGTACGGATCATGTCATTTCTTTGAGGATAGAGTGAAGGGCGAAAACGACCGGGATTGGAGATTTGGAAAATGCTCAATTCGAGCGGCGGAGAGGAATTCTTCGACCTCGTCTTGTACAGTCAAATTGCTGCGTGGAATAGAGGGCTGACATTTGCACGTTCCAGGTGGCTCCTCGAAGTCAAAGAAGCCGAGTGCCAAAGCGAACCAGGCCGCCAAAGCCACCCTCAAAGGCGTACGTTGAGTCTACTCCTCGCTTCGAGCAAGAAATCTCACAAACTCTTTCAGGTCCACACCAACAAAGCCCGCAAAGTTCGCACATCCACCACCTTCCACAGACCCAAGACGCTCGTTCTCTCCCGGTCCCCCAAATACCCGCGCAAGTCCATTCCCCATGAGACGAGGCTCGACCACCACAAGGTTCTCGTCCACCCACTCAACACCGAGAGCGCGATGAAGAAGATCGAAGAGCACAACACCTTGGTATTCATCGTGGATACCAAGGCCAACAAGCGCCAGATCAAGGAAGCCCTGAAGAAGCTGTACGACGTCGAGACCGTCAAGATCAACACTCTGATCAGACCAGATGGGACCAAGAAGGCATTTGCGAGATTAACGTCAGATGTGGATGCGCTTGACATTGCCGCTACGAAGTTGTCGATTGTGTAAAGTGGGAGTCTGCACTGGGAGAGGGTTGTGATGGATTGCCTGGAATCAAACAAAAAAAGGGACAAGTCCATCAGTCTGGCATCTACGGATTGCATCGGTATCAAGGGCATGATTCAGCCAAGGTCCCAGATCGACGCTCGATATAGAATCTCGAGTTATGATTGACACGCACAATCGGCGTCGCCAAAATAGGAGCAGAAATTTTTTTCAATTGCTTTTCCGAGACATGAAGTTTTGTTTTCCCACTTCATAATTGGACCATGTCGTTGTTACAAATGAGCAAATAGCCTGCCTTGGGCTGGGCTCAATCCAGATCAGCTGCCCGTCGGAGCAATCCAAACACATTGTAAAAAGCCATATTTTCCGGACCGAAAACTTCCACATCTCATACTATTACTCCTCCTCTATTTTGTACAATGTATCCCCTGGGGACCCAAATGCCTTCCAACCCAGGTCTGAGTTCTCCACGGCGTCATCACCGACACAAGAGTGTCGAGACTATTGGTTCGCCCTCAATGTCTCCAGATGTTTCAGAATCACCATGTTTGAGTCGAACAGGCGGTTCACGCAGTTGGTCATGCAAGACTCCTCTTTGCCAGCCAGTTTTCCCGATGATATCGAGCCCGTGATGCATTTCTTGAAGCACAACTCGGTCAATTCGTGGATTTCTATAGCGCAAGCAGAGAACAGCACGTCAGTAGGTTTCATTGTCACGAGGTTCCACAACGGCGGCGGATGTAGGGAGAGACGTACGCTTTTGAACCTGAGCTTTTTGTGACTCGCTCTGGAGGAAGCCTTGCAGCTCTCGCTTCTCACGGTCTGTGAGACGCTCGACGTCTTGTGCGTTGATGCTGAGTTCGGTGTCATCCATGGTGGAGGCGTCTGTGGCAGTCGATTTGCAATAGAACGGGGGTAGTCAAGTTTTGTTTAACTGCGTAATTGTTTAGATATTGATCAATTACACCAAAGGCTGCTTGGGCCGCGCCAGAAGAACACGCAGCAAAGATCCAGTCAGAATCACTTTCTATTCAGCCTTGCCTTGGCGGAAGATACATAAGCAAGGCTCCAGAGTTCGGCAATAATACCGCTTACATCATCGAGGTATTATTTTCCTGGGGCGCAGTCTGGTCCTTCGCAGCCTTGCCTGCCACTCTTTCTCGCTAGATGCTTGTCGATAACTCACTCGCCTCCACCATTCTTCACTTCTCCACGACTTGACCAAAAGAACTCATATCTGTCCAAAAAGAGGCTCACCTTACTCTGATTCCTTTGCAAAGACCAAACTCACTCGCTTACTGCTGTTCCAATAACTTTTTTGACTTCTAACGGGGAAAAAAAATGCCTCCGGTCCGCTCTCGCGCCCATAAAAAGCCGCCCCCAGCGGGGTTCGAAGACATCGAAGACACTCTCCTCGAATACTCGAACAAGATGCGCGACGCCCAGAACGCCTCGCACGAGGGGAAGAAGAAGCACGAAGCCCTCTGGCCCATCTTCCAGATCTCGCATGCCCGTTCCCGGTACGTCTACGACCTGTACTACACGCGAGAGGCCATTTCGAAGCAGCTGTACGAGTGGCTGATCAAGAACGGATACGCGGACGCGGCCCTGATTGCGAAGTGGAAGAAGCAGGGATACGAGAAGCTGTGTTGTCTGCGGTGCGTGCAGACCAAGGAAACGAATTTCCAGGGCACCTGCATCTGTCGCGTGCCCAAGGCCACCCTGAAGAGGGACGGCGAGGCAGCCGAGGGCGGCGGCGGTGGGCTCCAGTGTGTCAATTGCGGATGCAGAGGATGTGCAAGCAGTGATTGAATGGGGTTCCACGTGAAGGCGACTGCGACAAACGAATGGGTTTGGCTGCGTCCAAATTTCTTGACGAGACATATATCACGACTCATCCGATACCGACGCTGCTGAGGTCACCAACACTTGAAGGTTCTCACTTACGAATGGAGGCAAACTTTCATCACTGTGCAGCTCGGAATGGCCAGCACGAACAGCAACTACATCTTCCGAGAACGGGTCCCAGCAGCTGGCTGAGGCGATGATGATGAAGCACGAATGATTGATGAGCATCCGCCCACGAGTATCGACTCTTTAGGAGTCCGTCAATGGCACACACAGCCCATGGGCCATGCAAATGGACGGCACAGTCATCTACGAATGATGACACAGCCCGGAGACATCTCACGTCTTTTCTCCCTCCTTTAAGCGCTGGGAGCTAATCCAACAAAGGTGCGAACTTGTATCGGATGGGCCGGCGTTGCTCGGGGGTTTCTCTGTAGAAATCATGCGAGGATGGTAACCCTCAAGGCATGTCCCCTAGGGTCAGGAAGTCAAAGTCACTCCAAAGTTACTGTGTCTACGCACAGTTTGATGAGGAGACTCTTTGTGGTCTTGAGCGAAAGATATATCGGAGAATTAATACTTGTCCACAAATATAAAAGCCCTCATTAGGTATGAAGGTTTGTATGTGGCCAGCACCATCATCCCTCAGAAAACAAATGAAATCCACCTCAAAAGAATGACCAGTCTCTAGTTTCCATACTTTCCAAATCTGCTCCATGATATGATCTTTCAAAAGATAACTTCCGAGCCAGTAAACCACCAGGTGAACCAACCCAATACCGACAAACCCATGCCGTCCTGACCCGATTCGTCTCATGAAGATCATCAAAACCATGGAGTCTTCGTACATTGATCTAGCCCTTGCTCTGTTTTAGTTCTGCCTAGATGTCATATGACGCTTCGCTCGGAATGAGTCATCCTCGAGACGTAAGGTCCAGCTTTAGTACTCTTCTCAAATCGTCCTCAAGTTGTTGCGCACTCGGCTTAGATCGATGAGTTGGCATCTGCGGGTGGCTTGCGGATGGCCCTGTAGTATACTGAGGCTGTTGACGAGAAGCATGTGTTCGCGAAGCCGTTGGCGGCGTTACTGCGCTATCGGACGACAATTCGGCGTACTCAGGCTCGCTCTGTGCTCCGTAGACATGTCGAAGTCGCGAAGAGTTCGTTCGCTTTGGGGTATACATCTGACCACCTGGAAATGGGTACCCCGCAGGAGTAAAGTTCTGGGGAGGATGATATGTAGAATTCTCATGCATGTACACTGGTGTGCCAGGGTTCGAGCTGGAGCGAGCTTGGCCCTGTGGAAGGGAGCTGTACGGGGCTCTGGCATTGAATGGGTTAGTATCGGTGACGGAATCATTGCCGACGCCGTTTTCGCGACCGCTTGATTTCATGAGCAACTGCTTCAGTGCCTCGGATTTCGCTTTGCGTTCGTTTTCATCCATGCTCCTGCCTCCTGCAGACGTCGACTTTGTGGACCGCAGAGCCTCTATGCGATCTTTGTAAGGGGTAGCAAAGGCTGAACCATCCTCTCCAGGATTGCCACCACCTTCCAGCTCAAAGGGGAACATGGGATCTCCCTCTCGGGGTGCCGGAGACTGAGAAGCAGGGCTTCCATTGACGACAGAGAGACTGCCAGAACGTGCAGCAGGGCTCTCACCGCGAGGAGTGGCTCTTGCTTGTCGGGCAGCTTCAAAAAGGAAGTCACATGGAGTTGATTCTCGCTTGCTAGGTGATTCATCACCTGGTGTAACCGACGACTCGCGAGAGCTGGCGCCTTCTGGTATAGGGACTTGTTGTGGTATGGAGCTCGTGGAGGGTAGAGATTTGGAGTAGAAACTCGGAAGAGGAAGAGCTGAAGGGGCTGGGGATTGTTGGAAGGCAGATCCGGCGTACGCAACTGGTTTCATGGGTGTCGGCGTTGCTTTGGTCCTCTCCTGTTGATAGTTGCCATGTTTCCCTTCTGTCTGTGACGTGTTATTGCCTTGTGGAGGTTTGCGGTGTTGACCTTTGATGCCATTCTTTGTTGTGTTTGTAGTGGTGGGGGAGGGGTTGCGCTGCACACCTGGAACTGGCGCGGCTGGTGCTGCAGCGCTGTCACGGGCGTCTGATGGTCGGGATTTCCTGCCTGAACGGCGAGGAGCTCGAGGAGCTTGAGGCAACGGAGTCGTAGCCACAGCAGACATTGTGTTTGTAAGAGGGTTTCGATGGGCCTGATGAAATCGGCAGCCCAGGACCTGAGTAGATCAAGGAATAATGAAATGCAGAACGCTCAGAGATATACGAATATTGAACTGCGCAAGAGGGACAAAGAGACCGCACGATGTATTGGTGGGCGTCTATCTTGAGCGTTTACGGTGTGGCGAAGCGTAGGGTCTCAGAGTAGGTCGTCGTGGTTGGTGTGAGATGAAGCTGAAGATTGAAGTGTAAGTGTTCATTGTCTGAACGTCGTGTAGTACCCGGGGCGCGAAGGACCAATTCTATCCCTAAGGCAGAGTATTGGTCTGGAATGTATGGTTGTATTGATAGAAATGAAGATACTGTTGAACCAGATTGGTGAACCGCGCAGATAGGGTAAAGGGACAGAGAATAGCGAATGAGTTTGGGTGACGCAGGAGCCTGCGACAGGACGGAGGAAGGACTGAGAAATAAGAGGGTTGGAAGGGCGGCGCCCAGGGCAGTGCTGCGGCTGGGCGGCGAGGGCGTGCAGGGCGTGAAAGAGGGTCAGAAGGGGACCAGCCGCATTATTGTCGCCACCCCAGGTCCTCAGCCAGCCAGTCGAAGGCCAAGTCAACCAGGCTGCGAGGCGGCGCTGCTCTGACCAATCTTGGTTCGGGAATCATCCTCAGCCATTCCTTCACTTCAGCCTTGTGTCGTGCTCGTCCATCAACTCCGCAGTTTGACCTGAACACCTTTGATTTCTGCTTCATCAGGCAGTTCCTTTGATGTTCCCTTGGTCTAGAGTTGTCTCCGTGTGTCCGCACCTGACTCGACCGGTTCGCTCGACGCTCCCGTCCACAACCACATCGAACCTCTTTCCTTTCTCACCGTCCTCCCCGCACTTCCATACCCCCCGACTGTAAAACAACAAGACAACATTCCCAGACATCCAAATGGCGGACGTTGAAATGGCAGACGCTGCTACGCCTTCCGACTCCAAGACCAAGGCCACTGTAAAGACCTCAAAATCAGGAGTTACGGAGGGCGGCGAGCCTAAGAAGAGATTTGAAGTCAAGAAGGTGGGATAGATCACACGGAGTTCGATTCACCATGATACTGATATATTTTAGTGGAATGCGGTCGCTCTATGGGCATGGGACATTGTTGTCGACAACTGCGCCATCTGCAGAAACCACATTATGGATCTTTGTGAGCGATAGCTCTGACCTCAGATACGTTGGCCCCCCTTTGCTAATAATACCACAGGCATTGAATGCCAGGCAAACCAGGGCGCAGCTACGACAGAGGAATGTACAGTTGCATGGGGAATTTGCAATGTAAGGATATCAGCCATGACCATTTGATCAAACCACTGATGGTGGCATTCAGCACGCCTTCCACTTCCACTGCATCTCCCGATGGCTCAAGACTCGACAAGTGTGTCCGCTGGACAACCGAGACTGGGAATTCCAGAAATACGGCCGATGAATAATGACTTGACCAAAATTCGAAACACATCCCAGACATCCTTAAAAGGGGTCATAGCTTTGAATGGACAATAACGCTGCGCCTAGCAGTTTTTACACAGGCACGCACCGCCGCATGGAAGAGAGAGGGCCGAGCAAGCGACTGAGGACCGACGTGTGGTACTTTGGGACGGCTGAATGATTGATGCTGGGAGAAAGCTTTGATGATTTTGATGGCCGAATGCATTCACGACCAAAGACCAGGGAGCAGGGCAACCATGACCATCGGAGAATTGAGACTGGCATCAGGCAAGAGAATGAGGCCAATAATAACATGAAAACGTTATGACCTGCTAAATTTGTTCATGGAATATCCACGGGAAATTCTCATCTTGCTTCTGTTCCCACCACTATGCCTCCTGGCGGCAATACAGACTTAGAACCTAGCCAGGGTTGCGGATGTCGATTGTAAGCTGGCCAGGGAGGAACAACAAAGAACATTGCAAGCACGACTCCTGCCAATCCGATCCACATAGTCAAATAGATGTCTTGATCAATAAAGCCCATAATGAGAGCAAGAATCTGCAGGCGTGTTAATCAGCATTGAACGAGACGTGACCCGGTCCTAGAGGGACTCCAAGATGGGGAGGTACTGTAGCCTTACGGAGGAGATGGTGAGGACGGCAGAGGAGATTCGCTCTGCAAGACGCTGACCGTCAAAATCCTGGTTGCAGCGAGTCAGAATCGGGAAACACAGGTTTTAGATGAGCTGAGAGGGGGGAGAATGAGGGTGTATAGGCTGATTGTTTCGGACTTACGATTTGACCTTCGAAAAGGTCTTGCAGCTGCGAAATGACCGCGTCCATAGTCAATGCTCTGATCACCTCGCGAGATTGGCACTTGATTTCACTTGTTGGAGAAGGTTCCTGGGTTGATCGGAGAGACTTTGGTTGATGTGATGTGGTGTGAGCAAAGACCAAACGTGGCCTCCAGTTGTGTTGTGATGATACTTGGCTTCAAAACAAGCTCCGGAGACTCAGGCTTGGGTGACCCCTCACGAGGTCCTCCACGCCTAAACCAGACGTGACCTTAACCAGTTTGGTTAAGAAAAAGGAACACAGCAGGGGGGGAACCTAGACACCCATGTAGATCTAGGCGATTGACCGCAGAGGGAATTGGGGGCGTGATAGGCTGTCCTGGACGCCACGGGCGAATCCGAGCAGCCTACGGGGTCCTCTCTCGGCTGCCTAGGGGGTAAAAAATGCCTCTCGGCTAGGGGTGCCATGCCCAAGTGCCCACTAATCCTTACACTTTGCTGAGTTTTGTGTCGCTTTGGTTGGTGAGCATTCTGGTTCCGTCTACCCACCAACCCCTCCCCCTGCAGTCCGGTTCTTCTACTTCGTCCATTTTTTTTCTCTTGAGGACATAATCAGCGCCTTTTCTTTCCTCACCTTTTCCCATTTTCCCCAGTGACATCGAAAAGTTGCATAATAGCAACTGAACTTCTCCCCACCTTTTCGCACACTTTTTTCCCTCGCGGCCTTTTATATCTCTCTTGACTTCCACTGGACGCAAACTCATCCAGTGGCTGTATACTGCACGAAGAGGCACTGTGACATACCGCTCTCCTCTCACATCTCTAACTCTACTCCATCTATCTATCCAAAACTGATTCTTTGGACTCGCCGACTTGTCCTTCCGAGTCTCGATCCATTCACTCCTCCAGAAATCCCACCTTTCGAACCTTTAAAAGGCATAGGAAGGCTGTTTCACAGTCTTTCCTATCTCTGTGTTCCGACCTTCCATCCTGGCGCTCGACAGCGACTTTAATTCTCCTCCGGCCTTCAAGTTGGCGGGCTCTACAGTCTTCTCCTCCTTCATCCGCCCTTTGCTAGGAACCGCCTGCATGGTTTTCACCGGCGCTACAACTCGACCCCCGTAACTGGCCCTTCGGAGCTGCGAACCTGTCCCTGGCCATACCTGGCCTGGGGAACTACTGCTATTGATTAATTGAAAAGAGACGGTACTGGTTGTTTGGAAACCCTGGAGAAACCTCTCACCACAGCTGGCAACTCAGTCGCCATCGAATCTTACAAAGTGGCATAACTAGCGCATTACCGGCACTGGGGACAGTGCCAACGAGGCTGTCAGAGTCTGTACCAAAAGAGAAGCGCTCAACATGTCGTCGTCTGGATCGTCGCCAGAAGAGAAGATGGACAGCCGCTATAGCACCCCAGCTCCGGAGCTGGACGACCACCGAAGCACTTTGGGGGTTCCCCCCGCGCATGTTACTCTAACTGTGCCCGCGGTCGAGCTACAAGTTCCCACGCCGAAACCAAGCCCTCTGGAGGAGCGAGACTTGATCTCCGTGGACAACGCGTTACTGAAGACACGGGAGCAAGAGAGGCACCCAATCGCCCGCGACTTTGAGAATGCCATCGAAGACGACGACAAAAGCGATGCGGAATTTGACGGACCCCAAAGCAGTGTCAGACGACCGTCACTTCATGCCAGGAGATTCACGAATAATCGCGATGGCCGTACCCGTCTTCCCCGAAATGATCGTTCACGAGAGAGCTCATCCTCCCGGTCGACTTCCCCTGCCAACTCGATTGAAGCATTCGCCGAGCCCCGTCGCCGACAACGCGCCAACACTGCCGAAAGTCATGCGTCCTCCCTCCTAGAGACTTTCCGAAATCGCGCCTATTCGAATGGCACCGCCCAACGACGTCCGACGCTGAGTAATATCAGCATTCCTCCTGCTCTTACCCAACGCACAGACAAGGACGCCAGCGAGGATGTGACCTTCCCTACCGACGAGGAGCCCGGGAAGACCTACAAGATCGATTTCGAGGAGCTCGAGGAATTTGTCGCCCTCTGTGCACAGGGCAAAATTCCGGATGATCAGATTACTGAAGTCTCAAGTGACAACCGGGCCTTTGTGGACCTTCGGAAAACCAACACTGGAGAACCCAATGTCGTTCTCAATGGGGAATCCTTTTATGAGAAGCCCATAGTACAGCACGATTCAAACCACGATCAGGTTTTCTCGTCCGAAGAGGAGGTCACAATCCAACGAAATCATGTGGCACCACAGCCCGTGGACAGATTCTTCCTATTTACGTCTGAACTCACCCAAGGCCAACGTGCTAAGAAGCTAGGCGATTTCGTCGCCGATGGCACCACCACGTTCCGTGATCTGTTTGAATTTGGACCTGATGGCGGCGTATGGTGGCTTGACGTCCTCAACCCCACCAAAGCCGAGCTTGCTGTCCTCTGCAGGGCCTTCAAGATCCATCGCCTCACGCAAGAGGATATTGAGACACAAGAGGCTCGTGAAAAAGTCGAGTTGTTCTCTCAATATTACTTTGTCTGCTTCAGGTCGTTCAACATGGACAAAGGCGACGAAGACTTTCTCGATCCAATCCACATCTATATTGTCGTCTGTGCTGATGGGGTGTTGAGCTTCAGCTACAGTCCTAATCCACACCCGAAGAATGTGCGCAAGCGTATCGCGAAGCTTGGTGACTTCCTCTCCCTCGGACCTGATTACATCTGTTACGCCATGATCGACGATATCGTCGATTCTTTTGCGCCTATCATCCGTGACGCAGAGCAAGAATCGGAGAATATTGAGGACCAGGTGTTTATTGCGCGCGAAGACGACTTCTTAGCCCTGCTGAGGCAGATTGGCGAATGCCGCAAGCGCGTTCTTAACATGATGAGGCTTTTGGGCGGCAAAGCGGACGTCATCAAAGGCTTCGCGAAGCGCTGCAACGACCAGTACCAGATGACGCCTCGCGGCGACATTGGACTGTACCTGGGCGATATTCAGGATCACGTCGTGACAATGATGTCGAATCTGGGCCATGTGGAGAAGATGCTCTCTCGGTCCCACGCAAACTATCTGGCCCAGCTCAATGTCGACAACATCTTGAAGGGTAACCACACCAACAAAAACCTGGCAAAGATTACGGTCTTGGCCACCATTCTCGTGCCCCTGAACTTGATCACTGGTCTGTTCGGTATGAACGTCAATGTCCCCGGCATGAATACCGACGGCTTGTACTGGTTCTTTGGTATCCTTGGAGGGATTGGAGTGTTTGTCGTGATGAGCTTGTGCCTTGCAAGACGGTTGAGAGCCATCTAGCACCCGGGACACTTCTTGCGTTGTTATGCTCCTTGACTGCGTGTTTTGTCGTTACACTTGCTCACTTTTGGTGGATTCAAGTTTGTCTTTGGTTAAACACATTGTTAGAGAGACAGAAGTCATGTTAGTACAGAAGAGGGGGATTGGTACGTTGATCTGTTGACGCATTCTCAGAGATGGGATAGAGTCGTGTATAGAGTCTATAGTTTATTGAGTTAGGGTGTGATAGTCATGGATTATATTGAATAGAGCTCAGCCATCCTCTTGTCTACTTCATGGTTCATACGCTTTCGTGCGATGAAAAAGGTCTACGAGGGTACAGACAGCGATGGCACGCAAGCCATCACCGGGTCTATGACTTGTACTTCTGGTCTCGGAACCCTGCGAGAACCTCGACTGTCCCGTCTCCCCGTTCGGCCCACCTCTTGGCCGCAATGTCCGGGTTCAGCTGCAGTGTCTGCTTCGCCTTGACCCACTGCTCCATGGTGACGATCTGGTCGAATCTGGGTTTGACGCCGGCCTTTTCCAGCACGGGCGAGTCCGTGATGGGGACCAGCAACGTGTCGTTGTGCGGGCGGGCAAAGTACAGCAGCCCGGTGCGTTTGTACTGGCGCTGGTCCTCGGGGGGCGCGACGACGCGGTGCACCGAGCTCTTGAGCCAGCCGCCCGTGAGGTGCGAGATGGTGTCGGCGAGGTTCACCGTGATGGTGCCCGGCTGGGTCGACACGTACGTCCAGTTGCCGTCCTCGCCGAGGATTTGCAGGCCGGCCACGGGCTGGCGGAACAGCAGCGTCACAGTCCCCAGGTCGGTGTGTCCGCCCCCTCTGCCGTAGTCGCTCGCGGCCCACTCCTCCTCGGTGCGCGGGTAATAGAGCATGTATCGGGAATGGTCCTCGCTCTTCTTTTCGTACGTGTGCTGTTTGGCCAGGTACTCCTCGTCGGGGAGTTGCAGGACGATGGCGAAGAGGCGCAGGAGCGGGAGCACCACGTTGGCGTGGAGGGCGCGCTGAAACGCCTCGATCTCACCCAGGTGGGCCTTGATCAGGTCGGGATAGTCGTACTTGCCGACAAAGTCCTTTGTGAACTTGGGGAAGTTGAGCATCTCGACGTTGTCCCGCGCTTTGGACTGCAGCGAGCGTCCTGGCCGTCTCCAGCCGTTGTAGTCGGCCTCGGCGTAGCGCACCTCGTACTTTTCCTTCTCCGACACGGGCAGCTCGAAGAAATTCTGCGCCAGCGTGAATTGCCGGTCGACCTCCTCCTGAGACAGGCCAAAGTTCTTGACGTAGAAGAACCCGACGTGGTGGACGGCGTGTTCCAGCTGCTTGGCCAGCCGCTCTTTGCCGCCGGGGCGGCCAAAGTCCTCGAGATCAAGCGTGACGAGTTCTGCCCAGGGCAGATCTGCCTTTGTCACCGGCGGGTGCACGTAGGGTTTGAGATTGCTGTAGTCATACTGCCGAGGGTCTGCAACTCCATTGGCCGTTGAAGCCCTTGTATCTGTAATAGTTGCTGACATGGTTGATATTGACGAAGTCTGAGGGCTTAGTGTTTATCAGTGGGCAGGCGAAAAGATTTACCGTCAAGTTCTCGGCGTAGTCAATTGAGAGGCACGATATAGCATCAAGGGGGGGCGTTACCAACAATCGTCCTTTATCAGGAGCATTGGAAGACAGTCACATAGTGAAGCGGATTGATTGTGTCAGTGTTTCTCCAAATGTCGCCATCATGATTTCCATCCATGCTATTCGCTCCAAATCAACGATTTGCACAACGACAGTATAATCTGCCCATGTTCTTGCATATCTGTCAGATATCAGACCCGACAAGTCGACGATACGAGGGTTAGAAATCTGTTATGCACTACAGTCATTGACCCTGATTGGTTCTCGACGAACTTGGATTTGTCAGGCCTCACGTGTGCATTCCAGTCCTTGATCGGTGTTTTCCGAAGTACAATGTCCCTGGATTCTGCACAGCAGTTTGAAGAGTCCTCGGAAGGTGGTATTCGCGGAGTCAGTGCACTGACTTGTACTTGTAGAGGATTGTTTCCTGGGTTGAGTTGATGCCTATCAGCCTCGTCATATTAGTCAGCTACACGTGACTGGATCATGTGACGAGGCTGTCTTGGCAGTAGCCTCACTTCGCCTCCTCATCGCCTGCAATCCAGAACTTCCCTTCGTCGTCGCTCTTTGATGATACTACTCGTTCTGTTGTCTGCGCATTCCTACCATTCTCTCTAGGCCACCCTGTACCACCGCAATCATGCCTCGAGCCGAAGTGGGATCAACGAAGCACATCGCCAACCAAATGAAGGCGAAAGGCCTTCAGCGGTTGCGATGGTACTGTCAAGCGTGTCAGCGGCAAATGCGAGATGAAAACGGTTTCAAGTGCCATGTCGCCTCGGAATCCCACGTCCGCCAAATGCAGCTGATCGGCGAAGATCCTCGAAAAGCCATCAACGACTTTTCCAACCAGTTCCTCCGCGACTTCATACAACTCCTGCGGACGGGCCACGGGGAGAAAAAGGTCAACGTGAACCACTTCTATCAAGAATACATTTCAAACAAGGAACACATTCATATGAATGCGACAAAGTGGAGTAGTCTGACCGAGTTTGCGAAGTATCTAGGCAGAGAAGGGATATGCCGCGTGGACGAGGATGAGAAAAACGAAAGCAAGACCGGTGCAAGTGGGCTCACAATCAGTTGGATTGACAATAGTCCCGAGGCACTCCGGCGCCAGGAGGCGATTCGAAAGAAGGAACGACAAGATCGAGGCGACGAACTTCGTGAACAACGGATGATAGAACAACAGATCCGAAAGGCAAAGAGTCAAGGGTTGGGGGATGCTGTAGACGACAAGGAGGACCCAGATGACGACAGGGATATTGTAGGCGAAGGTATCAAACGAGAGCAGGGAGAGAAGATTGTGCTCGATTTCAAAGCAAAGAAAAAGACACCCGAGACAAGCAACTCGCCCACTCCTCTCCTCTCTTTCAAAAAAGAAACATCGTCCGAGAAAGAGAATGCGCCGACAAAGGGGAACGTGTTCAAAATTGCTCAGAAGAAGGTTATGAAGGAGAATCCCTTCAACAGCTCAAAAAAGCCACCATCAAATCCGCCCTCCAAGGATCCCAACCCGTGGAAGAAGTGGGATGCTTCGATAAAAGAAGGTTCCAAGCGAAAAGAGATAACCCCATCAGATTCGATGAGGCTAGAGCAAAGTGAGCAAAAACGGCGCCGGTTATGATAGAGCGTGGACTGGATATGGTTGTAAGGGCCCGCATACAAATAATTACGATTGACGACCCCGGGATGAATGTATAACATGAGCAGAACGAGAGGAGTTCAGAGGCTTTTCTCTGGTAAAAGGCTCGGAGATATCAATGATACCAGGCTTGCTTACTGTGGGAAGGGAACCCTGCACTCCGGCGTTGATAATTATCAAGACAAAAGCTCACGCATCGGCATAGAATGAAATGCTGTTTGCTGTTATATTCCGTCGCGTCGCGATCACTGTAGGCGCCCCCTACCACTATGGCATTGGGTAGGTATCTTGTAATAATAGAGTAAAGTAAATCTTCCCCAATGTGGCAGTTTGCGCCTCTCGGATCCATATCAAAGACGGTGATTGGCCACTACAAACATGGGTTTTCACATAGGGGAACTTCTTTCACAAAAGAGTATTTAACAACACACAAGGGCGAGAACACACACGAGGATCCAGCGCACATAGCGCCATAAGACAGAACAAGGTCGCTCAATCCAAGACAAAGAGGTGCCCTATACATACGAGTGCTTCCCGGGCATCTGTCACCGTTTACATACCTCGCATGTATTGAAGTCGGATCATGAGATGAGTGGTCCAGGATGGCCTCTCTCCAGGGTCCGCAACGACGCAAGAATACCAAGAGCAAGAGCAAGGCGAAACCTAGGGCGCCGTCATCGCTGAAATCGACTCGGCCACCTCTCCTCCTCGGTTCTTCCAGGACACTGCCGACGACGACAACGACAAAGACAACCGTACCCACGGCAGCGGCGGCACCTCTGTCCCTCTCGTCAAAACACACCCGCGCCCTGATCAACGCGCACCACTTACTCCAGAAGCGGCTCGCGCGGGCCCGCGCGCGCGACGACGTCGACCAGGTCCGCGAGATCGAGGCCCAGATCGCCGCGCAGGGCGGGCTGAGGTCGTACCAGCTCGCGAGCCGGACGGGGCAAAGCGCCGAGCGCGGCGGCGATTCCAGCCGTGTGTTGGTCCGTTGGTTGGAGGGAGAGCTGAAGTGGCGCAAGGATGCTTTACGCCGGTCGCGGCGTGAGAGTCGCGTGAAGGAAGGGAGGGTGTCGAGGACGCAGAAACCCCGGCGGCGGGAGCCCCAGCATGATGACGACGACGATGACGATGGCGAAGACGGAGATGACGACGAGGAGGGAAGCGAGGATGAGGATCAGGGTGAGGGCGAGGCAGACGACTCGGATGGCCATGGGAATGACGGGCATGCTTTAGGAACCCATGACCCCCCACCGACCGTGTCCCCGATCAGAATCCTCGAGATCGGGGCGCTGAGCACGCAAAACGCCCTCAACGTCAAGGGCGTCACGCGCGTGAGGCGCATCGATCTACGCAGCTCGGCCGAGGGCATCGAAGAGATGGACTTTATGCAGCTCCCGCTTCCCGGCGAAGGCGTCGCACGCAATCATGGTGGCAAAGACGCGGTGAGGGACGGCGAGCAGCCACCACAAGAGGGAGAGGGAGAGGGAGAGGGATATTACGACGTGCTCAGTCTCAGCCTGGTGTTGAACTACGTGCCGGACGCGAGACAGCGGGGGGCGATGCTGAAGCGCACGACGTTGTTCTTTGCGCCATCATCACCGTCACCGTCACCACCGTCATCACCATCATCACACCCCTCCTCTCAACCACACTCACAACCACACGCACAACCTCCAGCTCCAACACCAACGCCAACACAACTCCTCCCATGCCTCTTCCTCGTCCTGCCCTCGCCCTGCCTCCACAACAGCCGCTACCTCACACCACCACACCTCGCCGCCATCCTCAACTCGCTGGGCTACCGACACCTGCACACCAAGACGACGCGCAAGCTACACTACAGCCTCTGGCGCTTCGACGGGTCCGGGGCCCGAGACGAGTGGATCCGTGGCGGTGGCGACGACACCGTGTTCAAAAAGAGGGAGATCAACCCCGGAGGGGGCAGGAACAATTTCTGTATCGTGCTGGAATGATGGCGAGCTGGGGTCATAGACATTCATCTACATTCCATTGGGGTCCAGGAAGCGGGAAAATCCTTGCAAAAATGGAAGAGAGTGGGTTTGGATTGCCTACGAGTCTTCTCTGTTTCCAGTCCTTCCAACGTCGTCCGTCACTGTCCACGCTGGTCGCTTTCTCTTTGCAGATGTGCTCTTCTCCACCCCCTGTCCAGACAGCTAGATATTCACCCGGTCTCTTTTTACATGGTAATGTGTTGTGATCGCTGCGTTGCGCCGTGTTCTCTCCAAAGGAGTCATCGAGCTTTCTGGTACGTTGCCCGCCGCAATATCGGTTCCACCAATTCAACACCAACTGTGCCCATACAGTAAGTTTAACTTCCTTCACCTGATCCCACCCACAAAGTTTGCCAAAAGGGGATAGCTTTCGACAATTAAAGCCAGAGACGCCGGGGCTGTGTAGTGAAAGAGCGCCTTCCATGATAAATAAGTCTGTTGATGCTTGCATACAATAGTCAATGCGTCCCAGAACGCCGTATCCAGGCGACGTTGGACGTCATTTATACCGAGCCAAGCTGTTGTCGAAAACAAAAACATGCAAGCTAGGATGATTAAATCGACACCGTCTTCATTTCTCCCTCGATCCCGTTGACACCCAAGCCCTTCACTTCCGGTGCGGGTTCGGGTTCAGGTTCTTTCGGTTTGTCGTCCTGTGTTTCGTTGTTGCCAGCTGTAAGGACACGGGTGAGTCGAGTGGTGGGAAAGTCCTTGGAATCTGCGCTCTTCAAGGACGCCGGTGTCGAGACATCGACCAGTTTCTCTCCCGTTTGCTTGGCGGCAGTGGCCAGTTGTGAATCGATGGGCGCAGGGGCCGCTCTTTTCTTGCCTTCACTAACAGAATCTTCCGCAGCTTGGGCAAAGTCCCTGACCACATCTCCACCAGGACGAACGGCTTGCGGCTGGGCAATCTCTTCTTGAACTCGCGCAAGGGGGCTGCTGACTGTGTGTCTGGGGCTACCCGTGGCTCCTCGGGAAAACCGGTGAGGCGATCGACCTCTATCCTCGCCCACGACGGGACTGTTATAGGGAGAGTGCCGGCCGTTCTGCGCCACCGAGCTGTTGTTCAATCCTGCTGGCTGAGATCTCCGTTTTGGTCCTCTCCGTCCATACTTCTGGTCTGCTCGCCAGCGCAAAATATCCATATAAGGGGGTTCGACTGCCTCTGTCTTGAACTCTTTTAATTTCAGCTCGCCAGTGTCCTCATCCACAAAGACTTTCTCGGTGCTCAGGTCGTCTGCCACCGTGGCCAGAAAGTGTGCCCACGATCGCGCAACAACATATTTGCAATCGTAGTCTCTTCCGAAGAGAATGACTTGACCCCATCGGCCCATGGGGCCCGGCGCTAGATCGATGGCAATATTGTTACCGCCCCAATCTCTGGCTAGTGCAATCCAACTGGGATGAGCATAAGCTTTCTGAATGGCGTTGGGGGGCTGCGATTCCTGTCGCTCCAGCAATTCTTGTCTCCAGTAGCGATTGCCGTTGGCCTGGCTTGACGAGGAAGAGCCGTTGGTGAGACCCTTGGAGCTGTAGGAGGACTTTCGTGCACCGCTCAGATATTCCTCGTTGACAATCTGCCAATTTTTCCATTCCTGGACAATTTCTTCGCAGTCGAGGAGCATGCAGCCGAAAATAATACCAGTCGGTCTGCCACCGCGTTCTTGACCGTCATGGATGGCAAGGGACTCGCGGACATCTTGCGGTAAGGACATGTTCAGCTCGTGCTCCAGCTCGTTGATGTCGTTCTGTGTACACCCTTCGCCAAGCTGATCCCAAAGCTCTGGATAATTCTTTTCTGCCCAGCGGTCGATCTTCTTCCAAGAGTGAGCCACCGGTGGGGGAGGTGGTGCGCCGTCGGCAAAGTTCTGCATCTGGATCTCGCCGGGGGAGACCACCTCGTCTGGTCCAACGCGCTTAGGAGACGACACAGAGCGCATACCTGGTGAGTATGGTCTGGCAGGTGACTGGGCAACTTGAGTAGAGGAGACTGAGGGTCGTTTGGCTTCATCGTGGTATGTCTGGGAGAGATCTTGGTGCGACTCAATGGCACTGGTTGCGACCGAAGTCAGGGGGGCATGTCGACTTTGACCGACGGGGACGTGTTGACCGGTCCGGTAAGGAGAGTCGTGGGAGGCATGACGGTCATTGGAGGTCATGGTATGCCAAAAGGAGCGCCATGCCGTAGCAAAACTGCTGAAGGAAGTCAGAACAGGCAGACTAGGATCAGGGAGGGAGAGACTCACGAGTTTGCCATGACTGGCGAAACAGTCAGTGTAGTCGCTGCCACTTTGACGGTTTAATTGTGGTTCTAGTTGAATTAGGACATTAACAAGGGTTGACTTTGAACGCGAGGTTTCCGGATCTGGTCGTGGGAGTGGTCAAAACAAAGGCCAACGAAGAACTGGTGGTGGTCGTTTGTTGCCAGCCGCAAACAAGGAAGAATTCGCCGTGTTGACAACGGAATTGGGCGAAATCCAAACAATGGAGATCGAGGTGGTTTGTTACACGAAGCGTGCAGTCCAGTGCAGGTCGTGCAGAGCGAGATAGTGAGGAAATCGTCAGCGAGAGGTGTCAAGATTAGTTGATTGAGGGATTTTGAGGGTCAAAGGTCGAGAGTCGAGGATGCTGAGTATTTTGCAAGGTCCGCAGGCACACAGGGAGGGCAGGCACTGGGCCGGACTGGCAAAAGGGGAGCAGAAGGCAACTTTGAACCTTGGGAGAAAACTGGGGGAGATGGGCACCGCTAAAAGCCTGTTACGGGCACACCACATGCACCTGCAGATGACATTTTAGACTCCCGCGCCTAGGGGGGTGCCCTAAGAAAAATAACATGCCTAGTGGTGGCCAAGTAGCCTAGGGAGTTCCACTAACAGCCACCTTTGGGCGACCCTGGCTTCTTGCTGGGGGGGTAGGGGAGGGGGCCACTAGGATATTCGCTGCAGTCCAAAGCCCGTCAATTCTTGGGAGCCTCATCCATGTTCCCCATTGTCCACCTTTCTTCACCGTCAGTTTATTTTATTCGTCTCACACAATCATTTCAATACAGACAAAAAACCTACTCAGAAACTCAGGAGTCGCATTACCTCCACAAACGACCCATATGCCGTTTACATCTCTGCTAACTGCCCCCTCTATCGTCGGTATCATGAAGTGGTGGAGCAACGATCTTCAGCTGCCCTTTATGCATTCAGCTCTTCTCTCCTCCCCGTCCCTGCAAGCACTGCGCCCAGGTCTCGACGCGTCAAATCATTTCTTTCCATCAACTTAGGCATGGACAGTTAGTTTGTGAGGGGACCAAATGGGATTACGAGTTGTTGACGCCCTGCTCTCCCGGTTTCCTCCCTATCTACAAAGACTCGTACACGGACTGCCACACCTCACACCAGTCCGACAATCAATCATAGCACCATCCTGGCCGGTGTGAGGCTCATGCTCCACCTTCATCTTCCTGAAATCGCGCTTCCCGATACGCGTCAATTTACGGCTGCAATCAAGCCTCATGGTGGCCCCGCCCACCGATAGGCTCGAGGTCCGCTGTTAGAGATTGGACGATAACGCAAAAGAGCAAAAGCCTGGAAGAAAAGGGGCTCATCATACCCAAAACACTCTTTTAAGGGGGATACAACCTTAAGCAAATTGTTTATCTCCCTGCTGATTCGCCATGTGCGAGACCCGAGGAGCAAGTCGCGCACGTCACGCCTATCCTGTCGATCTTCAACGAGCAAAGTTATGATTTTCATCTTCATTGATCTTCGCCGTGTCTCGGACCCGACCGCCAACCCTTCCACCCCTCGTCCTTGGCCAGCAGAACCTGAAAGTTGCACATCAACAGACCAGGTTTCTCCACGAGCAAACCCGTTTGCAACAAATTCTCCGTTCCATCTTGTGCAACGTGGCCCGCTAGTCTTGCATATCGAGAAACAAGGCGTAAGAGCACGACGGTCTGCTGCAGGTCGATCTGTCCCACACCCGTCATATTTGTGTTCCGACAATACAACCACAACCACGACCAGCACAGCTCCTCGCGCGAACGTTCTAGGCTGTTTCCTAGTAGACGATGGTTCTATCGGCAGTTAGAAGCCCGGACCCCTCTTTGCCTTGTTTACCACGCGCCCGATCGACATCCACATCTATATTGGCCTCGTACTGCAACCAATCCGAACTGCCAGTCCGCCATGAGGTTAGAGCAGGATCCCTCGCCCCCAAATGACTAAGATCTGTGCATCTTCTCATCAAAGGCATGGCCTGTCGTCATGGCATCCTGGGAAACGCTCAGACCAAAGACCATGGCGGTTTGCCCATTACATCTGTTGCTGGAGCAGCCTCATAACAACAACTGACGGGCAGCCAATCGGTGAGTTTTGCCACGCCTAATGCAGGTACACAAGACATTTCCGTGGTCCAGCCTTACAACCAACATGGCTGCGAGATAAGTATAGCATCAGTTCTGCAGCTAAGTCAAAGCTCACCAACCAATCAGAGACGGCCTCGGTTCCCTGTTTTCTCTGTCGGAGAACTGGGCATTGGATGAGCTCAGAGACCATTTGGAAGTATCTGCTAGCGGAAGGTTCCTTCAGCCCAGTTCACCACGCAATGGGGAATCTTGCGGCACCGTCTGAGCATTTATCGAGAAGATTCTATATCGGCCTTGGTACCCTCAAAAGGATGAGAGATATGTCAGCCAGTCAGCAACCAACCACCTTAGCGGGATGCCCGACGCTATTCCATTTCAGAACACTTCTACAAGCCTCACTCCAATGGCCCCTGTGCCTAGGTAGGTCCATCGGTCAAGATACCTCAAGGATATGCGGGCCGTTTGTGGAAACTGCCGACTACTTCATTTGGCGGTCTGACCCCAATATCTTTCTCCATTCCACACGTACAGGCCAGAAAGCGTCCAAGGCATGTCGAAGCGAAGCATCGGGGCATCTGACTTGCATAACTCAGGTCTTGACGAAGCTGCATATTGTGCTGACGAACTTGTTCGGTGTCCGTGCTGTTGGTTCCGGCGATAGCCCCCACACGAAGACTTTTTCAGATGCGGCCGATTCTCGAAGACGTCTGCAGCTCTAGGTGATCGGTCTAAATGATCCTAAGTCTTGGGGCGCTGAATTTAGAAGTAATCATTATCACTTCTTGGCCCCGGCCGATTCATTCTCAGCCAAGAGACAGACCATTTGTTGGAATCCACATAACATCGACCATCTCCTCATCTGGGTACTCATGCTGATCTTCAAGTGTCGAATCAGCATGGTCCATGATTGTCCAAGCCTTCCACCAAGGCGGCATCTACATAAACGCCAGTTTCTACGCATTTGCTGCCAGGCTCCAATCCGGCCTCTGACACATTTGTCCAATGCACCTATCTCCAGATCATTGCATTTGCTCTTGTGGGCAGACGAGGTTGTGGCACGAACGCATGTTGATCATCGTCACGCTCATCATATCTCAAGCACTATGCCCACTGCATCGTCATGGCCTGGGTTTGGCCTGTCCCAGCTAGATATGCCTTCCACAAGCTGGTCACGTCTGCACTACTGGTTACTCTGCTCCAGCCTCATCATGCTTGTCAGGAATTGTTTTGACCTCAATAATATCAATGCTTCGTGGACTTTACCTCGGAGTATTCATAGCTCCCGTTCCAAGCCTTTTTCTGGTCAGATGGCTTACACAGAGGACTACTGACAAGCTCGGAATCTTTTTGTTCGTTGAATAACACGATTTTGCGCAGTCGGGGGCAGCAATCAATTGGAGGGGGGAAAGCGGCAACCAGAGCAGAAGCGCCGCTGCGTTTGTCCTCAGCTCAATCATCAAATAGGAAATGTTCGCTCTGTACCCCTGTAGCGTTCAATGCGTGATCACCGAGCTGCGGTAGGAAGTGTCAGTGAGTGTGAGTCGTCTCCAAATATGCACTCGCTCTTGATCAATGCTACCATCAATCATCAGGGCCAGGGTCCCAGGTGGGTGCCAGGCGTGCCTCCTTCAGCTGACTACGCGAATCAATGTACGGCGGTGAGTATTTTCCATTCGATCTGTCCACCAATGTTTGACGGTATGTATATATTTCGTTACTGCACCAGACATTGTGGTAGTTGGAGTCGTCAACATTGAAGGCGTCGTCTGGTAATGGCTGAGGCAGTGTTGTGAGGATGAACACGCACCGAGAGACTCAGAGAACTTTGATTGAGCGAGTGAGTGAATGAGTGAGTCTCAGAGATGTTAGGAGCGAGCGAGAAAGGGAAGAACATTCATCATTTTTGCTACACCACACCGAGAAACCATTACTATACCCCCGATATATCTCAGGCACGAAGCAAAGCAGGTACAAAACTCGCTCCGTAGTGACAGGATGAAAACCATGTCTGTAAATCTGTAGCGGGAACAGATGACACTGGCGACTACATCCTCGACACTTGCTCCGTTTGAGTCCAGAGTGTCCCAGTACACATGTATACAAAGCAGTTAGTTAACTGGACGTAATTCGCCTCGGCCTGTACGTACGAGTATGTGGGTAAGCCATGCGGAGGAACAAGTACAAGTCCGAGGTGATGACAATGGTGATTTTCGAGGAGAGGGGCCAGGGGGGAATAGATGGATTGCACGTGACAAGGCTGTATCCCCCTGATGACATACATACAGACACCCCTGGGGTATATACCTCGTACACATATACAAGCAGGCACGGATGGGCACATACATGACTTGTACATACAATAGCAACCCAGAAGAACCCCCGACAGAGAACAGAACACACAAACACCAAAAAAGACGAGACACGAACTAAACAATCTCTTATGTACGTATGTACTCGTCCGTCCGTGTACACGGTACTCGGTAGAAATACATATACATATACGTACCAAGTCCGGCCCACAAGTCTGATCCCCCTTCCCACTAAGTATATGTACCGATATATCTCGACAGGTCTGGATGTCCTGTTACCTCAAGTTCCATCCTTGACCTTGTACATCCTGTACATCCTGTACATCCTGTCCGTCCTTTTAATTCTATTTCTATATCCCGTGTATCCATATCCATATCCATATTTATACCCATACCCATACCCATACCCGTATATCCATTGTTTCATTAGCCATCCCAAGATCGAATCATTACACACCGGAATACAACGGCGCTCAATCTCGGGTCCGCTTATGGTTTGCTCAATTGCTCCTTGCGGTAGAACTGTGAGGGGGAAAACAAGAAATGTTAGATCACTGATTATCCAAAAAGAACGCGTTGTTGCAATGACGAGGAAAGCTCTTACCTTGAAATACCCGACACAGATGCTCAGATTGGCAACCAGTCCGATCCAAAACCAGGCTTGCCAGATCGGACCCACCCCGCCGCTGATGTCGGGGCTGATGGGGCCAGGGCCGATCTTGTTCGGTGCGACGGCTCGGGCGACAATGGTCGCCACCGAACCCAGCACTTGTGCCGTCACGAGAGTGAAGGCGACGTGCACCCGCGTCAGTGTGGCCAGGAGGATCATGCCCAGTCCCACGCCCTGGATGGCGTCGAGGGTGCCGAGCCACAGCCACAGCGCGCGGGAAACAAGCGCCGAAGCCGTGTACCCGCCCGCCCAGGGAAGATAGAGGCCTATATTGCTGGTGCCCCACCAGATCTGGGCCCAGCGAGGTGCTCCGAGACCAATGGCGAAAAGCGGCAGGATCCAGCTGTGCGACTTGGAAAGCACGCCAAATAGCCACAGAAACGCCGCCCACACGCCAATAAAGAACAAGACGACCAGGAGGAGGACCTGCCAGGTCTTGGTGTGCGAGCTGCTCCAGAGGAACGACCAGTTCCGGCCGTATGGAGCGGACAGGAAGAAATTCTGGATGAGGACTGTGACGAAGAACCACAGAACAATCTTGCGGCGCAGCAAGCTTCTATAGAAACTCGGCATTTTGCCGGGGGCTTGTCGGTAGTAGTTGGGTAGACCGAACCACATCAGCAGGCCGATACACCAGAGGAGAGCCGCAATCGGGAGGGTGATGGCTGTGATTTTCCAGGTCGACGAAATGGGGTCGGGAGTGGCGACGAGGGCGTCGACCGTGCGTCGATTGAGATATGCACCCCAGTACCACAAGGCCACGACGTAGATCTGCTGTGTACCTTGAATCACGCAGGCTCGGAACACCCATGCTTTGACTTGCGCGCCGCCTTCGTCGCCGAAGTTGAGGGCGAAGAAAATGGAGCCGGACGACGAAGCCACAGCATACATGCCCGTTCCCACGTTCTGAATCCATCCACGGCCGCCAACTGTCGAGCCATAATGAGCAGTTCCGATCAGAATGAATGCCAGACCGTAGAAGAAGAAGGGCAGAGACAGGCAAAGTCTCGACTGGAAGCGCCTGAAAAGTAGCCACCAGCAAATCGACGTGGCGAGATAGATGGAGGCAACAGAGTAGAGCTTGGCCGCTGTTTGACCAACCTCTCCTGTCAAAAGAGTGATCTGGTAAGAGTTGGCCGCGATGATTTGTCCAAATCCCATGAAGAAGGCATATACAGGCCAATCTCCAACGCGTAGTTGCATCCATTTCCTCAGACCAGTAGGTGGCTTGTAGTCCTTGCCTAGCAGAAACTCGTCCGCTAGATTGTTCGGGTCCGGTTGAGAGTCAGGGTCGGTGTTGCCTCCATAGATAGATGGGGCAGCCGACGTCGGGCGAGACTCGCGGTGGGTGTGGAAGCTCGTGCGACTTGAGGGAATGGTATGCCTTCCAAGTTTGACATTGCGGAAGGTGTCGAACCATTGCTTCTCCGACTTGATCAGGAATTCTTCAATGCACGTCGCAGATTCCGAGTTGTTTCCCTTGAGATCTTCAAGCTTCTTTTCGAAAGCTTTCGCAAATTCACCGTTGCTGTCCGTAAAGAATGGGTCCACCTTCTGCAGTTGGAAGTCGGTCTTCTCTCCAACGATAGTGTTCATGGACAGCAGCGAGTTGGTACTTGAGACGCGGTTGTTTTCTGTGAAAGCGGGTGGTGGGATAAGAAGCCCTGATTCCGGTCTAGGTGTGCCTGGCCCAGGCGTGTGAGCATGGTAACCGGGACTGTTGGGTAAGGGACTGAGTTCCAGGCCCGCCATTCTGCTTGATCGGCGTGTATGACTCGGTTGTGCAAAGTACGGAGAATCGTCATTCACAGCCAGACGCTGATATCGCCCGGATGTTTGCATAGGTATCGTGAGGCCTTCTCCATCGTCATCCTCGAAATCGCTGTCCATGTCGTCGTCGTCTTCGTCCGAGTTTTCATTTGGGTTTTGTGTGGTGGCTGTTCCAAGTCCAGTGTCGTCTCCTTCAACATCCGGTACAGGAGGGAGAAGTGAAGGTGTGTGTGGTTCCTCTCCATCGTGCTCGTCCTGGGTATCAACGTGGCCAGGACCTCTGCGTGACCCAAGGGATGCTGAGCGGGAAAGGCCAGAGGCTGCTCGCGAGTGACTAGAGCTCGGACGCTCGACGGCGGTGTCCTGGCTTTGTTCTCGGCTGTGACCCAGATTCCTGAGACGCGTGGTGAGGGAATGTAAGGCTGCATAGCTTGTCAACCGCGACTGGCCCAATGTGGGAGTGTGGAAACCCGCTGGCGTGACTGCACCCGATCCGCCAGGAGTATTCCAGACAGACGATCCCCAAAGATCTGCGGCAGCACTATGATGCTTTGTAGCTTCGACCTTGTTGTGGATGCGAATGGCCGTGGACTGCAGGATTTCGAGGTCTTCGACCCATTGTGCGACTGGAAACCTCTGTTTGGCCGATCGAGCCCTCATCAAGGCCCGGATCTCCGTCTTCGAGCTCAAGGCCTCGTGGATAGCCTGCTTGAATTGATGGAGCAGATGGGCAGTGGTCGTAGACTCGACAGTGTACCACCAGCCGGGCATCTGGCCCAGTCCTCCAACTCTTGCTCCAACTCCCAAGGCACCTTTGCGACCGAATTCGACGGCGACGAGCCCAAAAGGCTCATCTCTCGATGGGATAAGCGCAAACTCGGCTCCAGAGAAGATGAACAGAGGTAGAGCTGTAAAGACTGGCTTGGAGAAGACTCTACCAGGATACAGCTTCATCATTCGTTCCAATTTGAGTGCTGCGAATTTGCCGTATAGATCAATGACGGGCCCGATGGTGATGAGCTGGACATTTGGATTCGACTCCAAAATCGACGGGAACACATCTGCAATCAGGTCGACACCTTTTTGCATCGACCAACGTCCGACGAAAACGAACAGCTCGGCGTTGGGATTCTGGTCCAAGCCAGCCCATTCCTGAGCTTGACGCTTCAATTCAGGTCGCGCGGCCTCAAATTCTGGGTCAATCTGGATCTCGGATTCGTTGGGGAGCTTCTTATCCCACTCGCCAGTATCAGACGGGTCGGGATTTGGCAGCTTGCCAACCTTCTTCAATCCCCAGAAGATGGGATACCGGGCATATGACCGCTTTCCATATTTCTTGGACACACCCACTGCTCCGAATCCTTGTTGGTGGACTCTCAAATACGACGCTCCGGCATGGAGAAGGTTGAATACCTCACCAAATTGAACGTACCGCTGCACCAGCTCGGGAGACAGGTTAAAGACGGAGCACACCTCGTCCCGTTCTTGCTTTGTTCGCATCGGCCACAGACCCTGAAATTCGGCATTGTGCAGGGACAGGCAAGCAGGGATTGTCCTCGGGAGGAGGTACAGTGGAGCGACAGAGCCATGGTAGTCGTTGATGTGGTATAGGTCCACGGGGAAGCGATTGAGGGCTTGGGCAATGCATTGATTCCACGCCGAATAGTAAATGGCCGAAGACAGGTCGTCCATTCGAGGTGGATAAGGCTCGGCCTTGGTTTGCTGCCTGAAGACGGGTGCATCGAGCAGCACGTAAGTGATATTGCGCAGAACATGATACTGGACTTGGACTTCGTATGGTTTGCCGAGGACTGTCACTGTCATGGGATCCGCCTTTTCATCTTCTGGATAGTCGACGCCTCCAACACAGGGTACAACCCAGATGAGATCTTGGTGGCCCAGGTTCTTGCCCATGAGTTGTGCCATGACGCCGAGACCCCCGATCTTGATTTTGATACCCCAATCTTCGATGTCGTACTCCATCGTTGCGATCAGAACGATGCGCCTCTTCTGCTGGTCGATGACGGTGTCCGATGGCTGCAGGAATTTCGGTTTACGGGAGAACTTTGCCAGGATACCACTCGGAGGTGCTTCCTCGTCGACTAGCTTTTTGAATTGCCTCTTGAAGACTGCAGGGATCAGTCCAGATTTCTCCGATATGCCAACCTCGTTAAACTTGATTTGGTAGAATGATTGCATAAATGACCAGACGCCAAAGGCTGCTGTGATGATAGGGACGGTCCAGAGAAGTACATAGAGGATAAGCTGAGTCCACATATTGCCGGAGGGCACCAGTTTGAAATGCAGACTGCCATCATCTATGACAACTCTCCATCCCAAATGCGGCTTGGGGGGTGGTTGGGTGATGTTCAAGACGACTGCGGCGAGCGATGATGGAGGAAGACGATCGAGAACTGAGTCTCCATCGGCATCTCCCATGACAATTGTCTGATCGGGTCTGCCATCTGGATTGAGGCCCCAAACATTGATTTGGGCCAGCGCACCCTTCAGACTCCATTCAGTCATGAAATGACGGGTCCATGTTGAATTGCCTTCGAGCTTCATTTTGCCGTCGAGTCCAGCGTCGAATCCATATTGGTTGTATGGCCCGTTCAAGAAAAGATGAGGAAACCTCCGAGGAGTGCTGAAGCCGACATCGCCCTGTTGGATATGGTCGCTGCTACCAGCGAGGCGGCTGAAATACTCCACGCGGACATGCGTACCTTTCCAGGACTGCAATTTGGTTCCAGTCCAAGCCTGCTTCTCAATTGGCGTCTTGCCGCCAGTATAGGGCATCCACTCTGAGAAGGATGATCCCCAGTTCGTAGAATATCGCCATTTGTCCGCTCCAGCCGCCGTGTGTGAAATGACCAGGGATCCATTCTTGCTCTTGGTAAGAAGACTGGACGAGTAGTTCGCGGCTCTTGTGAAGACCATGGGATTGTCTCTCTGTCCAATACGGAAGAGGAAACGATCAACAGCATCTGTAGGTTCCCCAGCTTCAGATGAGACATTGCGGACGGAAATTGCGTGTATGCCGTTGGCTACATTGTTTAGTGTGGCCGACCAGGACCAGGTTGATGCAATCGCACCGACATATGGAGGAGCTTCAGGGTCTGCAAGATTAGTGCATTGGACACTAGCTTGGTCGATGGTAGGAGTTGTCCCTAGTTCAGTAGTGGAATTGAACGTGATGCCATTCGTAACACTTTCACAGTTCATTTCCACCGAGAATTGAAGCTCGATATTGACGGACTCCGTGCCATTCGCGCCGACCTTGGACTCAATGCGAACGTCATGGCCAGGGACAAACTTGGTGATCATTGGTTTCGGACCTACCCACTGATCCAATGGAATGTAGGCTCTAAAGTCGTAGGCGGCCATGTGCAGGCTACTCAGACAACCGTTCGGATTTGTTGACCCGTTGATTCCCAAATGATGGACGCTGTCGGTAAGAGTCTGCTCATCGTAAGGGTAGAAGAGATTCTTGACGATCGTTCCAGCGTCGTATGGTGCGATCAGACTCGTGGTATTCAGAGCTGTATCATTGTTGTTGCAGTCGAAGGTATACGTGGTCGATGCATTTGCATTCGAATATAGGAGCCATACGGGAAGATTGCCTGCGCCAGCAGAACCAAGATCTTGAATACCAGGAAATGCGGAGCGCATCACTGACCACATACCCGTCTCGGTTGTCACGTTACCGGAGCCAGGGTATTGGATCTCTTGAGTCTGGTTGGACAGTTGTTGCAAGAAAAAGCCGTCCTGCAGGACAGGAAACTGTTCTCGAAGTTGGTTCATATGATGAATGATGTTGCGGACGGGATGTGACGGATCTCTGTGGTCATAGCTAACTGTATCGTCCTGACAACCATGACGCGATGCATTCAGCGGCATTTTGAAGAACTGTGTGGAGTCGAGACTGTAGCATCCGTGAGTTTGCCAGGCAGTCGCGGAGGACATTGCTTGTCGACCAAAGATGTAATTTGACGCTGTGTTGTCCAGAATATAGAACGCCTGCTCCTCGCCCCATAGCAGGAGAGGAGCGCCAGGCATGTGGATTGTGGTTATGAAATGACCCAGCAACTGGCGATGGATACCATTGGTGATAGAGGGCCATCGAAAGACATCCTGATTCGTAACTCCGTACATGTGCCTGGGGTCGACCTTCCCAGTATTAGGATTGACAAAGTCATTAGTTAGAAGAAAGGTGTTCCACATGTCCACGAAGTTACGGGGCGCGTCGTAACCAGCTTCCAGGTTACCATCCATACCCAAGAAGCGAGTCAGAGTGCGGTAGACTGTGTAGTGGAAGGCGGCAGCATCGAGCGCACCATGTTCGGGGTCTCTCAGGAAATATTTGTCTGCCGAATTGTTGGTCATTGTGGCAGCCATGGTCAAATTTTCGGGAATCATGTCAGGTTGTCTCCCACGGCCCAAGAAGATCGACCCGAAGACATTCCCACCAGTGATCTCACCGGGGGTGAAGAAGTTGTCTTTGCCAAATCGACGAGCACACCGGCGCATTGCATCGTTCATGTATCCCATGGCATCAACCGTGGACTGCGTGGCCTTGTCATACCGATATCCGTCAATGTCAAGCTGCGCGATCATCATACAATAAAAGTTCTCGATCTTCAGCCGAACAGGTTCGTGCCATTCACGCAGACGATCTTGAACGGAAGCGAATTTTGACAGTTCACGACGCCAATCTGGAAAGACGCCGAAAGCCTCTGTGTCGCCATACTGGTCAAATTCACTATCGTAGCAGCCAATCATTTGGCTCGTCACATCTTCGCCAACAGGAAATCCCGTCTCCAGCCAGAATTTTGGGTATTGACATGTCTTGTTATAATTATTCCCGATATGGAAGTCATGATACTGGCGGTCAGACTTCCACTGCACTTGATGCTCCGACAGCGTAAAGGGGGTCGTAGTATTGAGGTAACCGTCGAATCCGATGAGGTCACCTAGCGTAGCGAATGTATTGTCCAGGATGACGTACATACCGCGAGCGTGTATCTCTTGTATAGCGGATCGCCACATGTCGATGGTACCGAAATGTTGGTCCAAGACCGATAGATCGAGCGGCGAGTATTGATCGTACCCCCATGGACTATTGATGAAGGGAGAGCCAGCAATGTACAATCCCTGTGCTGGTTAGCAGGATACATTGATGGTGATACTGCAGTCATACCTTGACACCCATTCCATGGAGATAGTCCAGTGTATCAACAAGGCCCTGGAGATCGCCTCCATGACGCATCTGATTAGAATTTGGGTCGTGCTCATATGCTGTTCCATTGATATTATCGTTGCTGGGGTCACCATTGACGAATCGGTCGAGAAACAGGGTATAGAAAGGGAACCGCCAGTTCGACGGCGAGGGGTGGTACTGATGGTCTTTCCATTCTCCCCAGTAATCTAAAGGATTCTCTGCTGTTTGATTCTGGTTGAGGTTATACTGAAGGAAAGCTGGATCATATCTGAGTGCCCTGCAGCTCGACAAAAACAGAAAAGTGGCCCAAGAGAGAGTATTAAAAAGCATGTTGTAGCGATGAAACAAAACGAAAGACAGGAAAGTTGGAACAACGGTAACCGTGAAAGCGAGCGTGGCAACCGTAATAGTAGCGAGTGACTGGAAGACGTCAAGCCATAGAGAATGGAGAGAGGGTATAAGGGAAAGTCATATCAAATGGAGAGCGAAGGGGAAGGGGGACGGGGAAGAAGAATCGAGAATTTCCTTCTCGCAGCTCAGCCTACCACACACCCTGTCCTCCATCACGTTCGAACGCGATAAGGAAATGATGAGAACGAGCTCAGGCCCTGTCCCCATGACTGTGGACTGCAAAAGTTCGATCGAAAATGAGAAGATGACCCGGCGTAGCCCTCGTCACACAACCCAGCAGGTGGGGAGACTTATGAGACATGGTAAGCATTGCGATGGAAGTTCTGCTGCCAACCATGCACGAGCCTCATGTGTCGTGGCAAACCCTGAGCGGGTTTTGTGACGGGAGGAACCTGAAGGATCCAGGAACAGGCTGCAATGACCCACGCTGAGAATCCCACATACTGGAAACTCTTGTTGGGATTGGAACTCGTGAAAGTTGAAGGATAGCTCATGCCAAAACAGCTCATGGCTGGCCATCCCTGTCCAGACCATAAACAGAAATGGCTATGAGCTGACAATCCTGGTCTGCCCAAAACACGGTATTATGAGACAGCCAGATAGTCATGGAATGAAAAAATGGCAGTGTGGCCATGCCATGGTGTGGTTGAGCGATAAGTGCTGAGTCTAGAGGGTGGACGCCAAAGTGATCCATAAGGCTGGAGACAGAGGGGTGGAAGGCAGGATAACCCACGAATTTTTTGAACAGGGGAGCAATTGTTGGCGAACCAGAACAGCAGGGGACATTGCCCGGGCTATACTGTTCTCTTCGTCTTGAAGACTATAGTCCAATCATTCTTACGGGGGTATAAGTTGACGAGCAGTTTTGGCGTTGTAAAAGCGATGAATCGAGCAAGGGCCTCCCCTGTAACATGGCGTTGTGGCCTTCGTCATATCAGCGGCAGAACCGGACACCATGTGAATGGGATTTTGCTCGCTACCTGTACGTTTGTCATCATTGTACCCACTGGGCAAATGCTCGTATTACTGTACTTCCCACGCTTGAGAGCCTCCTCCATGGTGATTTTGATTGAGCTTACCGCAGGACGATTCCAGGGATCGAGATATAAAAGACTTCGCGAGTTTAGCGAGGGCGCTTCCCTTGCTGCTATCCTTGTATCGATGCTGGTGGTGTGCGGGTGCATGTGACGCGAGCAGTGCCCCGGGATACGCGATCACAAGAACAACACGCTACCCATCATTCGTGCCTCGAGTATGTGTTCACACTGTGTACTCAAGCAGGGTTCAGGCCAGCACAGAGGAGTTGCCGAGAGCGCCTAATAGATTGTTGGGCCTCTGAACGTTGCATAATAGTCCAGAGCTGAGAAACGAACCGTTGAAGGGAAAATTTTGGGAAAACTGGAAATTTGGAACGATGGAGCAAGTTGGTTGGAGGTTGAAAGAAACTGTGGCTTCTGACCCATTTATCACGTGGTCCCCACCCTTGAATAGCAGCTGCGCGGTGCCTCCTTTTTCTACCCACTCGCCTTCTCTTTTTTCCGGCTTGGCATTTCGCTGCGCTCCGCCACACGCCCCGGCATGGCTCTTCCGTGCAGTACTTTGTGCCTGGTAGCGAGTACGAGGTATATCTTGTCATCCGGTCCCAGTTAATCTGCAACCCTTGTCCTCCCAGTGCGCCTCTCCTTTCCGGCAAGACAACAATGGAATAATGCCATTTATGCTTGATGGTCACCTCATAGCGACTCCTGTCACCACATCAACGCCACTTACACAACATCTACGGTCAGATTCTGTGTGTCGGTCACGCCGGGCTCCTAATATAGCCAGACGCCCTTTCTGTCAAAATACAGGCACGAGTAAAACTCACATCGACACTTCCCTTTGTGCCATTATCGTCCAGCAGGAACCTGGTCCACTCCAAGTAAAAGGAGGTTCTCAGTTGAGGCCCAACGGCAGATACCCGCGGCCCCGCTGATCGTCAGCATTGGTATACCATTGCCTTTTACGAGTCAAGGGTTGACAGCTCCTGCTACTCGTGCACAAGCGAAACTGTACGAGGCTACATTTTCCACATTCAACTGCTGAGGTCCTTTTCCTCAGATGAGGCTCAGTGGTGAGTCGTATATGCTCAATCTGTTTCCGAGTGTCGCAAGATAAGAATAGCAGCTCGTGGATGGCTTCCCCTGCATGGACTCCTACCTCAGTGGACATGTTTCGGGTAAATTATGGAGCCTTCTTGTGCATTGTGTCAAACCACACCAACAATATGGAGCGAATGGTCGTCTCTGCCACAACTGAAGCCTTGAGAATATCGCTTGCGACGTATCATCCCACTGTGTTGCCCACCGTGTTGCATCTGCAACATGCAGACTTTGCACATCCCACATGTTAGGAGGCGGATCGACTGTACTGAGCATGAACCAGTTGCACAATGGTCCACTAGAGAATTGTCCATCCGCGACAGGGTCAGACCCAAAACTGCAACGCTCTCAGTCTTCACTGCCTATCACCAAGCAAATCCTACTGGATTTTAGTCCTGGAAGATGTCATCCTTCTTTTGATCCTCTGACAAGTACACAAAGGTAGACTTTGGCATTACCTATTTAGGCTGGTGGATCGCTACCGGGTGTGTCTCTGGGTGGCCACAATTCCCTGGTCTACTTGCACAAGTATTTAACTTTCAAGCGTGATAAGCACGGGTACAACAGCGAGCCGCCTGAAGCTTAATACGGAGGCAGCGGATTGAGTTGTATACAAGTACTGGAACGCCCCGTCAATCCTGCGACTTGGCTGAAGAGTTAGCGACCTCCTCGCACTGCAGGTATTTCATAGCGCACTCAAGCCACCTATATATGTAGGTACCAAATAGTGGCCGTGAGGTGTCTGACAACACCAACCGCCACATCATGTCATTCAACAACCATTTTTAATTACAAGCGAGCAAGTTACGCGTCTCGCTCGAGCTTACTACTTGCAGATATTAGGTAACGTGGCGCCGCGATAAGGGCCACCCAAGGGCCACCCAAGGGCAGCGCTGGCACATAGTAACCCCGCCCCACACTTTACAAACTGCGACTCTCCGTGTCCAATGCCCTTCCCTTCAACCAGCCCACGCACTTGGAGGAGAGGCGATGACCATTGTTGAGAATGCGGGTGCCTTGCTTGGGCCTCATGTCGAGGTCCCTGGGTCGCCCAGTTCTCTCCTCCTCCTTCCCGCAAGCATGTTTCCAGAACCTGTGGCTCCGACCGCTACACCCCCCGAGACGTTCGTTCCAGAGCGATAGCAGCAAGGAAAGGACTCCGGACTTTGCGTTCGCCTTCGAGTACGATGAAGCACGCGCGTCCATATTGTGGCTCCCATTCTGATCATGTCTTGAAATAATAGTATCGACGGTGTCCTCGTCCGGAGCTCCAAGCCAATCCCCCATGCCTCGTCGACGCTTCGATTCCTCCAGCGCCATCGGATCCCTTTCATGCTCCTCACCAACGGCGGCGGCAAGCATGAATCAGAACGAGTCAAAGATCTCTCCTCGACCCTCTCCGTACCCCTCGATACCTCCAACTTTATACAGTCGCACACACCCTTCGCCGAGCTGATCCATGGAGAAGACAGCCTGCGACACAAATGCATCATGGTGGTTGGAGGCGAGTACGGGCGCTGCAGGGACGTGGCTGAACAGTACGGCTTTACAAACGTCGTGACGCCCGGGGATATATACATGGCGCATCCGGAGATCTGGCCGTTCAGCAAGCCCTTCCAGCGCGACTACTATGCCTCGTTTGCGCGCCCGCTGCCCAAACCGATCAACCCGACATCGCCGGCCGACAGTTTGAAAATCGACGCCGTCTTCGTCTACAACGACCCGCGCGACTGGGGCCTGGACATGCAAGTCATCCTCGACGTGATGCTGTCGCGCGAGGGCATCCTGGGGACGTTTTCGACCAAGAACGGCGACCTCTCACTGCCGAACAGCGGCTTCCTCCAGGACGGCCAGCCGACGCTATACTTTTCGAACCCAGACCTGCTCTGGGCGGCCGACTACCACCTGTCGCGGCTGGGCCAGGGTGGCTTCCGCGAGGCGCTCGAGGGCCTGTGGCGCGCCGTCACGTACCACAAGAACCACCACAAGGCGCCCAAGCTGTACAAGCGCGTCATCGGCAAGCCGCACAAGACGACGTACTCGTTCGCCGAGAAGCAGCTGATCCGGTACCGCGAGTCGCTCTTGGGCAAACATCACCCAACCAAACTGAAGCGCGTCTACATGGTCGGGGACAACCCCGAGAGCGACATCCGAGGCGCCAACACCTACGAGTCCGCGCACGGGATCAACTGGGTCAGCCTGTTGACGCGGACGGGCGTGTATAAAGACCAAGACGGCCGTCGGCCCACGTGGGAGCCCGCCGCTATCGTGGACGACGTTAGAGCCGCCGTACAGTGGGCGTTGAAGGACAGTAATTGGCACCAGCCCTTGGAATAGAACAGAAAGGGACGTGTAGACCACCATTAGAATTCTCGGGTGGGTATGGGGCCGATAGCTCATTTTTAGGTGGGCAAGGAAAGACTAGACTATTTTTAACAGCACGTCCTACATTGATAAAAATCCCCTGCTCTCTTGAGGCGATCACATAGACCCTAGACGAAATCAAAGGTATCGCCTCCTTGGTCATTGATCAATCTCCCCACCCTCTCGGTGCCAACAATCCTTTCCAGCTTCAACACATCCCATTTTGAGAACAGCGCCCGGACGACTCCCTTAGCACCGCCCTTGGAAGCGTGTGGCGCTCTGTCCGTGTCCGTCCCAAGTCCCAGGAGCGCGATGATCTCGGCCCAAAAGATGGGATTCTCGGGCACGCCGTACCACAAGATCTTCCGGACACCTTTGATCCGGTACCGGAAATGATGGTGCGCTCGCTCCGAGTACAGAAGCACGGCATGCCGGCCGGAGAGGAAGTGCGAACGCGCGCGCATCACCTCCTTGACGGGCGTGTACTCCGAGATACTCCCAAACGAGAGCGCGGTAGCGTCTGAGGACGTCGAGAGATGATTCCGCACACGCGCAAAGTCGGCGTATGTGGGGATGAAGAGCAGGATTCCCCGTTGATGTCGTGCGTCGCGCACGAGCGGCGCAAGGATCGTGGTGGTGAAGAATTTGAAGCGGGCATCGGAGTCGGACAAGGGGTTTGGCGAGGGGATGCGCAGGAAGGTCTGAGGTATGCCCGAGGTGAATGGGAGGGCTAAGGAGGAGACTGAGAGCATTGCCCCGGGATATGTCGGCACCAGTTTCACTCGCCCAGCGACGTTGTGTAAGTGCGTCGAGACCAAGGCGTTAATTTCAGGGGTCAGGTAGTCAGACAGTATAATCGTTTGGCGCAGATATTTAGCTTGTCCGTCGAGATACCAGTGGCGGACGCGAGAGAAGTCGCAGCCATGGGAGTCCTTGGGGAGAAGGTTGAGTTGAGAGAAGACATAGTCCACATGTTGCCAGTTCTGCATTTGTAAGGCGTTCGTGTGGTCCATGATGACGAGCTCAATGGACGAGAGAAAGTCGGCGTCGTGTGATTTCTTCTTGTCCTTGCCGCCTCCTGTGGTAATTGTGCGCATCAACCCAAGAGGGGAGCCAAAGATGATGTCCGAGTTGTAGAAGCCAGAAAAATACTTGATGGTCTTCCTGGTGAATTTCAACCCGACCCGGAAGTCTTCTTCATGATTGCCGCCAAAAAGTGCTCGAAAGTCTTCTGGTTTGTCCTGCCATTCATCCTCATCTTCATGAGAATATGTCTCCAGAAAGCGAGCCTTGTTTTCTTGCTGATCAGGTTCGCTGAGTTTGACAATGCTTTCGACGAAACGCACACATGCCTGTTTCGTAGGCACAATGATCAGGACTTTGGGTCGAGTGAACCCTTGGTCGCGGAGGTCTAGTGCCTCAGTATTAGACGCTGAACTCAACTTCGCATTGTTTTTCAGCACCCGATCCCTCGTCTTGAAGATGTGGTTGAGAGCGTGCAGGCAAGATACATCGCGCAAACGGCTTGAATTTTGAATACTTCGGCACCCATTGATCATGTCAACATAGTTGAACACGCATGCGGCGACGTTCTTCTCCTCCGAAGACAAACCAGACATAACTTTGTCTCCACTGTCGACCAGCCGACGCTTTAGATAAGCGTCTTTTGTCGATTTCAGCGCATTAACTTTGGATGGATACTGCGTCGTGAAGAGTACCGTGCTTCGAACACCGGAGTCCGATCTAGAGGAGGAGGTATCCCACTGCTTTTGATCCACCTGTTTGATTGCAGCTTTGAAATCTTGTTCCGAGACAGTCGTGTAATGTTTCTCGAATGGATCTCGCAGGAGGGTCTCCTCATCTTCCGAATCAGCGTCTGCTACGTCGGCTTCCAGGTGCTCTTCATCTGTTTCCGGCCCATCTAGGAGCTCTGGAGGTTGCTCGTCCTCATTTGCCTGGGAGCTTTGGTTTTGAAGCGGCTCTCCATCTGAGACAGTCCTTTTTGCTGAGTGTTCTCCATTCTCCTGGCTACGTGAAAGCCTTCTCTTTTTCCTCGGAGGTTCAGACTTGTCTTTTCGTGCGCTGAGCGATTGTAATAGCAGAGCGTAGGAGTTTGGAGCGGGTGTCTCGTCTTCGCTTTCAGTCCCAGGCTGGATGATGCCTCCTTCAGACTCGTCTTCTTCGGCGGCATACAAGGCATCTTCCACGCTTCTGGGCTCATCTTGCGAAGCATCATCTCTAATAGCATTAGCAGAGCACCACTCGGCCAAAGGGTAGTTTGAAGCCACTCACTCTGTCTCTTTTAACCGCGAACTCTGGAAGAAATCCTGCTTCTCAACTACAGAGACCTTTTTCCCAGCACGCCCTTTCACAGGAGGCTTGCCTCCCCTACGAGGTCGGTAGCCAGGCATTATTGGCTTCTCAAAATTTACCAAGGCGCAGACAATGCGGGGAAAAACTTCCTGGGATCAAAACTTTTGAGATGGGCGAGTCTCCATCCCTCCAATAACGGAACTTTTCGTCGCCGCTTTGCTTGCCAGCGCAGAGTTTGACACGTGATTCCGCAAGGTGTTTTGTTTTCTCCTTCCTCGACTTCTTTCCTTCGTTGCTCAACAAGTTCTGGCTTGAACAGCCAGAATGGCCCGTTTTGACCTTCCGAACCACTCAACTGCAAAGTGAGCAGCAGCATGATGACCAGCACGGTGGACTGTTTGCCTCCCTCCAGATGATGTATCCCTTGCTTTTTCACTTACGCCACTTGCGTCTCTATCCTTGGCCTCCTCTTTTCAAGGTGAAATTGGTGCTCAGGCTGAATCACATCCAGCCCGTGTCAGGGTCGCGTTCAGCCATTCAGACCGCCTGGCTACTGCCCCTAGCAAAAGGGAAGCCAAGCTATTTGAAAGGCTGTACTGAGACCTGTGGGAACCCAGCCTGACCTCTTCAATACCTACACCTCCATGGCTTACCGCTCAGGCAGGAAACAAGCCACCCTCCCACTAACGGTGCCGTTGATGAACGCCATGTCACGTACTCGGGGCCCCAAGGCACCTCCATGTGGCTTCAACTGTCATTCGACATGCAAAATAGCAATCCAACCCCTTGCACTCGGGGACTTGTCAGCCAGCCAGGTTCCCGGCTATGTAAGACTTGTCTTAACTCATGAAAGCTCACCTTAGATTTGCTGCTGGACAATTGGCTAGCATCACAACCCCCCAAAGTTCCATCTGAAGGTGATCCCCACAGGAACCTTGTAGAGGTCAACCTGCGGTCGGGGCGGTGACGCACCAGACCTGCTGTGGCTCGATTAAGCGACCACAAGGGTCAGTCAGGCAAAATTTCGTCCTGTTGAAGAATCGTCTCCCCTCAGCCTGATAAAATACTTTATTGATGCTGATCACAGCCTTTGAGAGAGATCGACGCTGCGCTTTGATCTGGTTGTCCCTCCATCTCTTATCCGTCTTCTCTTTTCCAACCAATTCAAGATGGGCGACCCTGCTGATTCTCCAGCGTACAGAGTAGGCTATCGCGCTCACGAATACAAAGATGCAGGTCTACCATACGAGAAATCTCCAACGCGGTCTCCAGATCCAGCCCAGAAGGAAAGTGAGGCTAAAAGTCGTCAGGCAGATGCAGTTCCTGCCGACCTGAGCAATCCGGATCTGCCAATCTATAAGAGATATATCGCCCCTGCCCGTCAAATCGTGAACGAATATGACGCTCTATTCCCGGACCTAGAGCGTGGTCCAGACCAATTAGGCGATCAACCGAACGTTCTCACAACCGTGGGAGATCAGCCCGATGATCAAAGCGTTGAGTGTCATCATATCATGGATAGCTGGGGAGAGCGTGGAACTGGGGACAGCCATCAATTCTATTTCAATTCAGCAAAGCATAAAACTGCGGCTGGGACCCCGATTGCCGATGGAACTGTTGAATGGGTGTAAGTTCTTCGAACTTCAGGAATTCTTACAAACTGACACAACTAATGTCAGACATTTGGGTTTTCGATCCCCAACACCTAGCCGGATCCAGGTAAGATGCTCGTCTGGCCCTCTTTGGTCTCTCTAATTCTAGGGCTAGTCCGTGGTCGACAAATACGCTCGCTCAGGACTGGAAGATGGAATCGACCGATTGGCTGATGGCCTTCTGAGACGAATGTTCAGCAACGAGGAGAAAACCTTTGTCGGAGGGTACTATTTGCAACCTGGCGTCATACGCTATGATGGAGAGACACCGTTACAAGACGTGCCCGACAGACCTTGTACATTTGTCAATTTCCCCTATCTATGTCTTGAGTGGCCTAGGGAACTGGAGGCGCTGCCAGAGGAACCTGACCCCGGGAACAGGAAGTTTCCGGTGCGCTCATTGCTACAGTCGCGCTATCGTTTACAACTTACCCGCGAGAAAGATCAGAAGCAGTCTGTCTCCGCCTTGACCAACAGACAGGTCAATGCCTGCATACAGCCCGCTTTAGCCCACCTGAACTCCGGCACTGCCATGGAGAAATGTACCAAGATTGTACACACCCATCAGCTCTGGTGCTTGTCTCTTAGTGGAGGCAAGTGAGGATGATTCCAGTGATGACTGTCACAGACTGACTGGCTCCAGACACCGTTGTTACGTGCGCTCCTATAAAGGGAGCAGCGCTTCAAGGACAGGTCATCTCAGTGACCGAGATCAACCAGGACGACCCCACTGTCCAAGTAGTGCTTGATCATAAGGGACGATTGAAGCGTTACAGATATCAACGCAATCACTGCGATTCTTGGTTTGTATGTTTTCCCACGCCAAGAGATCGTATTCATGAACTGATTTGGCCACAGCGCTTGTTGAACAAGCACAGACAAATCTTACTCTCGAGGGGACTTTTCGGAGACAAAGGTATACAGAATGGACAATTCGACCTGTTCTTTCAAGGCGAGAGGAATCAAGAGACGGAACTTACTTGGTTAAACTGGTTGGAAGTTCTCCAGAAGCACAATACATCGAACCTGGAAATCACGATCAGGAAAACATCAGGATCCAAACCACCGGGAATTAGCTTGGCTGGAGCAACAGCTTTAAGCCAGGCATCTCAAAACCTCCAGATTCCAAAGTCCAATCAACAAGTCGTGGCAGATCCTCGACTCCCAGCAGTGAACAAGGAACCGGGCGAATCATCGGGAATGCGACGCCGCAACCAATTCGAACGTACGGCCAATAACGCAGATCAGGAACGAACATCTCGAGTACAATTCGCCGGTGGTGCTGATAATGTCCTGGGACCATCTTCGGACCCAAGTCCCGAAGACTTTGCAAACAGCCTCGGCAGTGAGAAACGTAAAATCATTCCGTTCTTTCAATGGCGACTGCGTAAAAACACCAAGAAAGGTGCTGAGAGCACCAGAGCTGGACGCAGCCGCATCGTATTGGACAAGATTTTACCGAAACTGTTGGAGACATACCGAGAATTGTTCTACGATGAGAATCTGATCTTGGACGAGTTGGACTTGGAAAGCTTGACACAGTTGTTGAAGTTGGAAGGACGAACATTCGAGCAATTCGCCGAGGATACCGAAGCTGGTGCACAGCGTGGTGAGCAAATTGAGTTTCTGATCAAGTCAGCAAGTGCACTTTTGGACCTGTTTTTGCCAAATATTATCGAACAAAATGCGCAGCAAGGACAGTCCCAGCATCTCACTGAAAACAAAGTCCCTGGACCTGCAGATACAGGTGGCCACTCAGTGGAAGCGTCAAATGGCACGGGGAATCCTCTAGATCGCACGAATAGGCCGGCTACCGATAACACTTCTGCTGAATTAGTTCAACATTCCTCTCGCAAATCAGACGCAGCTATCGACACGGCGAGCGTCAAACCTGATGGGAAAGATATCACGCCTGGAATGGAGGGTCACGCACTTCTGAATCTCTTCAGAGCGGTATTTGGGGGCGTCATTCTGGTGAGTTAGTCAAGCGATTTGGTTTGTGCGTTGTGTGATACGCGAACATGCGCTAATGCTGTGAGATATAGTTCTTGAAAGGAGCAACCATCCCCGAGAAGGATTTTGATGAAATCATCCAAGTTCTACGAACCACCCACGGGATTGCCCTTTTCTTACACCTCGGGGTTCGCTCGCTCTCGGGTATGGAAGAGTACGACCGCGACCCAGAGTTCGGCGGCTCTGCCATCTTACAACGAACCATTGTGAAAGCGTTCACGCACATCATCTACATGTTCTTTGGACTGTGGCAATCTCTCTGGGCGAGAAAAGAGAATGAGACAGCTCCAGAGCCTCAGCTGTATGCTTGGGCATTGGGCCACGGAGATATCTGTGCTAGGATGCTCCTGGAAGCAAGAAACGACCTCATTGCTGAAGCTGGAGAGTTTGAGAAGGAGCCGCCACATGGTCCAATGGTCACACCCGAGGCAGTCGTTATAATGCTTCTGGAACGTCTAAGTCAGAACGTTCATGGAGTGGGCACCTTCGATCTGGGGGACATTTATGAACGAGTGATAGAGAAATTGGTGCGCGTCAGAGAGAATACCGTTTTGCGGCGACGACAGCTAACACGACACAGGCTGCGGAAGTCGAGTACAACGCAACAAGACCGCTGCTGTTTGAGATCAACAAGACATCGGAAGAGCTCGACATTATCCGCGATGTGCTCAAACAGCAGGAGCGGGTTTTGCTGTTGTACCGCAGGTCACTGGACCCGGCAACGTTTAGCAAAGGCAAGGCCGGGATCGAGCGAGAGAAGAGGTTCCCCTGCGAGGAGAGGTCCATCAGCGCCGTGCTCAAGACAGTTCGAGAGCGGATCAACGACTTTGACGAGCTTAGGAACCGAATCACACAATTGCGGACTCAGAACGTTCAATTGGTCGAGACCCAGCAGGATGAGAACAACAAGGCTATCCTGGTCTTCACCGTGGTCACCATCTTGTTTCTCCCCATGTCGTTTGTGACTGGGTATTTCGGCATGAACTTGCAGGGCATAGCGAACACTAGGACCGGAGTAGGCCATTTCTGGGCTATCGCCCTGCCCGTGACCTCGGTCATTGCGATACCCTGTCTTGTGCTGGCATTTTGGGGCCCAATTGTCCGGATTTGGCGTCGGATACGACAGACGAGAGCAGACTGAGTGACCTAGGAAAGGTCTTGCTGTCTACACCCTGACTTGCGAAATACTGAAATCCACCGACTTGCCCCTGCCCTGGTCTCAATTCCTGGCTGGTACTGTGGTTATATGAAGACCGCCACTGATTCAGATAGAAACAAGCATCATAGACGTTTCGAAGAGCCTCCCTGCAAGATACGCCTGTGACCCGTCTCTAGACAGACCGCCCGAAAGATGCCCGATAGGGAAAGATTCAGATTGGCACATTTCATTTTTGCCTGAATGTTTCACACTCGACGGACTTGTAAATGGAATCTAAGCTTTGGAAGTGTGAGTTGGGTTGCGTGTCAGCTTTTGGAGAGGATCAACTTACGGAGAAAAGACCTTGATGCGATATTGATGCAACAGACTTCGAAGCTCGATCAGTGGTGATGGCAGAATCTGCAGAATATCAGACCGAGACGATGCCAATGCTGGGGTTTAGAACTCTACCGTGCCCTCTAGGGGAGTGTCTTCGGGATTTGATGATGGATCCTGCTCGACTTGTGACGGATCAATGGGTGCCTCGTTCGAGCCGTGGCTATCTCGTCGCTCTCCAGCGTCTTCTCCCTGTTTTTCTCCTGTCGCAACGATGGCGACCTTGTCCGCAGACTGGCGATGCTGGAATCGTGTCTGGGCACCGACGTCCTCGCCTCGGCTCAACAAGAATTCGCATGCTTTCCGGTATTCATTCCCCATTATGCGCGCCACGAGGACGAATCTTTCCGCACGTTGCTCAGGAGACTTGAGATCGCTGGCGTAGAGGCGGTCTCCGAGTGCGATTTCAAACAACAAGATCCCAAGTTGAAATAGCTGGGGACGCACTGAAGTTTTCAGAACGTCACCAGACGGCGAGCCAGGGCCTTGTTGCTGAATGAGGACGACATAACGCTGCCCGGATGTACTCGAAGGGATGCTCTTGATATTTTGACTGCTGAGGTGTGATAACCAGGGGGTTCCCAGATGGAACATGCCAAACTCCGCGACCTTGTACGCCAGCCCGAGCTTTTCTCGCAGGTTCAGACGGATGGCAATCTTGTGATCACCCTTACCGAGATCCGAGAGATTTGCAAAGGGCAGTGGCCCGCCTTCAACCATGAGAGGTCGCTTGACCCGCTCGATTCGATAGTAGAAAGTCGCCGCGGAGCCAGAGTCAGCCAGCTGGAAGACAGACCCAGTGCCTGCTGTGGGTTTGGCTGCTTTGAGAGCCTGCAGAAGGTCACTTTCAGAATAAAGCGGTGATTGTTCGCCCCCGATAGCTCTTGCGGTCGCCTCATCCTTGAGCGGGCCAATAACCAATTCCTGCATCTCTTGCGTGTCACCCGTCTTGAAGTAGAAGTGATAGCCCCGGCTGCGCTCCCTGTACCTCTGCCGTGAGGACAGTTGTGTCCACTCGTGGCAAAACAGATCGATTTCGAGATTGAGGTCCAGGTTGCGTCTCGTGCATGCGGTATAAAGTCGCGTCGACTCGCCTTTGCTCCTCACAATCTCCCGCAGTAATGCATCCTCGCTCTTGGCCGATATCAGAGAAGGCGCAATCTTGTGGTGGGCTTGGAAATGCAGGTCGGACAAGACGCTGAGATGGTCGAGAGACCGGCTCAAGCTGTCGGTTCTCTCCTGTAGGTCTCTCAGGTCAACAGGTCGAAGTTTGCGCTCTCTTCGCATCAACGACTTCCAACGATGGAGGGCTTTGTTTGAACCTTTGACACTCGCTTGACCGTAGGCGCGCAATATTCCCTGTATCTCCTGACACTCAGCCCCGATAAGCTCCAGGCGCTCTGCCACCGATCGGAACCCGTCCTTGCCCCAGAGTGAGTTCTCGTGGTCGGCTTCGCTCAGCGCAGTCGAATCCAGGGACCAACTTTGCTTCCAAGTCGACAGTTTGAGGAGGTTGGCATCCATCCGGAGGCGAACATGGTCAAGGTCATGATCAGAGTGGGCGAGAAGAGTCTTGCTGAACGAGACCATGAGCTGATATAAATCCTGAGCCTGGTCGATGACCCGCGCCGACGGGCTTTTATCCATCGAGGAAGATCAGCCTGGTGAGAACCAGAGGGCAAGAAGCCTAAGGATGGGGGAGAGTCCCAGTGTCAGAATTGGGCTCCTTTTTAAGGGGGGGAATGTGTGAATACGAGGCTTGTGTGACCTTCTGCTGCGCCCCTCCCAACACCGCCTTCCAACCCTTCCAACCCTTCCAATAAAGAATGCAGACACCCCCGGGTGACCCTATCCCGCCTGTGCGTCCCTGTGACCAGGCAATGTGGTGTGGTCTTCAGGTGTCCCCCTGCCATGCCAACGAAGCACAGAGAATTCCCGCCCTGTCTCTCTTTTCAAATCACCCTCGACCAAGTGTACTCGGTGCGCGGGTCACATTCATGGAACTGACATGACGGCCCAGCTGGAGACGTGCTGCCAGTCAATCGTCGACAAACTGACCAACGCGCTGTCTCTCGCGCAGCATGCAACCCACAATGCAGAGGAACCAGGCCTGCACGACATCATCAGCTCCGTCGACGACAGCATCATCGGCTTGAAGACGTGGCAGACCTACATACGACCTCACCGACACAGCACAAGGCCAACTCCAGTCGCTGAGCGGTACTTGAGGCTGATCTCGGACGAGGCCGATGTCATTGCGGTGGAGGTTACAAGATACAACAGCGTTCCAAGCGAGCAGCTGCGCGAATGGTAAGACATCTAGAGCCGGGGACGCAGAACCTGAGAAGCCAGTCTCTAAAACCATGCCAGGAAACCGTCACAGAGATTCGAAAGTGCAAGAAAGGAAATCAAAGAGCTGATTGGCGAACTACACACAGTTGAGGTTGCCGGCGCTGATAATACGAGGACGCAACGGGAGCAGATCGCTCGGAACGCCAACCGGCAAGTTACGGTGCTGGAAGAGTTGACTGAATGGTTCAAAGTGCGGCTTGGGTCTACCATCAGGCAGCAACGAGTTGCAACTTTTGCGCACGAACCTCGCACCGTTGGCAGGCTCAAGATTGGCGACCTGTGGTTTCTGTGGAGGCAAATTCCCACTGTCGACGGGTTGACGAAATCAAACATCGCCAGCGGACCACATGACGGCATCTCGATCGAAAGGTCACACGTCGACAGAGCCAGGATGGTGCTAGAAGCATTCTGTGAGGCCTGGCAAGCAATCACTCCGCAGATAGAAGACCGAGGAAAGTTTGAGGATCTCAAGAATATGGCCATGATTGCGACGGTCCTGAGCCACCTACACAATGGCCACGCTTACTTTGATCGGTTCCTACACAGACGATGGAACGACGATTTCCTTCCGTTTGACACCAACAAGCTACAAGTGATATTCTCCGGAGCGAACGACGCCTCACGAGTCGGTGATCTTTTCCGTGACCAACAATCCCGCGCAAGATGGAAAGAATGGCCTGAAGGGGCCCACGTTACATTTCGAGCCCTGGAGCCGTTGCCCTTGAAATCCGAGGAGATCTATTCCAACGATGGATCCTACAGTATTGTCGACAAGGTGCGGGACCTCTCATACCAGTCCGCGACGCCTCGATTCTATGCCAGAAAGCGTCAGAAAGCAACCCCGGCGTCACGCCAGCATCTGGAGAATGAAGTGAAGAATCTGAAGAGACTGAAGCACCACCACATCTTGAAGTACGTCAAGTCTTATGAAAGAGGTAGTGACGAGTTCGCCTTTCTGGCCACACCGGCGGCTGATGGTAATCTCCTGGGCCTGCTCAACCAATACTGCCGGAATGCTTACGACCGCGGGAGACTCAAGCCGATCTTGCTCAAAGCATTCGGCTGTATCAGCCTTGCCATGGATTATTTGCACAACAGGAAAGACACCCGACACCGAGACATTAAACCTGATAATATTCTGTATCACGAACATCGCTACTATGTAGCGGACTTTGGTCTTGCGTACCACTTCGACCCCCAGAGCGGCAGTGGAACTCATGGTCGCTTTGAATCCACGTACGAATATCGAGCTCCAGAGAACGACAGCACCACTCAGCCCCATGGGAGGTCGACAGACGTCTTCTCTCTTGGGTGCACGTTCCTGGAGATACTGAGTGCCATGATCAGGACCGGAACAAACGAGATCCGGGCTCTGCGAATCTACGTGGATCATCTGGACGAAGTCGGCAGATGGGTTGAAACCGCGTGCTGCGAAGAGCGGGGAAGGGAGCAACCGATGAGGAGCCTGCTCATGCTTGGTGGCAGGATGGTCTCCAAGGAGGTCGAGTCGCGCCCGACCATCCAAGAAGTCATTGTCGAACTTTGGGGAATCAGCACCAAATTCAATTACCCACTGTTCTGTGACGAGTGCATAAAACACCTACCAGCAGAGTTAGGTCTGAAAATTCAGGCCGACGGACTGCATCCCGAGGGGGGAAGTGTGGGCAGTGGACACAGTGGGCACAGCAGTAAGATGAGCCGCAAGAGCTTCAAGAGCTTTTTCAAGGCGACCAGAAAGCGGCTTCAGAATGTGCTGTCGACAAACGGTTATGCAGAAGAGCGTGACTGATGTGATGACCTGCCTTGCAGCGTTCCAGGACCCCTGCCAGGTCTGTTTCTGCAGCTGTTAGGCATGGTGGTCCGTTTGCGCGCAAAAGATTCGAAGCGTTGTCTGCCTCAGCTTCCAAAAACATGAAATGTACGCGCCCGCAAGAACCACAGCGGTCCTAGGGACTTTGGTTCGCTTACATCTTGGGCACTGGCGAATCGCTGGTGTGACATGGTCAAGTAATTCTGCTGTCGGCGCAGCGGCTAAACACTTGCAGCAAACCTCAACGCACAGACCCTGTGCCGATTGAAACAATCACATCAGGCAGCGTATCATGTTCTTAGGGCGGCCACCCAAACTGAACAACGAGAGGAGCTAGTCTTTGGGGAGATTGCGCCACCGACACCGCAACTTCTCGAGCAATCACCAAAGATGCGATAGATCTGCGACAGGAGACACCACCGCAACTTCTCGAGCAATCACCAAAGATGCGATAGATCTGCGACAGGAGACACCACCGCAACTTCTCGAGCAATCACCAAAGATGCGATAGATCTGCGACAGGAGACACCACCGCAACCGTCCGGTGGCCATCTGACCCAGACAGACTTCTTGGCTGTGCAAATGCAGGGCATGACTTGACCAATGAATTTCCTGCAGCAGGGATATGGTGATGGGCAAGCTAGCAAACTCATGCAGCCATGCTGTGGAGGGGCATTTTCGGTTTCAGCCTCACGGCGGGGTCTGGACCATTTCCTGTCAGGCGCATGCGTCGCACACGGAGTCTTGCAGCCCGGCCCAATCGTGCGCTGAACAAGAATCGCCTCTCTGTTGCCCAGGGATCATGACCGATGCCGTCTCTCAAGCCTAGTCATGTCTACGGAGCACATACCCCAGCACATCAAAAGCCGGGCAACATTCAAACAGAGTTTCCGGGGAAGTTTCGCTCCGGAACGGGACCCAATTCGACCTTGGACGATCCCAAAACAGCGATTATTATCCTTCAAGACCACGGAAATTGAAGGTATTGAACTTCAAAGAGCACGTCCACCTGGAATAGCGCAGCTTACAAAGACCACTGAGACACAGAGAAATGGGACTACAGGTGTACGGTAAAGAAGAGAGTGAGTGACCAGAGGCGCCAGGCAGCTAGGCAAATACTCAGAGGCGCCTACCCAGCCCTGATTAGGTCGAGTGGTACCATCCACGGATTGTCCTAAACCTGTTTCGGAGGCTCACTTGGCACTCGGGGGGGGGGGTACCTAAATCTCAATGTTTTAAGGGCCAAGACGGGGGCGCCTCCAACTAAACTTTTCGACCAGTCAGAAGAATAAGAGAAGGAGGCCCTCTAGATCTGACGCCGAGGGGTGGGAATAGAGACCACGATGGGAGGAGAGGGCTCTCTCTACCTCTATACATGCATACTTTGACAGATACACGTCGAAATGAACGTCATTGTACGTGCATGTTGAGATTGTTATTTCTCCTCTCAAGTTTCCAAATCGATATATGGTCTGGAAGATTGGCTGAGTGACGAGAGATGGGACTCTCCTAGACAAACTCCCTGAGAGGATGTCAGGTACTGGTTACCTACCTGATGTCGGGAGATGAAGAGCCGGATCTGGTATGTCGTGCACCCTCCGGACCGAGAACTTGGACCCGGGTAGACAAGAGTAAAGGTGAACCATCCAACGACGTGGGGGAGCCAGTAGCGTGAGCAGTAGCAACAAACAGCGACAATGAGTGTGGATGATCCCACCTCCTACCATAGTAATACATACCCTCATCGATAAGCGGTAGTGGTCCACGGGCGAGCCAGCTCCTACTCACCTCGCTACTCCACCCCGCCGAGACTTAAAACGTCCGCCAAGATCTATTCCGTGTATAATGATTGGTCATCAATCATTAGTCCCGCGGGCCAAGGAATGTTCTCCATATGTATACCCCCTCCCCTCCCCTTCCCTCCCCTCGTCTCCTCCCTCGCCTCTGTGTCCCGTGCTTGGTACACAATGAGAAAGAAAAGGGGAAAGAGATGAAAAGGGACGAGAAGAGAAGAGGTGATCAGATATACCGAGTACAGTGCTCGAATCTCAGGCTAGAACAGGGTGGGTTAAGGAGGTTAGTTCGTGATAAACCCGATTCGATGTTGTTCCGAGTTCTCGGTGACCGTCCGAGGAGAGGAGGGTCGGCTGGGGGTGAAAAAAAGACGAGGGAACGAAAATCTTACACCACATCAATGAATCGATCTGTCTTGTCTACCTACTTACTTTTCTCGTTAACGCTCGACCTGACCCGTTCGGTGAACGAGGGGGACGGGGTACGAGGACGAGATGTGAAGTGCGAAGTGCGAGGTCACACAACCATGTAGCTAAGCTAGCTAGTTGTCTAACTAGCTAGCTCTCTGTCTCTCTCTCTCTTACTCGTGAATGACAACATCGCCAGGTTTCAGCATCTCCGCCTCTCCCTGTCTCGACTCGTTACCAGCATCTCTCTCGTACATGCTTACGTGCATCCATCCATGCGTGCGCGCGCGTACGTGTGTGTCTGTGTGTCTCTGTGCCACGGTACCCTTCCGCATTCGCATCTGCAAGCTCGTAAACCAGCGTCGTCGTCGTCGTTGTCGCGGTTCCCTTTCCTCGCTTTTGAGCGGCAAGCACCTCGCAGGAGAAGATTCCTCTCTTCGTTCATGTCATATCCGTCACGTCGTCCAAATCTTGACCCTCGAAAATCCTAAAAACACCATAACTGCCGAGGAGGATAATTATCATGCCGCCCTTGATACCCCGTGACTGCATGGATAGGAAAGACGGTCGACCTGGCGGGGCGGGACGACTCAAACCTGTGCGTCCTCGGTCTTGACGCTCTTCGCGGCGCGGGTTTCGTCTTCGACATTGTCACTACCGCCATGGATTTTCTCCGCATTGGTCTTTGGGCCATCCTTCGCTGCCGGCACCGACTGCTGGTCCCCGTCGGCGTCGGCAACAGCGTCAGCGTCAGCGTCAGCGTCTTCTTCCACCTTGACCATCGACGCCTTCTGGGTCTTCTTCTTGGTGCCGCCGCCCTTTTTCGCGCCGCCCGCAGCTAGAGCAGCCGTTGCGTCATCGTCGTCTACTGCGTCGGCCTTGCGCTTGCGGGTGGCCGTCTTCTTGGCGCGCTTGGGAGTGTTGGGTTCGTTGTCTCCTTGTAAAGTCGGGGAAGCTTTGGCGGCGGCGGCGACGCCACCATCTTCCGCGTCCTCTGGGATGATGATTGCGCCGTTTTCGAACTTGAGGCCATTTTGTTCGATGATCGACTTGAAGCGGGCACTCCTGTGAATTCGGATATTCCCTTAATCAGCAAGAGATATCATGATGAAGAAGGGGTTTTTGGATGAGATGGGAAGGGGGGACGAGGGAGACGACAACAACAAAATACATACGCATTCCTCGCATAAGCGATGCCATTCTCCTTGGCCACTTCGTTCCAGTCTGTCTTGACTTGGTCGCAGTGCTTGAGGACGCTCAGGAGGAACCTAAACGCAGGGTCTCCCACACCACTGGCTGTTGCTCCGACTCGTGGCGCCATCTCGACTTGCCGTGGGGAACAGGTAGGAATGAGGGGAATTGAAGGGATGGAAGGGATGGAAGAGTGACTGGAGAGCGATGTATTGAAAAGGCGATGAGAGAGATGATCGAGTGATCAACGAAGTGATGGTTGGGATGAGGTTGTCTGTCGTCTGTGTGAAACGCGTGAATGCACACGATTCAAAAACAAAGAGAACGAAAAGAAAAGCGAGATGAGGGAGGTTATCCGAACAGACACTAACAGAACATTGAATCTGGAACGCGCTGGTGACAATGAGAACAGAGGGAACTGTGAGAGAGAGAGAGAGCAGAGAAGGGAACAACCTCTTTCTGCCACTGATGCACGAGGTCATTTTACTCTGGAGTCCAATAGTTCTGGTCCGTGACTTTCACCGTATCAAACTTATACTCGCCTGTCTGCCTGCCCTTGGGATCTTGGAAGCCCTTCTCAGTCTGGAGCAGATACAGATTCGGGTCCTGGGTCATGTTGAGGTAAAAGGGAACGTCCAGACTGTTGAGCTCGCCCTTGACCCATTCGACTCCGACCGTCGAGATACCCTCCCATTCGCGCTCGATCTTGTCCTTCATGGTCAATGGTAGCTTGGTGGTCATGGGACACTGGTACCACTGTGCAAAGTAGTCAATCGCCAGCATGATGCGATGCTTGTCGCTCCTGTTGGGCATGCCGGCGTGCCAGAGCCGCAGGTCCCGGAAGCAGATGCTGCCCTTCCGCACCTTGGGCTGGACGGGAGGCTTGATTTTGGCCCGCTCCTGGATGTACTCTTTCTTGATCCAGCCTCGATCAGAAAATGCCTGTTGTTCTTTCTGTGGATAGGCATTGTGAGTCCCGCACCACACCTCCGTCACCCCGTTCCTCTCGTCCGAGTCCTGCAGGTAGATGTTCATCACCAACCCAAACGGAATCTCCGGCCACGCGTGGCTGACATCGCTGTGCACGGCTTGACGTGCCGTCCCGCCCGGACAAGCAACGTTGCTGTTGACAAAACGGAGCTCGGGTTTAGGTCCGAGCAGATTTTCCACGACGTGAATCATGTGCGGGTTTGCGTAGAAGTCGCGGTCCAAATATTCGGGTTCGAGTGGTGGGATCTGGCTGACATTCCCTGTCGCGGCACCCTGATTCCAATGCATATGCTTCTTCCGCAGGAACTCGACGTTGTCTTGTACCATGCGGTTGTATAGGCGGTCGACGAGCTCGTCGGGAATGGCGTTCTCGAGCACCACGAAGCCGTCGCGGTGGAAGTACTTGAGACATTCTTGCAGTGTTTCTGGTCGAGTATTTCCCGAGTGAAGTTCTTCATCGGTTAGACGGATCACGACAGGATTGTCGCCGTGTTTCTCAACATCGGTAATCAAAGCCCCATCGACATATGTCGGTGTCCTTGAAGCTGGCGGATCCATTATTGCCGAGGGTGCCATGGTAATCTTGACAATTCGAGGATGCGATCTGAGGGCCGTGGTGGCCAGAGATAGAAGTGCTACAAGGGCGACGATGGCTTTCACTCTCCACCTCTTTGTTCTTGAATTCAATGCCCGAGGTTTGAAGATGTCAATCCCTGAAAATTGTGGTACGAGTCGGTCTTCCTCTGGCCATCGGATTCCTCCACTTGTGCGTTGGAAGCGGCACACTGAGGACGGCTGTTTCCACCGGAAGCAAGAGGCTGATGGTCGTGTCTCGAATCAAAGGCTGCGACAAGGTCCAGTTGGGTATCAGCAGACGGTTGATAATAGCCATTTAGGCTAATGGGAGTGGGTTACCTCTCCGCTTGTCGCAACATGGACCTCTCCACCATGCACCCCTCCTCCTCAACTCCCCACAATCCCCATATCGACTCGCGTATCGCCCATTATCAACTAGACCTTGGTGACAACTCAAGCAGCTAGTACAGGTCATAGCCTATATCAAGCCGTCTGCGCCCCGCTGGCCGGTAGCCAATCATGAGGCCTGACTCGGGAAATCAGTGACACAGCGCAGGTCGGAGTGTGGCCGTGTCGGATGATCGACCATGGCTATTACTATATTGCCATGATCGTCCGGAGAATTAGGGCGATGATTGGACCTTCGAGTTGCAACCTGAGCGTTAGCTGCTAGTTCTTCCTGGGAGAATGGCCAGGTGCAAAACTTGCCTTGTGATCTCTTCGCCATGCGTGTCCGCCATCTACCTCGGGGCGACAACCATGGAACGGTACAGCAATGTAACACCAGCCCGTGACTCTCCTATTCCCTAGAGCGTTGACGTCTCCTAGAATCCAGAAACTGCTACCCGAGGGCGTTCAGCAGAGCCGGAGAACATCCTTGTATACCGTTTGGGGAGCTCGTCGTGCACCCAATGTTTCCCCGGACTGTGGTCCGGACACTTTTACCAGATGTCTCCTCAGTGGATTCTCTTTGCCTGGAGAAATACAAAAGCATGGACATAGTCCCTGGACTTCTTTGGTGCCCGCATATCCTTCCTTTTGCTCGATGCTCGGTGTACTTTGGCAATCATGGTCAAACTCTTTTCCCAGATTCCCAAGTCGCAAACATTGGTCGTGGGAGGACAGGAGTTCCCGGAGGTGAAGTGGTGGAAGCACAAATCTCTCATCCACTTACATTTCCTGTGTGCGATTCTGCTGCTGTCGTCGGCCACGAACGGCTATGATGGATCCATGAGTAAGTTGCCTCGTCCGACTTACAGACAAGCCAAAGCAAATTGACCATGAGGAAGTGAACGGCCTGCAAACGTTGAGCTATTGGCAGAACACTTTTCATCGACCTTCTGCCTCCACACTCGGACTCTTGAACGCCATCTTCTCGGTCGGGCAAGTCGTCGGCCTACCTCTGGTGCCATTTTTGGCAGACCACATTGGCCGCAAGTGGACCATATTGCTTGGAAGCTCCCTGATTTTCTTGGGCGTCATCTTGCAGACCGTCTCCATCAACATTGGCATGTTCATTGCCTCTCGTTTCATCATCGGCCTCGGAATCGTGTATACCCAAAGTTGCTCGCCGATGCTCATCACCGAACTGTCTCACCCTCAATATCGTGCGAGGTTGACAACAATCTACAATACTCTGTGGTATCTGGGCTCCATTATCGCTAGTTGGACAACGTACGGCACTCTCAAGATGCAGAGTCAATGGTCGTGGAAGCTGCCCAGCATATTGCAGGCCTTCCCATCTGTGATTCAACTCTTCTTGATCTGGCTCGTGCCCGAAAGTCCCAGGTACCATATCGTCAAAGGCCGCCACGAAACAGCGAAAAAGATATTCCAGCGCTTCCACGGTCCTGCATCCGGCCAGGAGTTCGTCGAGAGTGAATACCGCGAAGTGTTGGAAACCATGGCGCTGGAAAAACAATTTGCGAGCCGCGGCATCTCCGAGCTCTGGTCGACCAAAGGAAATCGACACCGCTTGCTGATTGTCGTCACCGCGGGCATCTTCAGCCAGACCGCGGGCTCGGGGATCGTGTCGTATTACATCTTCCTTGTCTTGTCCCAAATCGGCATCACGGATTCCAACTCCCAACTCATCCTGAACGGCTGTCTGACAATTTTCAACATGTGTATCGCCACAGGCATGGCGTTTGCCGTCGACAAACTGGGCCGCCGGCCTCTTTATCTGACAGCAACGTTCGGCATGTGCATTGCCATGACGGGCTGGACGATTGCCAGTCAGCAGCAACAGGCCCACGGAACCACGGCCGCGGGTCGGGCGGTGATCGCACTCATCTTCATCTTCATGTTCTTCTACAACCTTGCCTGGTCAGGCCTGTTGATCGGCTACGTCGTGGAGATCTCGCCGTTCTACCTGCGCTCGCGATATCTTACCGTCATGCTGCTCAGCGTGGCGGCCGGCCTGTTCTTCTCCAACTATGTGAACCCCGTGGCGCTCGAAAACATCCAGTGGAAGTACTATCTGTGTTACATCATCTGGCTGGCAATCCAGTCCGTGGTAGTGTACTTCTTCTACATCGAGACAAAGGGTCACAGCCTGGAGACGATAGCAATCTGTTTTGACGGCGAAGACGCGAAGATCGGCGGCCAGGCGGCGACGGCGAAGGGACGAGAGCTGCTGGGGAAGTTGGAGGACAAGGACGTCAAGGCTGTTGGGACGCACATCGAGCGGGTGCAATCGACGGATTAGACTGCACACAGAAGGGTGATACTGAATAGAAAGGGTGCTGCGCATAGACGAGGATAAAGCCAGGAGGTCGACGCAGTCAAGTGACGCAACCAAAATGAGGCGAGTTTAGAGTTTACGGATTGGGCTTAGCGTCTGGGCGGCGAAGCATTCTTCTACTCGCCTCATTAAAGCAGCATCTGGATCGTTCTCCATGAGGAAGGCATCATTTGTCTCCACATGTCTTCAGGCTGAGCCTCATCCCTGGTCCCTCTGCCACGAGATGTACTGTGATTGATCATCCGTACGCTTTGATGATACTGCCTAGGCTCCAAAGCTCATGTTTCCTCTGTCTGATCGAGCAATCAGTGTCTCCAGCTCGAATAGTTCATCTTCAAGTTTGTCCTGGAGGAGATGGTAGCCCTGGTTGGAGACAGGAATAGTACACTGTCCCTTGTCGGTTCCTTGCGAGGGCCACTGCTCCAATGACTTATTCGAGCCCCTCTTCGACTTTGGCATCGACAACATGCTTTTCTTCCTCACACTCGTCATCCTCAGAGTCGATTTCCTCCACCTTTGGCTGCATGGCTTTCTTGCTCAGAGGGGATTTGCTCTTCTTCGCGGGAGGGCCTCCATCACTGTCAGCCTCATTCTTCGGCTTGCGCTTTCGTGATGCCGTAGCCTTGGTTGACGCAGCAGAAGCTGCCTTACGGCCCTTTCCACTAGTCCCCGCAAGACCCCATTTCTTCATGATTTGCCAGTGTCGATGATAGCTGTAAGCGAAAAAGCGGAAATTAAATCAGCGTCCGCAGCCCCTTCAGATAGATACCGGGCATGGGAGAGATCTTTAACGAGATAGAACAAGAACCATTAATATGAAACTAGAAGGGCGGCTTACCATGCGCTCTCACCCTTCGCACCCGTCTCCTTTGCGACCTCGTCAAAGTTGATCTTGGGCTTCACATCTGCATGCTTGAGGCATGTCATGATGAACGTGAAGTCATCGACAGAGTTGGTTGCAGGAGCCATCATCTGATATCAGTCAGTCGATGTAAGGTTGGAAGTTTGAAGGGAAGAAATGGAGGCGTTGGCACAATAGCCTGGGCTAACTTACAGGTTGTTGCGAGAACGAAGTTTGGTTTGACGTTTGCTATTTGAACTTGGAATGGTGGAAAGGTCTGAAGAACAGAAGACAGTGGACAGGATGTTGAACTGGAGATCGGCAAGATGTAGAGGAAAGAAAAGAAAATTGGATGGTGGAAGAAAGGTTTAAATAGGAAATGCCGCAGCATGTAGCAGTATGCCTCAACGCACATGGAACAACGACCTTCTGGACAAATGAGCCCGGAACAGCTCATGAACTTCTCACTTCTCAACCAATTCTGCTGGATTTACGCCTAAATAATAGGAAAACGTTAAGGGAATGTGAGACTTGATCAATTCAATCTGCTTTCTCTCAAAAGCTGAGAGTGGAAAAGCCATCTCAGCTCGTTCTTGGGGATGCTATCACGAGCTACATGCCCTATGGTGTTCAGAAGAAGAGTGTCCACCTTAGTGTTTCTCTTCTACGATGCCAATGTCGTGACTATCCTGTGTTCTTTCTGATGCGCCAACACCGCAGCTATCTTCCATTCCAATTGATGTTCACCAACTCGAGGAACCAGGGAACCAAGAAGCATTTGATGCACCTGCATGATGGCACAAAGTCTTCTTGTTTCGCTAGTTACCATCCTCAGGCGGCACTGTGTCGGTCTTTGCAACAGACCCAACGGCTTCGATCATCTTCGCAGTAGGAACATCCGTCTTGATCTCCTTCTTGATGGGAGTCGCTTCGTCATCACCCGAACAGCCATCGCTTGGAGTCGCAGGATAGACTTTCTTGACACCTTTTCCTTTTGGCTTCTTCTCTTCATCATTCTTATCTCCGGTGCCGAGCTTGGGGGCCTTGGTCTTGGTAGCTTTACCGCGAGCTTTCTTCGGGGGAGGTTGTTCCGCAGCTTCGTCACTGCTGACATCGCGACGTCCGACGGGATCGATTCTCGCCAAGTTCTTCTTGGTAGTAGCCTTGCGCTTGACACCGGTAGCAGAAGTAGATTTTGCTTCAGCCTGGTCGTCCATGCTGCTCCACACCGCACCATCTTCCTCCAACTGCTTCATGATAGTACGGAACTTGTTGCTACAGAGCAAACGAATCAGTAAACCAGTTGAACCTTTGCCGAAGTTGGGACTTTTTGGGATAAAGAGAGAGGGGGAGAGAGAAGTAGCCATGACTAGACATGCCCCAACAGCAAATGAACGGTGTACTCGTGGTGGATAATAGGAAGCAAGTGGACAAGGCACCACATCATCTTCGAGGCCAAAAGCACAAAGGAAAATAGCAGACTTACGCCGCTCCACCCTTGCTCATCTTGAGTTCTTTGGCAAGTGCTTCGAAGTCGACAGTGACCTTCTCCTTGGCATACTTGATACAAGCAGCAAGGAAGGCCTCGTTACCCACAATTGGACTCATGGTGAATGAAGGATTCTCTTCGAGTTGTAGCGACTTGAGAGGAAGAATCGAGGGGTTGAGGAATCGGGAATCTGCTGGACGCCTAGATACACGAGAGAGGGATGATCAGTGAGCCTGCTTAATGAATCGGAGAAGGAAAAATAGCCGTACCAGTTGTATGAGGATGTTGGATGAGATGTCTGAGAAGTATCGGTGATGGGGACGTTGGATGAAGGTGAGGTTAGACAAGATGGAGAGAAATTGAAATGCAGGTTTGTTGATGGAAAAGTGAAAGACTGCCCGCGAAATTTCGCCTAGAGGCTCTCTGAATCACATAGCAAGCGATGCCACTGATCGAGGAAACCATCTGTCGACAAAGGTCGGGCATCAGACTGACCCGGTAACAATGCGCGAGCGACAATGCGCGGGCAGCAATCTTGTATTGACTCCCACCAGCAAACAAACACATAGCTATGGGTTGGAATTGCCTTTCTCACCTTTCTGGCTACCCACAGGGTCTGAATGCGGCTTGTCCATGACCTTTGAGATCGTCAACTGCTGCCGTGAACCATCCGAACGACATGGGTTGTCGAGATGGTGTCCTTCAAGCCTTGTACCAGCTCCCCCTTTATCCCCCATGCAACAGCTGGCAGAAAGGACAACCGTGCCCATGTTCTTTATGGGGCTCTTTATGGACCGCGTCACCGGACGGTGCTAGAGTTGTTCATCCTTCCGCCCTCTCGGTCCTCAAGATACGCTATTGAGAAGCGTTCGGGGTGAGCAGACACCCCCATCCACATTGTCTGTCTCAAAAGCAATGCAAAGGGTCTAACAGAAGAAATGGTTGAACAGCTGGGGATCACGGAGGATATGCAAAACAAAGGCGAAAGGATTTCTCTCACACGACATTAATGCCATTGGGTCTCTGGACCCTTGAGACGCCATTGCTGGCCTCCAAAGATAGCTCCTTGTCATCTGGCCACATCGACCAGGATTCAACGCCAGCGAGACCATGCCCAGCTCCGCTGCTCGTACAATCAGACCGCGACGTCAAGATGCAGGGGCAGGGTGAATGACGATCCTGCCCATAGAGTGTCGGACAAAAGAAAAGAGGAACATCAAATCCTAATATCCGTGGGGGAGAATTGTATTATTGCCAGAGTCATTGACGGTGCTTGGGACACAAGATACAATAGCTCTTCTCGTGGATGACCTACTGGGGTTGAAGCGTGTCGCTCCCACTGTATTCCGCATTCCATTTCGAAGCTGCAGTGTGGTGGTGTTTCCTGTTGACCAGAGAACGCCGGATGGCTCGTGCAATATTGCAACTCTAGCTGCAAAGTGGCAATCTCCATGTGTCGAGAATCAAACACTACCTACATCACGCCGCTTCTCTGAACACGACCCAGGGCGCACGACACAATGTTACACCGGAAGTCCAATCCTATCCGAGCCGTGGTTCGCCCGTCGCAGAGTGTATCCCCAGCCGGGTGATGGTCTTCATTACCCATCAAGACCGCGGATAGTTTGGTGGGCCGCGAGGTTCTCGAACGTCTGATGACTTCTCGGTGCAGAGTCCACGGTGCTGTACGATGCATCGTTCTTTTCACCCAATGCGGCATGCGGGAGGGCGAGTTGATGAACTTGCCGGCAAAGTCCACGCGAGGAGCTCCGTCGTCCGAACTCGGTCCAGATCCGAGAAAAATAAAATCCAGAATCGCGACCCAAGATTATCTCTGGTGGCCAGCAAGGTTTGCGAAAGAGCGATCCCTTGCGCCATGCACGACTTTAGCTCCGTCGAAACTCGGGGACACACAAGCGGCCAAACAGTCCTCTGTCCTCTGGACGCAACCCAGAGCAATTGCGCCAAAGGTGGTGTGAGAACAACCTTTTGGGGGGTGGTCAGAGCTTGGAGCTTGGGATCTCGCTTGTTCGGTAGCGAGCTGAAGTGACGGCAAGTTGCGACAATTGCTGACTCGCTGACTCGCTGACTTCGCTGACTCGGCGGGCCTGGCCTGGCCACCATCGCAGCTAAGGCTTCTTCAGACTTTGTCTTCCACCACGTGGCTGTTCGGCGACGCCGCGAATGTGGCTTGTGCACTAATTCATCAACTATCGGAAACCCACGTGGACTCTACGTCCGCCCCCAAAACGTCGCTTAGACTCTAAAGACTCCACGCCCACCTATCGCTGCCAATGAACCTATAACAAGGATTGTGTGGATGTTGGCATGGCATGTCACCGGCTTGGGGCGCTGGTAAAAAGGGGAAGCGGACCACCAAAAGAGGCGGCGGTCTTTAACAAGCTGCGAAAAGAGAGAGGAGCGGTCTAGAACATCTCGCCTGCTTTGTCCCACTCCTGCCACGTTCGTTCCTGTATCGATTGGCGGGACGTTCGATTCCGACATGCAGCTAGAACATGTCGTGGCACTTTCAGTAGCGTCAGGTCTCGTGCGATACGAGGACCCAGCACTTTGGAACGCGACGGAAAGTATCTGGTCAGGAAAGCCTGGGCGATGCTGGTCCACCTTCTGGGTGACGATCTGGAGACTGCGACTGCGACTGCGACTGCGACTGCGCATACAGGAACATTGTGTCGTGGACGAGGTATGAGGATCAAGGATGTGAGGATATCCTCAGAGTTGTCAATTATCTGGTATTGTACAGGCTTTGATTGCTATCCTTCAGTCACCAAGTCATGGCCACGGGTTCATATGTGCCCGCGCGAATAATGTACATGAGCATAGGTTCCATCATCTATGCTTCTGCTGACCTGAGCCTTTTCTCGAAGACTGGGTGTCCTCTGTACCAGCCTGAGATCGGGATGCCTTTGAACCTCTCCGTGATGTCGCCATCAAGATATGTGTGATAAGACAGAGGTTGTGGTTAGAACCTCTCGGTTACTCTGAGCATGAACGCACGAGGCTAGGAGAAAATGCTGTCTCTCTGTGAACAGGTCTGGTTTTTGTGTTTCCAAATGCTAAATCCCCGATCCCAACCATGCTAACATGCTTCATTTCTCAAGCACGTCCGTGTTGACCCTTTCCCACCTTTCCTAAGACCCATCGCTTGAACGCAGAAGACTTTGAAAAAACACACATGAGATGCCAGGTAAACGCAAAAGACAAGGAGAGGGAAGAGCAGTTTGCTCCTGTCGTGGCTGCGCCTGAAGCGAACATAAAAAACGTGGAGAGATCCATGCCATCAGGTTGTTGAGAAGCCTGGGGAATGCTGTCGACCAACTTTTGGCTAGTAGAAATTGCAGATCAAGTCGCACGGTCTCGTTTAGAATTTTATTGCCTCCCACAGAAAAAGTCCGCGGGTGCAGGAGAAGCTGAGACGGGTGCGCTGGTCGGTCGCAAGGGTGGAGGACTCTCTTCTGGGTTGAAAGGTAGATGACAAGGCAAAGTTGCCAGTAAAGTGATGTTCAGTAGCTCGTTCGGGGAAAGGAACCTCGCGCTGCAGCTGTTTCACCCCCATGACATCCCTTTTCGTGTCGTTTCATGTTACTTCTGACACTGAAATATTTCCCACAGCCCTCGTACTTGCACCTATAAGGTTTCTCTCCCGTATGCGAGTAAGTGTGAATCTTTAATGAACTCGGCCTGGAGAAGGGTTTGTGGCAAGTTGGGCATATGTAGCGCTCGTGGCTGTGAGGGTATGAGTTGTGGACGGGGGGATAGTACTGAGGAAGCTGCCACGCTGGCGCCACTGTATAGTCGACGGCTGCCACCCCAATGTGAGGAATGGGGCCCGGGAAATCTATTGGCAGAGGCCGTTGCTGAGAAAGCCCATTGTATGCTGGTACCTCTGCTGGACGTGCCTCGATTGAAGGCACTGCTAGAGCTTTGGGCGGCTGGTCTGACTGCACAGCGTCAGCTGCAAGCCTTGGAAGATGCGAAGGTGGCCATGCCCTCGAGTCAGTTGACGAAGGATATGTCGTGGCTCCTTCCGTCACCGGGGGACAAGCTGATGGCCGTTGAGCGTACAACTCAGGATTCGTGCTTTGATGATAACTGCTTCGGTTGGGGCCTGAGATCGGCGAAGTGTTGATGGGAGAGGGTCGGGGCAAGTCGAATCTCGATGGCGGCGGTAATTCTGGTGTCGGTGGGGGAAGACTTCGGGGGCTTCCTGATAGTTGTGGTCTTTCCGGGCTGATTCCCTGTCCATGTGAACCTCCAGATATCCTTCGCGGAGCCCCGAATGTTGGAGAGGATGCGTTTCCTAGTGGCAGTTAGAGCCTGACTCTTCCATTACGGGGTGCGATCAGACGATGACAACGCCTACCTTTTTCAGACTGCTCTGTAACCGCCTCGATGAGACTGGAAATTGAAGGTAGCGATGGCCTGAACTTATTGGCCTGCTCCATTGCCGCTGAAGCCAGCAGTACGGTTGGCGAGGGTAGAGGATGTTGTAGAGGGTAGTTCGAGTGGTAAGGTGGAAGCAATGCCAATGCCATAGCACCGGCAAGATGTTGACAAAATTGCCTATGGCAGACTTGTTGTGTTTGAAATCCCCAGTCCGACTTGTTGAGAAAGTGTGCAATGCCGGCAGGGCCTGTGACACTGGTGGACGACAACAATGATCCACGGCTACTCTTTCAGACTTTCTGGAAGAAGAACTGAATGACAGGGAAGAAGCGAAGTGTCTGTGTAGGCTTTGCCCTGCTCGGATCAAAGAGTCGAAAGGGTGGTGGGAACGGGGAGGCCTTCGTCCACAGAAGATCGAGATAGGATTGGGATCTACAAATCCTCGCCTGTGTGGTACTGGAAGGAGGGGACTATGGTGAGAGCAGAGATGAATGTGTCTACTGGCGGGGATGGTTACAAGAGACAGAGGAGAGATATTGGATGGTGAAGGATCAGGAATCGGTTGGTGGGAATCCAGGGTGGTGACGTTGCAGTGGGAGCTGAAGCAAACAGCCCAGGTGGTTTTTCTCAAAGGACTGGATCGTCCTTCACACAAATCGACGAACGGCTCGCTTGTGTTGTAGAAAGGGATGCTAGGGCAAGCGACAGAGCCAGAGAGAATGGGCAGCCCTTGGAGAGAGGGCCACAAATAACGAGGAGGAGGGCGCTTCCGGAGCCGAGGGGTACGAGAGGTGAAGATCGTCGAGAACAAGGACTCGGGGGGAGGGTGGGCTTGATTGTATTTTTTCGTTCGGTGGTTCCAGAGAAGAGTGATTGGGAGGGTCGGCTGGCCACGGGCTATCCCACTCCACTGGTCTAAGGCCGTGGCCTGAAGGGATATCTTGTCCAGTGCCCACCTTGCACCGGTGCCTGGTTTGGTAACTCGAAGGCGTGCGATGTGCGGGCTTGGGTGAAGATCAAAAGTGGGCGAGAAGTAAGTTTAAAGCCACGGTAGGTGTAGGGGTGGGATGGATGAGCGGCGACAGGCCTGGGGAGTGGGTAATTTGGGCCCGTCAAGACCAGGTCCCGTCATACCATGGCGACTGCTGACCGTTTCCGGACTCGGAGGCGCATGGAGGACGATGGCCGTCACCTGTATGGCTGTGGGTTGCTGGGCCTCCTCGTGTGGGTGGTGCGTGCGTGGTAAACTCCCGAAAAAGGCCCAACCTGGCCCAAGAACGGCTGAGGTGGCGTCACTGGCGCACCTGGGGGAGACCGGCTTGGGGAGCTAAGGGTGAAAAAGGACAGTCCTGCAAGGGAAGGAGAGTGACTAGCGAGAAGAGTCAGCTCGGTCTCTTGAGGAAGAGGCATACGTACAGTTTCTCGGTAGTGAATTTGGGGGAAACAAGAGGTTCTGGTTCGGGTTGGGTATGGTGGTACTGTGCGAGTCGAGAGAGGCTCGATCCAAGGGGAAAAACGGCAAGGCGTGAATCGACTTCACCAAAGTAACCGACTTGTGCAACTGCCCGGGGGATGATCAACGATGCCGGGGTTGTGAATGTAATACGCTGGCGCAGGCATTTATTTTGGGGAGGGGGAAGGGGGGGAGGGAACCTGATGAGGCAGCATTCGAGGCCAATTCGGAACGGCGCCGAAGGAATCAGAAGAGGGGGGAAGAAAGAGTGGGAAGGCGCGAAGGGTGGCTTTCTTTAGCAAACTTCCCAGAGACCCATCGCTGAGAAAGCGTGTTGGATTCTCATCCACAATTATCAGTTGTGCAATGTATAGAGACAGTTGTCCTGTAGGTGATTGTTGTGCTGGGACACGAAGGGCCAATGACTGTCGCCAATGCGGCAAATGTACTCCGTATCTTGTTTGTTCGTTAAGCGAGGAGGGCTGCCCAACAGGAAAACGGAGGGCTGACTTTTAGGGTCATGTTGGGCTTTCCTTGAACGGCTCGAGGTTCTCGGCAGTGGACACAGGAGGAGAACAAACCTGGAAACCAACTGCTTCCAGAGATCTCCCGGGTTGACGGGTTCCAACGCCCCAGGCTGAGGCCCTTTGGGGGATGGTGGGTGCCGAACCACGATCAAAATCGATCAGACGATCAAGCGGGAAACCTTTAGTCTCGAGCTAACGAGTGGAGGTGCCTTTTCCAGGGACAGGGGGGGCCTTCCTCCCTGGTGGTTAATGGCCAAGGGCTTGAGCATGGGCATGGGCGTTGGAAGGCCCTCAGAGGCCCAGGCTAGCCTGAGCTAGGCTAAGCCCTGGCACCTAAGCCTGCCAAGGGGCGACGAAGCCTCTTTGGTCTTGTGTTACCTCGATGCGATTAGATAACGGTTGCCTCGTGCACCCTTGGGTGAACCCTGTCTGCCACATTGCTCGCAAGGTTGCGACATTAGTCGAGTACTCCGTACAGCTGCTTGCAAGGCTGCCCTGATCGTACCGAACCGTCACCATCTTTCTCTAACGCCCGCTCCTGTTATGGGAAATGAGAATGTGGCAACTTTGAAACCATGCAGCAAAGGCCACGAGGGCCACGCGGGACTTTGTTAGCCAGAGGTAACCCGACCATCTGTTCCCCCTAGCATACAGTACAAGCCAACACCAATCATTGTTCTCTCAGATGCATTACCTTGAAGGAGTGTTCCCTTTTACAGAACTACCTCGTACGCACAGACAAATTGGACTCCGTACACCAGGTTACACGATCGACCCTCCGAATACCTCATACAAATACCAGTATTTACCGAAAGACAAAAAACCTTCACGAATACTCCACAAACTTCCTGCCTTCCCACCTCCTGTACTAAAATTGTCCGGCACCCCAGTCGCCGTTGCGCTCGTGACGTCTGGAGAAGAGATAAATGAAAATGCTAAAGAGCTGGGATTGTCAACGTGGGCCATGTGGAAAGCACACAACATCAAGCCCCTAGGTATTCGCTTAAAGAGTCCTCATCGCCCAGTCCAATGAGCTTCAATCGGAGATTATGCACATCAAGTCACTCTAGTGGCTCACCCGTGCTCGCCTTGGACAGTCTCGCTTATTGATGACCTGGTCCTGCACTGCCAATGAAGAAACGGATGGTGTCTTTACACACACTAAGAGCTTGCCCTGGTATCCCTGCGTCGCGTTGCTAACTGGAGAGATCTGCGCCATGACAGAAAGAGACTCGACCTCCAGCAAAACATCCCTAGTATTTGTTCTCAGGATTGACGCCGAATGTCATAACTCTCACGCAATGCGGCATCTGCGGGCGTATGGCCCCCAAGCTATATGGTTGCCCAACAAGAGCAACAAACACGAAGCAACCAAGTACTCGGGACATGCTGCTTGCCCTGCTTTTTGTGCCAGAGCTGCATCTGTGATCTCTCCTGGCCATCCCCCCCATGTCCACTTTACTTGGCGAATATAAGTGGGCAGATGCCCCCCCTGTTGGTTCCGAAGCAGCGGCGTCATTCGGGAGGCCACCCAATCAAAACTTCTAGTCATCGTCACAATCCTGGCCCTCGTCAGCCACGCGGTGTCGATCGTGTTGCACATGGGCCCATGGAGCCGTTTGATCATCATCAGTGACATCCTCATCATTTCCCATGCAGCTTCCGAGTGGTGACCTTCCTCATACAGACGCCTAGCATCGCACACGGAATTCACTACTCCCTGTCCTTGTCTGTCTCTCTCCCTGTCAGCAGCTCCACCACGCAATGTGATTGAAATCTGCGATCGCGTGCGGTGCATGGTTCCATTAGCCTGCCCTGTGCGGACCACGGTGCTAACGCGAGATGAAAAGGGAACATGCTCTGTGGTCCGCCTCGTCACCGGCGGTTTGAGGTTTGTGTTGGTTGTCCAACGATGTCTATCGGAAACAGAAATCGCCGTGTAACGTGGGAAAGCTACGCGAGATGTCCAAATCAACCCTACCGCCTGCACTATGCTGCAGCCGCATGCAATTGTGACTGCATGCATATCCCAGAGCGCACCATCTTACCGTGATTTCGAAAGGGAGGTGCAACAAGAGCCATTGGGTTTTACGAGGCGTGTTGCACAGAAGAACAAGGTCTGCAGGAGGCTTTGTCAGCCCCTACACCCTGCTACCTCTTCTATCTTGGTAGCCTGCTGTTGGGCATCTTGGATCTAGATTGTTCTGTACAATTGTCCCAGTGGTGCTGATACGAAAAAAAAGAACCCCCAAGGTCAATGACTACGGTAGGTACTGTGTAGGCAATCACTTGTCTCCTTTCAGCATGTTACAATCAACGCCTCAAGACATGAAGACAGGAAACAAATGGTCAAGCGGTCAACAAAGCCCCCCTTTTAGGCGAAGGCTACGTGCATGGATCTGGGTAGGTCAGGTTTGTTGGCCATTTTGGACTTTTTCTTTTCTTTCTTTTCCCCCAACAATTGTTACCAGGACCACGTGGCTACTAAGGCTCGTGTAACATGGTCGTCTTGTAGGTACTCGTGCACCTCTTTTGCTTCAGGCTTTCCCCAAAACAAACATGATACAAGCTAACAAGCGCTATGCAGACGATCCTGGGATCATCTTCCTAGAATCCCTCCGCCTGGGGGCCCGATCCCTGAAATCCTTTACGGCCTCGTGCATTGTCTTAGACAGTGTACCTCGTGCCTACAGTCTCAGGCACCCAAGTGACTTCTGGGCATCGATATGGATGGTGCTCATAGCTAAGAACGTCAGAATTGACTTTAGATAAAGGAAAAGGACCTGGGTGAGGAGAGCTTTGGGCCACAGTCAGAGTACGTGATTTTTCCGAAGATCATCCATTCCGTGTCCGCTCCACGCAGAATGGATCTGAGATCAGGCCCTGTGGATCATTATTGTTGTGTCCTGTTGCTTCTTCTGTCCAAAAATCGGCAGGATGAATGATTTCATCTCATCCCTGTGATCGACAGTCCGGGCTACTCAGACTGACTCGACAGCAAGTGGGTGTCAGCCGATCTAAGCAAGACTAGGTAAGGACCGCGAGATCCCCAGAAACAGTTGCCCAGGAACCCCGAAGAAGAAGCTCTCAATACGACAGGCGCTAACTTACAGGCGCGCAACTAAACGGTGATTCAAAACAATGTGCAAGGATCACCATGTCCAGAGAT